AGTAGATTACTTCCTTTCAGACGTTTACTTACTTCCTGCTTCCTCTTCAAATTTACTCAGCTCAAGCCCGTGCAAGAACGAGTTAGCATGTGCTAATGTTAACTTCTTGGCTGCATGTAAAACCTATACTTAGAATGGCTTTGTTTGCTATGAGTAATAAACCTTAAGTTTTCTTTATCCTTTCAACCAGTAGAGTGTTTCAACCAGCCTGTTTCTTTCTGCACACTTTTTGCAATATATTTAGCAAACTCCAACTACCACCGCTTTGAACTGAGCCCAGAAACCAGTTGGTAACCAATGCAGTCAGCCCAGAATCGGTTTTATATCCTCAGGTTGTCTGGCCCCAGTTAACAGTCTGGCGACTGACTTGCTGCAATGCTTTTATTATAATACTTATTTGGTAGACATATTTAAACTGCAGGTATACAAGTACAATGGGACGTGGGTGGACAGAGCCTAGGACTTGCCGATCAGAAGGTTGGCGGTTTGAATCCCTGCGATGGGGTAAGCTCCCGTTGCTCGGTCCCTGCTCCTGCCAACCTAGCAGTTTGAAAGCCCATCCCGCTCTGGCGGGAAGGTAAACGGCGTTTCCGTGTGCAGCTCTGGTTCGCCAGAAGCGGCTTAGTCATGCTGGCCACATGACCCGGAAGCTGTACGCCGGCTCCCTCGGCCAATAAAGCGAGATGAGTGCCGCAACCCCAGAGTCAGTCACAACTGGACCTAACGGTCAGGAGTCCATTTACCTTTACACAAGTACATGCAAAAAGATGCAGAAAAGGGACATGCGTCAATCTTCTTGATGCACATTAATTCTTGGAATTTTATTTTCTTTTTTGGCACCATGGATGGATTTGCCCCTTGCACATACTATCATGTCATGTCAGAATTGCTCAAACCCCTGGCCAAATCAGAGAGAAGTATCAGTAACATGACTTATCTGACCAGTTGCATATCACAATCATCTCTCTGGTGTCAATTATCCACGATCTTTCTTAGCATACAACATCAAACCAATTGAATAATACATTTCAATAACAAATGCATGGTTTATTAATAGTTTGGGGTGGGGGTTGTTGGTTTTTTAATGGGGAGCTTCGCAACCTTGTTCCAGAGGTTCACAGCACGTCTCGGTCACGGGTTTCACCCCCAACCCCTATCAAGTCATCTCGGCCGAAAGCCATTGCCATCTGGACACGGTAATCAAAACACCAGAAAGCATCTTTCTGGGAATGCCACGCGAATAGTGTTTGAGCACATTATTTTCCGTTTGTTGTTCCAACATGCCGGGTATCTTTTGACCGAAACTCAGTAAGGCATTTCATAAATAATGAATAAGACATTTTATTCAGAAAACCCGGTTCATCTGTTTTAGAGGTGCCATGTGTAGTCACAAGAGGTAAAGGTAGATCAAGTTGCAAAACAGTTGGCCTCATGTGGTTCGCCCATATGGAAAGGAGAAAACGCCAGAGAACACAACATTAATATCGTGTGCATTTTCCAGGGTGTCACGTTGCTGTTTTGATGCACAGAAGATTCATTATAGTATTACCCCACCTAACACGCTTTGAAGCACATTCATGATTTGTTTTTCTATTTGGTCATGCTGGAAAGTCAAAAAGGGACTCACTGTGCAAGGTGCCTTTGTAGGTGGGAATAATTTTAATGTTTAAACAAGAAATTAGAAACAGTACATGTGATGACTGACTATGCCAATTCATTTCTTTTTTTTTTAATGGAAGAACTTGAATTGTTGTTCAGCTTCGTAAGGGGGAATCTGCGGCAGTAATTCTATATGATTCATCACAGCTCTTTTATTTACTTTGCTAATGTTTTCTTCCTGTTTGCTACATGGCCGATGCCTTTATGCATTTAAAGATACGGTCAACCCTAAAAAGTTCACAAGAGCCAAACATACATCTAAAACCATAGGAAAGCAAGATGAATAACATCCCACTAGCTGAATTGCAGCCACCAAATGTGCAGTCAGGCAAAACTTAAGGTGGGGGCAGTGCGCAGGAACATATACCAGAAACATATCTGCCAACCCCTATTTATTTCAATTGGGCACTATTATTATTGGTAGGAGGGCACTTGGTTTATCTAAAGTGTCACAGATACTTTGATCAATGTAGACAGCATCTCCAATAATAATAAATAGTAGTAGTAGTAGTAGTAGTAGTAGTAGTAGTAGTAGCAGTAATTTATTATTTATACCCCGCCCATCTGGCTGGGTTTCCCCTTATCTCACTCATTCCACAGTCCTCACCGTGAAGAATATTAAAAATATTTAACTGAGCTCAAGAGATACTTGCATGCCCAAGACTACCTGGTGAATTTATGGCTCAGCTGAACTTTCAAAGCAGAAATTCAAAACCTGTCCTTTTTTGTGTTAAGTCTATCCTATCTGTGTGGTTCTGCCATATCAGAACAGATGTGTGTGTGTTTCTTATTATTATTACCAGCCTGGACCCTGAGGTCCAGCTCTAAGGGCCTTCTGGGTTTTCCCTTACTATGAGAAGTAAGGTTACAGGGAACCAAGCAGAGGGCCTTCTCAGTAGTGGTGCCCGCCCTGTAGAACGCCCTTCCAGCAGATGTCAAGGAAATAAAGAACTGTCTGACTTTTAGAAGACATCTGAAAGCAGCTCTGTTCAGGGAAGTTTTTTTATGGTTGGTGTTTTAAAAGGTAAAGGTAAAGGGACCCCTGACCATTAGGTCAAGTTGTGACCGACTCTGGGGTTGCAGCGCTCATTTCGCTTTATTGGCTGAGGGAGCCGGTGTACAGCTTCCGGGTCATGTGGCCAGTATGACTAAGCCACTTCTGGCCAACCAGAGCAGCACATGGAAACGCCGTTTACCTTCCCGCCGGAGCGGTACCTATTTATCTACTTGCACTTTGACATGCTTTCGAACTGCTTCTTTCAAACTGCTAGGTTGGCAGGAGCAGGGACTGAGCAACGGGAGCTCACCCCGTTGTGGGGATTCAAACCGCCAACCTTCTGATCAGCAAGTCCTAGGCTCTGTGGTTTAACCCACAGCACCACCCGCATCCTTGGTTGGTGTTTTACCGTGTTTTAAGTATTTTGTTAGGAGCCGCCCAGAGTGGCTGGGCCTGGGGCAATCTAGTCAGATGGGTGGTGTATAATAATAATAATAATAATAATAATAATAATAATAGCAGCATCTTGATTCTATAGGTTGTGTGTCACAAGGGGAAGGCACTTCTGCTCCCAAAAGGCAGGTACCAAATTTTTGCTGCTTTTACCTGCTGCAACTTGCCGCACTCCTATAGATCTACTGTGCTGTGTTTGATGAAAGCTCATTGTGCACATGTAAGCACATATAACTTAATAAAATAGATTTGGTACAACGGGGGGGAGGGGTTGCATTGAAGGCTGCCAGATATAAACCCAGAAACTTTAGAAATTAGTCAGGTTTACTTATTCTCATTCTCTCTCTCTATCTCTCAAACCCTCCTTGCTGTCTGCTTGCCTTTGTGTGTTTGGAAGGAAGGCAAGTGGGCAAAACTGCTTATGTTGCAATTTCATCACACATATAACTAGCGGTTCAGATTTTCAGTAAGGATGGCTGCATTTACCGCTCAGAGATGATGACTCGGTTGGAAAAAGTGCAGACACAGCAAGTGTCTGTGAAGTCTCCTTCGTAACAACCTGAAAGATGTAGACCTTTCTGGAGGAAAAGAGAATCTGTGCTAAATCAGCATACAAATATATTCTAACTACATGTGAAATTAATCTGAGTATTGAAAACAAAACTTTACAATAATGAAGTACTGTCGTATTACTCCTAAAGGAGGTGTTTCTAAATGGAATTTAAGGATCACGGCCGGCCCTACCGTTAATCAGTGTAAGGTGACTGCTGCCTTAGATATGTTGCCAATCATTTCCAGGCTTTTGTATGTGGAATCAGGAGGGGACATCATATTGTTTTTCACCTCAGGCTGCAAAATGTCTTGGACTGGCTTTTTTGGGGGGGGGGTTCTGTAAATTCTTTATTGTGCATCAATTAAACAAACAAACAAACAAAAAAATTCCCTTTTGCACAGCAACTGCTTAGGGCCCAGCCTGAGCACCATGCAAGATGCTGTGTACACAATCCACTCATTGCAATATTAGGACCAAAAAAAACCCCAAGTGACTGGAATTCAAGATCAGTTCTGCTGCACCTGTTGAAGCCAAGCTGCCATTTGACAGGGGAAGGGGTCAGCCATACAAAAAAAAAAAGTGCTGCCACTACAGTCACTACTAGTTTGCCCTCTGCATTAACACCAAAACTTTGTGAGCTCTCTAGCCTGTCTCAAGCCTAGCTCTTTTCTCAGCGAGAGATCCCCGCATTTTGATGAATGGCTATGGCTGCTGACCCATATTTGGATGCCTCTTTCCCCCAAGTCATTCTGCTAAACGCAGCGTGGGACTGTTGCTGTTTCTCCCTCATTCAAACAGGGCTGCCTTCAGATGTCTTCTAAAGGTTGTATAATTACTTATCTCATTGGCTCGGGGGTTGCATAACTCCATGCCCTCCAATATTTCTCTGATGAAAATAGGGACGTCCTAAGGAAAAGTGGGACATTCTGGGATCAAATCAGAAACTGGGACGGCTTCTGTAGATCCGGGACTATCCCTGGAAAATAGGGACACTTGAAGGGTCTGTACAGTATCACAAACCTATTATAACTGAGGACATAACAGATTAAAGCAGGCAAAATATTATTCTAATGCACAAGAACAAACACTAAACAAGTTACCTCTGTTGCAATATCCCTCATATGTTATAAGGGGGGCGGGGGACAGAATTAAGTAAATAAAGGAGGAAATTTCAGGACAAGACAGTAGATTTCTGTGACTAAGACCCACACTCAGTCATGCACAGGACCGGACCTTGATCTAAAATATACCTGCATTCAATGACTCGGCAGTAATACAATGAAGCAGAGGCAGCAGTGAACAATCGTTGAATGTTGCTGGTAGGTGACGTATTGTGCCTCAGAGGCTCCACAGCATGGCCACGGTCCTAGAGATGCCCACATCGTGGTAATTGAAGTAGCAGAGGCCAGCAAAGGTGAGCGCTGAGAGCAGGTAGAGGTCAGTGTTGGCCAGTTTAATAGATGTCTCTCCATGGACGTAGTCAGTTACTATTTGCCCAAGGCCCCAGTGACCATGGAATGTGAGAGTGGCAGCCAGCGAGTAGTCCATGGCTGGTCCAGAATACAGGTAAGCTGCAGGCAGGAGCCTAAGCAGGAGGACACTGACGGCTCGCTCACTTGTCCAGTGCAGAGAGGCAGCCTTGGAACCAGCTAAATTCCTGGGGCATGTGTGGATTTTACATGCCAGAGGATGGCGCTTGTCAGTTGCAACACAAACAGCTGGTCTGGTGAAGACAATCTTGTTCAGGAGAAGGACTACCCTGCCGTGGGGTCTGCCCAACCCCACCCGCAGCAGCAGCAGCCGCACCGCCATCTTGCACCGTTCGCCGCCCCCCTTCTGCCTATTCGTGCCCTCCTACTCTAAGGGGGGGAAGGATAAGGCCCAAGGGCCTTCGCTGCCCCGGACTTGGACTGGCATTTTTAAAGATTATTGGAAATCAATGGAGATTATTATTGTGCTGTGGCACTGTGAGTTAAACCACAGAGCCTAGGACTTGCCGATCAGAAGGTTGGCGGTTCGAATCCCCACGACGGGGTGAGCTTCCGTTGCTCGGTCTCTGCTCCTGCCAACCTAGCAGTTCGAAAGCACGTCAAAGTGCAAGTAGATAAATAGGTACCGCTCCAGCGGGAAGGTAAACGGCGTTTCTGTGCACTGCTCTGGTTCGCCAGAAGCGGCTTTGTCCTGCTGGCCACATGACCCGGAAGCTGTACGCCGGCTCCCTCGGCCAGTAAAGCGAGATGAGCGCCGCAACCCCAGAGTCGTCCGCGACTGGACCTAGTGGTCAGGGGTCCCTTTACCTTTACCTATAGCCACCAGAGCTGTGTTGTTCCACTAACTGTTGTCAAAGCCTATGTTGTCAGCCCCTACGGTTTCACCATCGTTACTTTGGTATCTGTTTAGGGAGCTGCTATGGATTGTTCAACAACACGTCAGAATCAAACTGTGGTTTATTATCCTGGCTTGTTCTCTAAACCAACTGGAGTTCCCCAAGTTCGGATGCCATAAGGACTGCTGGTTGGCTTAAAAATAGGAACAGATACTTCCAATCTCCGTCCTCAAGGCTGAGCCGGGGAGAAGAAGGAAGGGAAAAGCACACAAACCAGAAGCTGTTGCATAGAACATCAAACCAAACTTTTAATGATACGTCTGAACTGTGCCATTATGTTGTTTGGTGTGTAGCTGCCCCCGCCAATAAAATAGCTCATCAGAAAATTTAATCATGAATTTTAATGGTTGTGGTTTACTTGTGTTGGGTTATTAATGCTTTTGGGGGAAAAAAAAGCATGCTCAGACCGGCTAGTTTTATTTTGAAAAAATAAAAAAGCATTTTTATGTCTCTGAACTGGCAGGAGTTTCCTGCTGAAAATGCACCCTCCATTCCTGTTTGTCCTCAAAGTGCTTTTTTATTCAAAACTGCAGGTATATTTTAGATCAAGGTCCTGTGCATGACTGAGTGTGGGTCTCAGTCACAGAAATCTACTGCCTTGTCCTGAAATTTCCTGCTTTATTTACTTAATTTCTGTCCCCCCCTCCTTATATGAGGGATATTGCAACAGAGGTAACTTGTTTAGCATTTGTTCTTGTGCGTTAGAATAATATTTTGCCTGCTTTAATCTGTTGTTTCCTCAGTTATAATAGGTTTGTGATACTGTACAGACCCTATGCTTAAAAAGCAGAGACATCACCTTACCAACAAAGGTCTGTATAGTTAAAGCCATGGTCTTCCCAGTAGTGATGTATGGAAGTGAGAGCTGGACCATAAAGAAGGCTGAATTGATGCTTTTGAGTTATGGTGCTGGAGGAGACTCTTGAGAGTCCTATGGACTGCAAGAAGATCAAACCTCTCCATTCTGAACAAAATCAGCCCTGAATGCTCACTGGAAGGACAGATCGTGAAGCTGAGGCTCCAATACTTTGGCCACCTCATGAGAAGAGAAGACTCCCTGGAAAAGACCCTGATGTGGGAAAGATGGAGGGCACAAGGAGAAGGGGATGCCAGAGGATGAGATGGTTGGACAGTGTTCTCGAAGCTACCAGCATGAGTCTGACCAAACTGCGGGAGGCAGTGGAAGACAGGAGTGCCTGGCGTGCTCTGGTCCATGGGGTCACGAAGAGTCGGACACGACTAAACAACAACAACAGACCCTCCAAGTGTCCCTATTTTCCAGGGACAGTCCCGGATTTACAGAAGCCATCCTAGTTTCTGATTTGATCCCAGAATGTCCCACTTTTCCTTAGGACGTCCCTATTTTCATCAGAGAAATATTGGAGGGCATGGAGTTACGCAACCCCCGAGCCAATGAGATAAGTAACCTTTAGAAGACATCTGAAGGCAGCCCTGTTTAGGGATATTTTTTAATGTTCAATGAACATATACAGTTCAATGTATATGTTTTTATATACAGTGGTACCTCGGGTTAAGAACTAAATTCATTCTGGAGGTCCGTACTTAACCTGAAACTGTTCTTAACCTGAAGCACCACTTTAGCTAATGGGGCCTCCTGCTGCCGCTGCGCCGCTACTGCACGATTTCTGTTCTCATCCTGAAGCAAAGTTCTTAACCCGAGGTACTATTTCTGGGTTAGAAGACTCTGTAACCTGAAGCGTCTGTAACCTGAAGCATATGTAACCCGAGGTACCACTGTATTTTTCTGCAGGTTGTAGCAATTGTCATATGCTGTGTGGTATGTGCTTTTTATTGTATTTTACTGTACTGCAATTTGAATTCTATGGAAGGCAAATATGTAAAAATTTGCCTTCATAGAATTCAAATTGCAATATAATAAAATACAGTGTAAGATACTGAATATCAAAAATCAGTAACAGTATTTAACACGGACACATTGCGGAGCAAATGAATGAATCTCATGGACCAGTTTTGGAACTCCTAATCTAAGTTGTACAACAACAGACCCTGAAAATGCAATAATGTAATGTGGTCTGCGCCGTAAATGTTCACTGTGATGGTAAGCTGCTCCCCCAGGGTGTTTCAGAAATAGTCTAGTTAGGCTGTGAGGTGGGTTAAATACTCAGCCGCTACAGAAAACTGCCATTCACCCTGTGGTTTCCAGGACAAATGGTGACTCTCTGCTATTTTGTCTTTATTCAGTTTTTGGCCACAGGCAATGTATTTTAGACATGTGTCTAAGTGTTCAAAGCATGATTATCCCTATCTTGCCAAGGCGCTGATCCCTTCATTTTAGCTTTCTGAGCCGCTATGTTATCCACTGCACAGCAGAACCGTCATCTGAATATTAACAACTTGGCAACAGTTGATAAGTGTCCGTTTCTGCAGTCTATTCCCTTGTCAGAAGCACAGCTGCGCATTCTCAACAACAATCCTACCAACTACCAACAGTCAGCAAGATAGCAAGTGCTGATAGCATACGCCTGTTATTTGCAGAGCAGTTCTAGTGGTGGGAATATAAATGAACATTTGCACTAGCAGGTTTCTATTTGGTTTGCTGCTGAATTTGTTGCCATCAATGTTCCCTCCGGTCAGGCCAAGAAAGAAGGCATAAAGGAAGGCTTTCTATTTGCATTTATTTAATTAATTTATATCGTACACTTCTTCCAGTACGTTTCCGAGCACAATTCAAAGTGTTGGTGCTGACCTTTAAAGCCCTAAACGGCCTCAAAGGCCCAGTATACCTGAAGGAGCGTCTCCACCCCCATCGTTCAGCCCGGACACTGAGATCCAGCGCCAGGGGCCTTCTGGCGGTTCCCTCATTGCGAGAAGTGAGGTTACAGGGAACCAGACAGAGGGCCTTCTCGGTAGTGGCGCCCGCCCTGTGGAATGCCCTGCCTTCAGATGTGAAGGAAATAAGCAGCTATCTTCTTTTTAAAAGACATCTGAAGGCAGCCCTGTTTAGGAAAGTTTTTAATATTTAATGCTGGATTGTTTTTAACACTTGGTTGGAAGCTGCCCAGAGTGGCTGGGGAAACTCAGCCAGATGGGCAAGGTATAAATAATAAATTATTATTATATTATTCCTGAAGGAGCCTATCCCCCACTCCTTTTAAAGTTTCCATACTAGCCCTTCCCAAGTTTTATTGCACTAGGAGGCTTTCTGGGCTGCATGGATACACTCCCAATGTATTTCATCTTGTGTTGAAGAAAATGCTGTATTCAGAATTTATGAGTTAAAAGCAGCTACCAAGGAGCATGTCAGAGACTGGTTTTTTTGTCAGTTTTTTCCCCTGACTCATTTTGTAATAACAACTTCTCTTGCAGGTTGTTTGATTATCGCTAGGTTACTCTTCGTTAAAGTCTGAGCAGAGGAAGCCTACATCAAGCCTAGGAAAATAGATAAATGCTGACATCTTGTGGGAGATGATTCAACCCTTTTCTATTCCCCAATGAAAGGGGAACCTTCAGAAACTGATTCATCAAGCAGCAGCAAGATGTGGTCGAATTAAAGGAAGCGGTGCTGAGTTAATTCAGACGCTATCTGGATGTTGTTGTTTTTTAAAAGAAAGAATAGGGGCAGAAGTTGCGTTCAAATCCTTCACGATTCAATTCTATCTCATTATCTTCCTATATACATAAAAATGTAAGGCTATCATCACACAGCCCCACTGGAGGATTTGCAGGGCCACATCTCAGTCCTGGAATTGCATGAAGTCAGGTTGTGGGAAGGGAGCAAAAGAGGTTTTAAACTGGGCTATTTGAACAACTGTGTTTTAAACAACAGGGATGAAGGGATACAGAGGAACTGTGAAGGCATATAGGGACTTGGGAGTTGTGATGGGATGGGACATTTTTGTGAGGTGTAAAGGGAGGAAGTGAGTTGGTATGGGGGGCTGGCAGCCCCTAGTTATTTTATATAGATATACGTATGAGTGAGATCACACAGCTCTGTTTCTTATATTCATCAGACCCTGGAGCAGCAAATTTTGATCAGAACCAGTTTTTGGCAAGGATGGTTAATTTGGATGAGGGTATTCAAGCTAAAGTTAAATCTAAGTGGTTTTACTAGAGTTTAAAGGAAAGGAGTTGTTTATGGCCTTCAAGATACACATACCATTCATATCTCACTGGAAGAAGTTTTATCAGTCAGGTTTATGATCTGAATACAAGCTGGACCTTTTCTGTGATCCACTTCCATGTCAACTGCATCAAAGATTATGGAGAACAATCTGCAAAAAGAATTACGAAGTGGTTGCCCAATTTTGGTATTGATGAAATGCTGACCACCATCTTCTCCTAAAATAACAGCCATGACCAGCGGTTTTAATAATATTTTTTATCAGTTCATCTCTTTTCCACATTAGCTTCTGTAAGTGTCCAATATGTATTTACATAAACGCATCATTTTCTTTCAGAAGTTTTCACTTCGATTGATTCTCCATTTGAAGCAAGACTTCCTTCCGATGTGCTTCAATTTCCTTCAGCAACTCTTCCTTTTCCTTGAAGTAATTCCGGAACCATGCTATATGTTCTACCTTTTCTTGAACGCTTAAGTATGGGTTTTTGGAAAGTCCACAGGTTACAAGTTCCATGAAATGGCGAATTGATTCCTCCTTGGGGAAGTCTTCCAAGTATTTATCCAGAAATATATGCTCATAAAATTCCGCATCATCTTCAAGTCCTAACAAAGTCAACCACAATAACTGTCAGATCACGGCAAAATTAACAGTTAAGCTGTTAGCCAGAGAATGAACACAGAAAAGGTTTAGTGGGATTTATCTTCCATATATACCATCCCCTTCCTTGCCACCATTATTTTGCCCCAGAAAATGTTGAAATTGCAAAATATGTATAAAGTGGGATCCAAACTTAGCCATACTTACAGTAAACTCACTGATCTATGGGACTGAGTCATGACTACCATGAATTCCATTGATTTCAGTGGAGCTACTCGAATCCATTTTATTGAGTCATGTAATTTATTCCAGTCACAGAACTAATTTGCTTCACCAAGAATTAAAGATCCCCTGACCAAGTCATGAAATGCCTATGAATTTTGTTTCGTTAAATCAATTTAGCAAAACACCAGAATTAGGAAATGCATCACTAAATGGCTTAAAAGCTTAAGTTATCCATATTAATTGATATTCCTGAACTTTAAAAAGCCATCTTGATGTTTTAAGTCTTTTAAAATGCAAAACAGCTTTAAAATTCAGTGTAACAACTGACTGGTTAGGGGGAAGAAAGGCTTTTAAAGTATTTTGAGGCGAACCACTGCTCTGCTGCATTGCTCCTGGTAATTTAAATTTACTATGCTTCTACCAACTATAATAAGATTATGGCCCCGCTTGTGACTGAACTGCAAAGTGTATTTATTATTTGATAGGCCAGGCACATCCAACGGGTAGATTGTGATCTACCGGTAGATCACTGGACATCTATGGTAGATCACTGGCTCCCCCCAAAGCAGCTCAACAACTTTGGTTCCCCAAAAATAAGCTTTTTTCCTTGCAGTCCTAAAAAACAGGGCTTTCCTCCTCCCTAAAAACACTTTGACCTGAACTCCTCCCAAAAAGTGCTTTCCTTCCTAAAAAAAGCTCAACAACTTTGCCTTTTTCACTGCCAGTTTTTAACTTTGTGAGTAGATCGCAGCCTCTTGGGAGTTGGCCCCCCCAGTGATAGGCCATCCCTTGATGTGTGAATTGTGTTCATTTGGAAGTACTGTGTTTTCAGCTCCCTTCAATGAATGGATAGAAGATATGTACAAAGTTGCAACTCTTGAACCAGATGCATACAAACGTAGACTTGCCATGGACAAATTTTATGATATTTGGAATTCACTTCTATAAACACTGCATTAGGTTAAGTTTAGGTTAGCTACAATAACCATCATGTAATATTTATACTGTTTTTGTTTTGTTTTTTTACACGGGTGTTTTTTTTTATTCTATTCTTTTCATGACTTATTTGGCCTTGTACGCTCATAATTTTATACTTCATATTTTCCCATAAAGATTATAAAAACAAAACAAAACCTAGTATGAAACTTCCAAGAGCAATTCCTCACATCATTGATAAAGTAGTATAGTACAGCCTTCCCCATCCTGGTGCCCTCCGCATATTTCGAACTACAACTCCCACCAAGCCCTGTGCTGGCTAAAGTTGATGAAGAGTTATAGTCCAAAATTTCTGAAGGGTACCAAATCAGGGAAATGGCAAAGAAAGCAAAACTGGACAAGCCAAGAACTTTTCAAGGCACATACCAGCTTCGTTGTTGATGGGAAATTCCCATAGTTTCCCCTCCTTAGTCCACTGTATCATCTCCTCAAAGCCATTCTGAGGTCCTTGCTGACAGACAGCTTCAATTTCTTTAGCAAGCTCCAGATCCCAAAGTGTTGGTGGTGTCACTGTTTATAAAAGGAAACAAATAAGCCAACAAGCCAACATTTGCCATGCAATTGCTGGTGGCTGGAGATGACAAAAAAACAATCAGGATTGCTAACTTTAACAAAACCTGGAAGAGCTGTAGTTTCAAAAGTCTGTAATAGCTGCTTCTTTGTGCTGCTGCAATATAAGCCCATTCAGTGCCAGAATTATGAAAACAAACTTATTCTCAGGCCATATTAAAATATCAGCACATGGCTTTTTCTCCTCATTTTCCACACAGAGTTGCCTGTACTTTACTAGCCTCAAGACTGTTGGATTAACAGAAATCACAATATTTTCAGAATTTGGCATGAAAGGGAATGGGTGTTTGCTTGATATCATTGTTACTATTATATGGAACAGGAGCACAATATAGAAAAAGTTGTCATATGCTTCAGTCCCAATGAAAGGTCCCCATTTTCTCTGAATTAGGTCCACGGTATCTAGTTCAACATCAACGTCAAAGGACTTAATTACCTGGAAACAAAATAATGCATCAGGAAATTCATCCTTCTCTCTTCTAAGAAAGTTGGGATACAATTGGGCGGTTCTAGTAGTACAGATTTTGTGGATTGTGAATTCCACATGTAAGCAACTGAATGTATTCAAAAGTGTGAAAGAGCTTGAGGGAGGTTGATGAGAGGCCCTCAAGAACCCCCCCCCCAAAAAAAATCCCATCTAACCCCAGAAACAAACCTTTACAACAACTTAGGATCAAATATTTGGATTCTTAATAAATCATATATTTCTCCCCAATTCAGATTGGAGGAAAAACTAGTATTTAGCACTTCTAGACAAATTTTATACACGTTGTGTTAACTGTGTGCAACTAATATAAGAAAATTGGCAGCTTTCTTTGGCACAATCTAATAAATAGTAAAAAGTCCATTAAGTTCAATGAGCTCTATTTCTATGATGTACAGCCAGGACGGTGAACAACAGCTAGCTAGTGGCCCAGATTCTGAGCTCCCGCAGGTCCTGTGGACCAGGGTTTGATGAGGGTGAGACCACCCACCCAACAATCACCTGTCAATCATTATGTCAGGTGACCCAACTTCAAAGGAAAGCGTTGCACGCATGCTCTAAAGGTGCTTCCAATTCTTCCTTTGCAGCCAGGAATGTGCAGTGTTGACTGCAAACCCAGCTTTTTGTACCGCATGGATGCGCAGCTTTAAGCTGGCCGCCCAAAACATACCAATGAAATCGCCACAAATGTTGAGCTGCACACAAAGATTCACACACAATTATTAATCATCAATAGGAGTATAGCATCTAGATCAAGGGAAGTTAATAGTGCCACTGTATTCTGCTCTGGTCAGACCTCACCTGGAGTACTGTGTCCAGTTCTGGGCACCACAGTTCAAGAAGGACACTGACAAACTGGAACGTGTCCAGAGGAGGGCAACCAAAATGGTCAAAGGCCTGGAAACGATGCCTTATGAGGAACGGCTAAGGGAGCTGGGCATGTTTAGCCTGGAGAAGAGGAGGTTAAGGGGTGATATGATAGCCATGTTCCAATATATAAAAGGATGTCACATAGAGGAGGGAGAAAGGTTGTTTTCTGCTGCTCCAGAGAAGCGGACACGGAGCAATGGATCCAAACTACAAGAAAGAAGATTCCACCTAAACATTAGGAAGAACTTCCTGACAGTAAGAGCTGTTCGACAGTGGAATTTGCTGCCAAGGAGTGTGGTGGAGTCTCCTTCTTTGGAGGTCTTTAAGCAGAGGCTTGACAACCATATGTCAGGAGTGCTCTGATGGTGTTTCCTGCTTGGCAGGGGGTTGGACTCGATGGCCCTTGTGGTCTCTTCCAACTCTATGATTCTATGATTCTATGATTAATTTTCTCCAGCATCAAAATTATTTGTTTTACAGTGAGGCAGCTTTGAGAACCAGATTCCATTAAGAAATTCGTCTTTTCTAAGCTATGGAGACATAGCACACAAGTCACTTCCCTAGGGCAACACTGTATTGCCACAGGTTGAGTTTTGTTATATTAAATTATCTTGTTTGCTTTTTTGTTCCTACCGTTTTTCAACTCACCTGTTTCAAGTGCTTCTTCTGTTTCAGAAGTAGGAGCAAAAATATCAAGTCTTTTCCCTGAAAACAGTCCTTTTCTAGGTAAAAAAAATAGGGGGGAAATCTATTAAAATAGCAATAATAGTGTCATAGTGTTCTGCCTCAGGTTCCACTGGGGATAGCACTGTTAATCTGTGTTGCACAAACCCAGGTGAGTTTCTAAATGTGATGCCAGAATATGCACTTACTGAACAGCCTGTTTATACTACTTTGTGTTCCTGTTCTTAATGAATAAAACAATCTCCTAGACCTTATGACTACAAAGATACACTTGCAAGTGCACAGGCAATGAATGATGAAACTTCAAAAAACCAGAGGGCTTGTTGAATAAGAAGATTCCCAGTGGTTGAGGGCAGGATTCAATGGTCTGCATTGTTCTGTACTCTCCAAACAAATGCAAGTAATTTACCAAGACTACTAAGATTTCAAAAGTTGTTTATAAAATTGTATTTAGGCCAAAACACTGCTCCACCTCTCAGAGGTAGTGAGCCCAGAGCTACATAGGAATTTGTTATTATTTATTATATTTATTAGACAGATGGTTGGACAGTGTTCTCGAAGCTACAAACATGAGTCTGACCAAACTGTGGGAGGCAGTGGAAGACAGGAGTGCCTGGCGTGCTCTGGTCCAGGGGGTCACGAAGAGTCGGACATGACTAAACGACTAAACAACAAAATGTTTATTACCTGCCCAGGACCCGGGGTAACTCACAACAATCCAAAATTCAGCATGAAATAAATTTAAAGCAAACTAGTCACAGGAATAGGGTGGGTCCCCAAAACACATGTCCCATATGTCAAAGGCCAAGTATTCATCATATGGTAGAAGGTATATAATGAAGGTGGCAGGTGTACCTCTGTAGGGAGGGAATTCGACAACAGAGGAGCTGCCACAGAGAATGCCTTCTCCTGGTCAACAACACCTAAACTTCTTAGAAGAGGGGGGGCCGCTAGGGGCGCCTTGGAAGATGGCGGATAATACCATCTATCCAGCCCGCACGAGGTAATTTGAGGCTGATTACGGGGAGTAAATCAGTCCGTTTCGTCTCTCCAGGGAATGGAAAGACGGAGTTTTCACCCACGGTTGCCATAAATCACCCCCGAGTTCGGAAGAAGGAGGGGGTGCGAGGCACTGGGTGCATAACCCTCGGCGGGTCTCGGCACTCCTCCGAAGCTGCTTCCAGGAGCGAAACTAGTTGCGTTACTTAAAAGGAAAAAATTGGAGAAAGCTAACGCCCATGCTTCGAGAGAGGCAGGAGGTTTTATCTGCTAATAATTTTGCCACTGAAAGGAAGATTGAGACGGAAGATTACATCAAAGTACTACAAAAAAAAAGTACTACAGACATGCTGGTATGTGGAAGGCAACGGAACGGAAAGGGGGGGGAAAACTACTTTTTATTTTTTGTTTCATGTGATTACCTAATAACCCCCCCCTTAAAAGATCCGTCACAATAACTAATTGGCAAATGGGGTTAAAAATGAGCTGTGTGGGGGAAAATAATATGAATTCAAAGGTTTTATTCTGTGAAGGACTTGGAAAAACAAAGGCTCTCTTTGTGACGCAACAAGAATTGAGATTTGATACAGAAGGACAGACATCTGTTGCAGGGAGTTTGGTCTTAGGGAGGGCGAGCCGAAGATTTGTTATCTGGATGGGACTGTGAACTGGAAGGGGCAGCCCTCCTGGAAAAGACTAATTTACGATGCAATAGGTCTGGAAAGTTAATGAGTGGGCTTTTAGACTGTATTTCATCAGAATGACAAGATGACGATTGCCCGCTCGAGTGGAAACACCTGGACTATTGGATGAGAGTGATTCACGAGAGAGCAATATAGAATCCACACAGAAATATAAATAATTGTTTTTTTAACCCACTTGCGGAGATAATTTGGAGGCGAATGGAAAGGAAAATGAGTAACGACAAGGATCGTGAAGAGGGACTGAAAATATCATTCTAAATATGAAAGCAGCAGAAATATTCGAGGATTGGACTCCTGCCGATCAAGAAGCATGGGTACCCCCCACAAAAAACCTACAATTGGGAAATAATTGGATTATATGATGTGTATTGTTATAATTTGGATTAATTGGTTTGATATGTTTAATTTGGTAAATGGAAACTTAATAAAAATTATTTAAAAAAAAAAAACTTCGAAGAAGAAGAAGAAGAGTTTGGATTTGATATCCGGCTTTATCACTACCCGAAGGAGTCTCAAAGCGGCTAACATTCTCCTTTCCCTTCCTCCCCCACAACAAACACTCTGTGAGGTGAGGGGGGCTGAGAGACTTCAGAGAAGTGTGACTAGCCCAAGGTCACCCAGCAGCTGCATGTGGAGGAGCAGAGACGCGAACCCGGTTCACCAGATTATGAATCTACCGCTCTTAACCACTACACCACATTGGCTTAGGACACAACCGCAGCAAGAATTTTGTTAGCGAAGAATTGGAAAACACAAGTACCAACAGATGAAGATGATGGACTTTTCGGAGCTAGCCAACCTGACTGGAAGAGTCCGTGACCAGGAGGAGGAGGAGTACCAGGAAGAACGGACAAAATTTAAAGACTATTTAGTTAAATATGTTAAAATAACTGAACTGGAAAAGCTTGCAAATATTAGATAGGCTTTCGATTAAAATATGTAAAGATAGGATTTAAGATGTTTAAAGCTAAATTAGAAAGAATGAAAGATGTTAAGTGATCGAGTTAATTTTTTGAGAAAATTGATTTTGGAAAACTGTTAAATGGATATATAATGAAATTCAACCAAGGGGATTTGAGGAAGTCACTTAATAATGTTACCAAGATTCAAACAGGATGTATGTATGTTTGTTTGTTTAATTTTTTTGGAAAATTAATAAAAATAAATGAAAATAAATAAATAAACTTCTTAGGGCATTGGAACTCCCAAGAAGGCCCCTCTCTGCTGATCTTAACACCCAAGGGGGGTTGTAGGATAGGTCTTTCAGACTAAATGCTCTGGGTGTCATCTGATCTCAAACACAGCGCAGTCCCTCCTATTCAGCCATCTTTCACTGAATGTGCCAACTGGCATTTGACCATCACCGTATAACCCCTTTTGAGTGTAACAAAGATGCTTTCTATCAGGAAGTAGAATATGCCAAGGAACACTAGAAAAAGTACCTTCTCATTCTACCAGCAAGTGTTCTTTCATGCATAAAACCTCGTCCATCATCATCAAACCGAATTTGATTGGTTGGGCTAGCAGCATCCCTTGTCAGTGGATTCCTCCCAATCTTCATGTTTGCAACGATGTTGCTGAAATTAAGATCAGTGTTTGTTAAGAAACATGCTCAGTACAGCCCAGCAATACTCTTTTCACATTATCTACCTTCCTGTGATATTCGGTTACGTTAAAAAACCCACACACACCCCGTATCTCCCACCTGTTTCCCAGTTTAACAAAATAATTCTCAGTTTACAATATAATTAGGTAAAGGTAAAGGGACCCCTGACCAATAAGTCCAGTCGTGGCCGACTGGGGTTGCGGCGCTCATCTCGCTTTATTGGCCGAGGGAGCCGGCGTACAGCTTCCGGGTCATGTGGCCAGCATGACTAAGCCGCTTCTGGTGAACCAGAGCAGCGCACGGAAACGCCATTTATCTTCCCGCCGGAGCGGTACCTATTTATCTACTTGCACTTTGACGTGCTTTCGAACTGCTAGGTTGGCAGGAGCAGGGACCAAGCAACGGGAGCTCACCCCGTCGCGGGGATTCGAACCGCCGACCTTCTGATCGGCAAGTCCTAGGCTCTGTGGTTTAACCCACAGCGCCACCCGCATCCCTACAATATAATTAGCCTGCAGTAAAATGCTTAAGGTTACCATCCACACCCCTGAACCAATCACCCAAAGCAGCAATGTCACGGGGTGCTCCACTCCCTAAAAATCTTGCTAGAACTAGAACATGGATTTCCTCCACATGTCAACTGAGACATATAGCTGTTACAAGGGCATGACTTCTAAAACGTTTGGACTGCTATAGAGAAAGCCTTGCTCTTCCCCCCCACCCCGATGTTTTGTTTTCTAACAACAGATCTGAAAAGGTGGAGAAGGAAGAGAGCATTCCTGGGAAGAATTCGTTTCCTAGATATGCAGATTGCAGACTTTGAAGGGCATTGTAGGTCAGTAAGAGCGTATTAGGAAGAATTCAGCACAGGGCTATGACAAACACAAACATTTAAGCTTGCCAGACAGAACAACACCCCCTTTCCTCCAACTGTGTCTTGTTCTGGAGATTCTCCCCAAACCCCAGAACCAAGGAGTGGCATAGGGAGGGGGGAGGAGAGGGGGAAAGCCTTATTGCACTAGCAAAAGCCCTGGCTAGCAGAACTTGCTAATTTAATCTTGTACACTGAATTGAGCATGGATGCCAGCAGATAATCAGTGCAGCTATGCAAGATTTTAGATGAAAGTTTCCTTTTATTCACTGTCATCTACTGTAAAGGCCTTTGGCTACATACAATAAAACTGACTCTCTCACCAGTTCAGCTACATCAACGCAGTTTGACTATACACATCCTTCCCAACTTCTGAGAAGAATTAAGAGCTTTACATCAAGCAAAACTTCCTACTCGTGAAGGAAGCAGCACACAGAACACTTTGAAACAGCCAATTCTCATGTAGAGAAAGGGATCTAGGCTATATGTGATGGCATAACTAGTCCTAAGCACTAGTCAACACATTCTCAAGGGTCATAAAAGTAAAACTGCAGGAGTGACAAGCAGGCAGTGCCTCAGGCTTAGGCTCCACCTGGCTGGCTGGTAAGACCTGTAAATTACTTCCCCTCCAGGTGATGCAGTTCAGGTAGTTCACAGGCCCCTCATCACCCAATTGTTTCCAGTCAACAACAGCATGCTGACTGCAATGGCAGCAGAGAAGTGAACCACATTTGCCACTATCACCACCATATCAAAACCTTGCTAAAACACTGGCTCCCAGTACATTTCTGAGCACAATTCAAAGTGTTGGTGCTGACCTTTAAAGCCCTAAAAGGCCTAGGTCCAGTATACCTGAAGCAGCATCTCCACCTCCATCGTTCTGCCCGGACACTGAGGTCCAGCGCCGAGGGCCTTCTGGCGGTTCCCTCGCTGCGAGAAGCCAAGTTACAGGGAACCAGGCAGAGGGCCTTCTCGGTAGTGGCACCCGCCCTGTAGAACGCCCTCCCACTAGATGTCATAGAGAAAAATAACTACCAAACTTTTAGAAGACATCTAAAGGCAGCCCTGTTTAGGGAAGCTTTTAATGTTTAATAGGTTACTGTATTTTAGTGTTTTGTTGGAAGCCGCCCAGAGTGGCTGGGGAAACCCAGCCAGATGGGCAGGGTATAAATAATAAATAATAATAATAATAATAATAATAATAATAATAATATAATAAGCTCTGCGGCACGATCTGTGAGTTTCAGTGCAATATTCTGTTGCTCCTGTTCAAGCCATTTACTTTCTCATCTCACAATGGTAAAATGGGTTTCTGTGTATAGATGTGCTAGAGGAGTGATCAAGGGGGGGGGGCGGAATAGGAGGCTCTGCACTTCCTTAATTCTTGCACAAAAATATGGGTGTCTGTGTAAAACATCCTACTGCTCCCTCAGAACACATGTCTTCGCTGGTAGCAGACAGTAGCACACAAATGCAAGGCAGGATCAAGAATGAAAGGGAGATTTAATTGTGATGGCTGACAAAAGTAAGCAGACAGGGACTGAAAAATGCCTCCTCAGTAGCCACCATTTGTAGGCCAAGGTGGTCACAAGGTAGAGAGAAGTGGGTTTGGAGGCAGGGTTTCCTTTGGCGTGTGATTGCTAAACCACACACTGCATCTCTTCAGTGGGTATTTTGAGGTAAAGGGGAGACCCTCCCTTCTCCTCCTTAGGGAGTGTGGGAGGGAGAAGGGCAATGAGGCCTACTAATGTAAGGGCCAAACCTTCAACAGACAAGGAGCAATTGCCTCTTAACACACAGTTCAGACAACTCCAAGTGAGACTGTAGCAAGAGTGTCAAGATCACAATGATCCAGGGTGGTTTATGATGATCAAGAGCTGTCTAGAACATCGGCCAGGATATGACAAGTATACAGGATTTAAATAAATACTTGGGCAAAGAGAATGATAATTATTTTATCTCTGACAGTAAGCAGATTGCAAACCACCCTCATTCTGAACATATACACACAAAAAGACTCTGATTTGAATATATTTGACAAAAATGTTCTTGGAAAATATTTAGAAAGAATACTTCTCCAGAAGTATCAGATCTGAATATCTATATGGCAGCAAAAGCCAGGATAGCACAGCCTGGTGTTTGAATGCTTTCCTTACTCAACAATGAAATGAAATTCAATCATTTCATTAGATTCTGACTGTGGAAAAAAACAAGAGTGCTAGACTCTGCTCTTGTTGTTGTCATCACTTGTGGTCAGTGTGATGACCAAATCAGAAAAAAAATCACAGTTAAGTTGACCTGGCAAGGATGGTACAGTTTGCTTCCTTCATCATGTGGCTATCCGTGCATCTTTCTTGGCAGTCATAGTAACAAGAAGAGCAAACTCCTTTGAAAGAAGCTCTTCTTTCCTCCAAGCAAAATGTTACTGCCTTGCAACATGCCTCACTTTCTGTGGACAGACTAAACCTCTGAGCTGGAAGTCAACAAGATACATGTTACACAGACAAGGCCCAGATTTCTTGCTTGCGGGGGTGGGGGTGGGGGTGGGATTCATCAGATCATTAAATCTTGTCAAACTGGATCGTAAAGATCATAAATTTCTTGGAATAATAACTATCACCTTTAATGTGAAGGCTGGGACATTCAGGATGTCTCCTAAATTCTAGATTTTGTTTGTAATGAAGCTCAACCCTTTGATGTTTTTGTAAAATGATGCCATAATTTCCACTCACTGAGAGAAACCTCATTCCTCCTCAAAATTCTGCACTGTTGTTATTTCCATTTAGCAAACATTCAGTGCTTCCTCTTCTGCAAAACAAACTGATGGATGAAGACTCTGTAAAGCAGTGACACCCACTGGTAATACATGCTACTACAAATGGAGAACAGCTTAGCTATGATTTACTGGCAGAAAGCTCCCTTTCCAAATGGTGTTTTTCGTTTGCTTTTTGTCCCAGCACTTTCCCTGGGTAAACCTGCATTTTACCACTGAAACAGAGCAAATGGCAAAACCTATTGCCATTTGCCCTGATTCAGCAGTAAAACATGGGTTTTCCTAAGGAAAGTGCAGGCCAAGGACAAAAACCAAACCAAACCGCTCAGACCATAGCTGTCAACCGTCCCTTATTTGGCAGGAAAGTCCCTTATCCCAGTGCCGTGTCCCGCTGCTGTCCCTTATTGATGATGTCCCTTAAATTTCCCGGGTTTCAAAGGAAGCAGCTCCTCTCCCTCCCTGCCTGCCGGCCAGGGAGGAGGGAGGCTCCAACTGTGTTGCTTGGCTGCGTTGCTCACTCAATAAGGAGTCTATAAGAATGACTGGGGGATGGAGCTTGCATGCCTTGTGCCGATCAAATCGGCCGTGTTGCCTGAGGACTCGCCTTGGCTCATCGCTTCCCAGTCAAGAGGTGACGGTGGTTTTCCTTGCTGCATCCCCTTTGCCGGGTTGCTGCGCTGTGGGAACCACCGCTTGAGGCTTCGTTTGGCTGCTGGCTCGGCTTTCTGCCTTTGGCTTGGGTGGGCTCAGAAGTTGAACATACCTGTGCTTGGAAAATCCCTTATTTTGGCTGCTGATCCCTTATTTTCAAATCTGTAAGTTGACAGCTATGGCTCAGACACAGGGCTTTTAAGTGTGGAACTGTGCCTGCGAAGTGTGGCACAAAAGGAAGTTCTGAATGAGCCCATAATTAAGAAGGTACAGCAGTGATCCCCTTATTTATATCTGAAAAGGTAACTAGCCCTTATGAAAGAGGGTTGTGCAATAGACCTAGCCTACTTGGTACTTAAAATGGGATTGGTGGATATTAACACAGCCACTGTTTTATTTGATAGGGAACTATAATGGAGAAGTGCCAAAAGATTTTGCTAAAAGGCAAATATTTAACTTGGATAAGAGCAACCAGTAGTGCCCAGTAACAAAACCTTTTTTATGCATCATTCTTATTAGACAGTTAGGAGAGGGAAATAAGAGAATTCTAATAAAATATGGGGATGTCATATTATTATATTATATCTTCCAAAGGAATATTATATCTTCCAAAGGAATAGCTTAAAAATTCTGCTAGCCTTTCAGGTGCCACAAGGCACTGTTATTCTTACTGCTAATATATAGTATCTGGACTGGAGATTAAAGGTAAAGGTAAAGAGACCCCAGACCATAAGCCCAGTTGCAGACGACTCGGGGGTTGCAGCGCTCATCTCGCTTTATTGGCCGAGGGAGCCGGCGTACAGGTTCCGGGTCATGTGGCCAGCATGACTAAGCCGCTTCTGGCGAACCAGAGCAGCGCACGGAAACGCCATTTACCTTCCCGCAGGAGTGGTACCTATTTATCTACTTGCACTTTGTGCTTTGAACTGCTGTTGGCAGGAGCAGGGACTGAGCAACGGGAGCTCATCCCGTCACGGGGATTCAAACCGCCGACCTTTAGATTAGCAAGCCCTAGGCTCTGGAGATTAGGCACTATTAAAGGGATTATCTCAAACTGGAAAAATTTAAATGGAATGAAATTTCATAGCACAAGTGTGGTCGCCGTGAGTATGGAGAAAACCTGGAGTCAGAAGGAAAGAGATCTTGTAGTAGTTGCTTATAACTAATGGCTCTGAATCACGATTGTGATACGGCAGTTCACAAACATCATGCTTGCGACAGTTACACTTAAGACAGGAAGCAGCCATGGTTTTGAAACACTGACAAAGCTAGCCCATAAATTTGTGTTTAAATGTTGCTTCTCTTGAATAGGCAAAACAAAAAATAAGATGTTTATTGTGTACTCAAAGCATTAGGGACATAGGTGGTGCTGTAGTCTAAACCACCGAGCCTCCTGGGCTTGCTGATTGTAAGGTAAGCAGTTCAAATCTGCGTGACGGAATGAGCTCCTGTTGTTTCGTCCCAGCTCCTGCCAACCTAGCAGTTCGAAAGCATACCAGCGCAAGTAAATAAATAGGAACTGCTGCGGCGGGAAAGTAAACAGCATTTCTGTGCACTCTGGCACTCATCATGGTATCCCGTTGTGCCAGAAACAATTTAGTCATGCTGGCCACATGACCCGGAAAAGCTGTCAGTGGACAAACACCGACTCCCTCGGCCTGAAAGCGGAGATGAATGCCACACTCCATAGTCAAATTTGACTGGATTTAACCATCCAGCGGTCCTTTACCTTAACCTATTCAAAGCATCATAATAAAACCATAATTTCTATATATAAAGCCACTTATAGTCCTTCATCTCCAAAAGCAGGGTGCACATTTTAAAGCAAAGCAAATCAAAGATCAGCAACCTCCTTCACTTTGTTTTTTGACCAACAGTGTGACAAATATCACAATATACTATTGGGAACAGCATGTAGTTTGCAAACCTTATGTCAGTTACTTCTTCGCTTTTACGTGCATCAGTGACTTCCTTCTGCTTTTTCAGTAGTTGAACCAATTCTGAAACTGTCCTTTTCCTGTCAAAAGGGAGGGACGATGCAACAGCAGAGGCAGCTGCCACCAGCTCTGGATTGAGTGTTTCACTGTTGGAATAACAACAACAACAATTATTATTTATTATTTATACCCCACCCATCCGGCTAGGTTTCCCCAGCTACTCTGGGAAGCTCCCAACAGATAAAAAACAGAATAAAACATCAAATATTAAAAACTTCCCTAAACAGGGCTGCCTTCAGATGTCTTCTAAAAGTCAGGTAGTTGTTTATTTCCTTGACATCTGATGGGAGGGCGTTCCACCGAGAAGGCCCTCTGTCTGGTTCCCTGTAACCTCACATCTCACAGTGAGGGAACCGCCAGAAGGCCCTCAGAGCTGGACCTCAGTGTCTGGGCAGAACGATGGGGGTGGAGACGCTCCTTCAGGTATACTGGGCCGAAACAGATTAAAACAACAGGTTGTATTTTTCCTTTGCTCATTGTTTCCCACATTGTATTCATATGAAAATACGACACCGTTAGACAAGCTACTGTGTAATTACTACATGTTTTCTAATACTGCCTATTTTAATACGGCTAATAAAGTAGAAGAAAGCATGTTTGGTGGACTCAAGTTTGTAACTACCTGCTAAAATATCAACATGATCCCCCTAGGCCAGGAGTTAGGGAACCTGCAACCTTCCAGATATTGCTGGACTGCAACACCTAACATCCCTGACTATTGGCTATGGTGGCTGGGGTTGATGAATGTTGAGAATCCAACATCAGAAGAGCTTAACCGGGACAGCTCCTTTCTGCACTGCTGTGATAATGTGGGAGAAGCCCACTCTCTTAGCTTTTTCACACACTAGCATTGCCAATATCTAGGAGGATAGTAAGCCGGTAAGATACAATCTAAATCAAATCCCTTATGAATACACAGTGGAAGTGAGGAACAGGTTTAAGGATTTAGATTTGCTGGACAGAGTGCCTGAAGAACTATGGATGGAGGCTCGTAATACAGGAGGCAGCAACGAAAACCATCCCAATGAAAAGGAAATCCAAGAAAGCAAAGTGGCTGTCCAACGAGGCCTTACAAATAGCGGGGGAGAGGAGGCAAGGAAAATGCGAGGGAGAAAGTGAAAGATACAGGAAATCGAATGCAGATTTCCAAAAAATAGCAAGGAGAGACAAGAAGGCCTTCTTAAACGAGCAATGCAAAGAAATAGAGGAAAACAACAGAATGGGAAGAACCAGAGATCTGTTCAAGAAAATTGGAGATATGAAAGGAACATTTCGTACAAAGATTACCATAATAAAGGACAAAAGTGGTAAGGACCTAACAGAAGCAGAAGACATCAAGAAGACGAAGAGTCGGACATGACTAAATGACTAAACAACAACAACAAAGGAGGATAGTTCATAATGTATTATCTAGGACCAACAAAGCAGCAACTTTCTACAGAAAAACCAAAAAAGGGGGCATAAATGGAGGTCCCTCCTCTCAGCCTTTTACAAAAGTGGTTCATTCTGTCTGAAAGGGACAGAACTCATGTCTATTGTTGCCCTTTTATCAAGCAGTCCATATTTTTCTCTGGGAGTTGGTAACATTCTTAGCTACACCTCCCAATGAATGTACTTTCCAAAATCCATGATACTTATGAACAAAGAGAATGAGAGACATGCATCCAGAGAGTTACCTCTTAGCTTTGTCTTCTGTAGCTTTCTGGAACATGCTACTTGTACTCTCCATATTTTCTGGCAAGTTCGTTGTTTGATCCTTAATCTTCTGGGCTTTCAACATCTGGAACTTCTTCTTTGTACTGATTTCTACTTTCATTTCACTAATGATATTTAGCAAGTTCTTCTTTGTGGTTGCTTGCAGTTTGTTCTCCTGGTTTGGTGAAGTCTCTGTATCTTTGATATTGACTGGAGGAGTAGGGTCATCTTCTTTGGTACACAAAACAGGGCTGGTGCCTAGGTACTTGTGTGTCTTACTAAAATGATATGGAAAGTGGGGGTTATTATTATTATTATTACTACTCATTTCTATACCACTTTATATTTTTAATCTGAAAGGGGTTTACAACCTAAATTAAAATATTGAATAAAACAACACGGAATAAAACATTACAGAAGAAACTCAAATATAAAGCAACACAATTAACAGGAAATTAAAATATTTTATCTTGAAGATTTCAAAATAAATCATTACAAAGCTCAGAAATTCTATTGTACAACCTAATTCCCATGGCAAATGAAGACATGGTAGCACCACGTACAACAAGACTGCAGTGCTTGAGGCGCAGACTCAACCAACCCAACACGTTAGTAGTGGAAGGCAGTGCAAGACCTTCTCCACTAGTAGTAGTAGAAGAAGGGTTTGGATTTCATATCCCGCTTTATCACTACCCGAAGGAGTACTGTACAGCATTTCCCAAACTTGGATCTCCAGCTGTTGCTGGACTACAACTCCCACAATCACTATCTGGCAGCACCAGGGATGATGAGAACTGTAGTCCAAAGCAGATGGAGACCCGAATTTGGGAAACGCTGCCCTTGTACAACATCATCATCATTGGGTGGCGCTGTGGGTTAAACCACAGAACCTAGGACTTGCTGATCAGAAGGTCGGCGGTTCGAATCCCCGCGACGGGGTGAGCTCCCGTTGCTCGGTCCCTGCTCCTGCCAACCTAGCAGTTCGAAAGCACATCAAAGTGCAAGTAGATAAATAGGTACCACTCCGGCGGGAAGGTAAACGGTGTTTCCGTGCGTTGCTCTGGTTCGCCAGAAGCGGCTTTGTCATGCTGGCCACATGACCCGGAAGCTGTATGCTGGCTCCCTCAGCCAATAAAGTGAGATGAGCGCCGCAACCCCAGAGTCAGCCACGACTGGACCTAATGGTCAGGGGGGCCTTTACTTAATTCTCTGAAGGCCAGCACACATTTTACAGTGGTGGGCATGTTTGTTGCATTTCCCTCATCAAAAGTATGAAGCTGGGGGAGACATGTATCTGAATACTTGTACAGTGGTACCTCGGGTTAAGTACCTAATTCGTTCCAGAGGTCCGTACTTAACCTGAAACTGTTCTTAACCTGAAGCACCACTTTAGCTAATGGGGCCTCCTGCTGCTGCCGTGCCGCTGGAGCACAATTTCTGTTCGCATCCTGAAGCAAAGTTCTTAACCTGAAGCACTATTTCTGGGTTAGCGGAGTCTGTAACCTAAAGCGTATGTAACCTGAAGCGTATGTAACCCGAGGTACCACTGTAGGAGTGGAAGGAAGTGCAAGACCTTCTCCACTAGTAGTAGAAGAGGAGGAGTTTGGATTTGATATCCCGCTTTATCACTACCTGAAGGAGTACTGTACAGTGTTTACCAAACTTGGATCTCCAGCTGTTGCTGGACTACAACTCACACGATCACTATCTGGCAGTACCAGGGATGATGGGAACTGTAGTCCAAAGCAGATGGAGACCTGAGTTTGGGAAATGCTGCCCTTGTACAACAACAACCAACAACAATACACCGCCCATCTGGCTGGGTTTCCCCAGCCACTCTGGGCGGCGTCCAGCAAAATATGAAAATACAATATTAAAAGCTTCCCTAAGCAGGGCTTTCTTCCCTCCTCCAATTTCTGTGCGCTGCCCACCCCGCGAGGGTCAGGAGACCCTGCACATATCCTGAGGGAGAAATCTGGGTGTCCTTGGGAAAGGAGTGCCGAGTCTTCCCACCCTCCGCAGCCGTACCTGCCCCAAGGCACGGCCCTCTGCAGCCGGGCCCCCGGGCGAAGGCCGGCAAAGAAGCTCCCGGGAAGGAGGACGCTCCTCCGCCACATTGTTCCCCAGAGCAACGAGGAGGCCGACGGAGCAGCCCGCTCCCCCACCACTTCCGGTCCGCTCCCGTTAACCGTCCCGCATCCTCAGCCACTTCCGGAGTAAAGCGCCGCCACGCTCTCATCCGTCCGGCCAGAACGCGCAAGCGCAGGTGTTTGGTTCCGTCGCTTAAATGAGCCCCGCGCCGACTCCGCCGCCCGAGGGGAGTTTTGGGCAGTGTTTTTCCCGTTTCCCGAAATGGGCAAAAGCGGGCATTTTGGCTGGTACGCCTTCCAAGGAATCTATACAATGCAAGACTTCAGGGAGTTGGCATCACAAGGAACCAACGTGCAAATCATGCCCTAAGACCTAGAGCCAAGCGTCCTATAAATCCGTATTTGGCTATTTCTTCCTCCTATCCTTATGGGCATTTTGCAAATAGCATGCTTTATGGATTCAGCACGCTTCCCCCTGGCGGCTAGGGCGGACATTTAGGTAAGTCGACCCAGTTTCTCGTTGCAGGTCGTAGAATCAGAGGATTGTAGAGCTGGAAGGGACCTCGAGGGGTCATCTAGCCAACCCCCTGCCATGCAAGAATCTCAGCTAAAGCCTCCATGACAGATGGTCAGACAACCTCTGCTTAAAAACCTTTCCACTGTCGAAACGTTCTTACTGTCAGAGGTTTTCCTTTCATGCTTCACGCATCCCTTGCTCCTTCCCCGTCCTCCTCTTTCCTTTCTCTCCATACTGACTTGCCCTTCACTTGTTTATTTCCTTCCTTCTTTTCCTATTTTTACTGTTCACTAAGGAGAGTTCGTTGAACATACGTCTAAGAAAACTTGCTCGTGCTGCCAATGGGCGCATTTGCCAAGCCATGACAAGTCAGCAGAATAAGGCTGGGATCTTAGACTGAGAGAAAGTTCCGTTGAAATGGGTGGGAACTCCAGGTGAGCAAGCATAGAATTGGTTTGCACCAGTATGGAAAAGCTGTGGCACAAGTTTGGGAGTGAAAATTCTGAATCTCATCTAGATTCTCCAGAACTTTACAATTATAACCCACAGGGCAAGCCCCCTGACATTTCAAGGGGCGGAAGTCACACAACTGCTTCCTACACACTACATCTTTAAAGCACATCCAAAGCACGTTCTCCACCACCAAAGAATTCTGGGTACTGTAGTTTAGCCCTCACAGAATTACAATTTGCAGTAACCCTTAACAAACTACAGTACCCAGAATTCGGGGGGGGGGGGGAGGGGAGAAAACTGTGTTTCCAATGTGCTTTAAAGGTATGCTTTAGTATAAACACAGAAGACCTGCACAAAGCCACCACTGCTACCGTCGGTTTTCCTCGAGCTGCAGCGAGCGTGGGTGCCGTGAGTGTGCGTCGCTTTTCCCCAGCTGGGTCTGTTCAGTGCACCTGCGCAAGGCCCTGGGTATCCCCCTTCCTTAAGCGAGAGGTGCCGCCGCCACCGCTTTTCCCGCCGAGCGCTGAGGTGAAGGCGGCGGCGGCAGAGAAAGCGGCGCCTCTAGCCACGCCTTTAAGGGAGCTTGAAGTGGTGTACTGTACGTGGTTCTTTCCGCCCACCTCCCTATTCTATCTGCACGGCAACCATGTGACATAGGTCAGGCTGTGTTAAGTTGTAGGTGAACATATCAGACGACACAGCGATTCTTCAAACAGCTCTTGTTTATTCACAGGCCAGAACTGAACTGAACTGAAGGGTTCAGCCAGCCTGCTTATATAGAGCTCCACTACAACGCAACAGTAACCACTTTCTGTAACTATCCAATCACTGAACGTCACTTTCAATCCCTTATTTGCATATGTGGACCTGAGTGAAAACTATCTACAGTATCCTCCTGCTGGCCCAGAGTGAGAACTTCAGTACATAACAGGCTGAGAGGCAGTGACTGGGTCCCCAAGGTCGCAGCCAGTGAGCTTAATAGCTGAGTGGAGAATTTGAAGTTCTGAAGTTGCCCCAGCCCACTTGGAGACACACACCCTCCTTTGAAATGGCTTGCACTTCCATCCTGTGAAGTGCCCTGATCCTGGCTTGCTAGTTTTCACAGCCATGGCAACGGAAGAGAAGCCAGATTCAGAATCAACCAAAACACAATCAACATCCTCCTCTTCAACCAATCAGGGCAAGCCTGCCCCTGTAAAACCAAACTATGACCTGAAGTTCACGCTGGCAGGACACACAAAAGCTGTCTCATCAGTGAAATTCAGTCCCAATGGGGAGTGGCTGGCCAGTTCTTCGGCCGATACGCTTATAAAAATCTGGGGCGCCTATGACGGAAAATTTGAGAAAACCATATCTGGCCACAAGCTGGAAATCTCTGATGTTGCTTGGTCATCGGATTCAAACCTCCTTGTATCTGCCTCAGATGACAAAACTCTCAAAATTTGGGATGTGAGCTCAGGGAATTGCTTGAAAACCCTGCAGGGACACAGCAACTATGCCTTCTGCTGCAATTTCAACCCACAGTCCAACCTTGTTGTCTCAGGATCCTTTGATGAGAGTGTGAGGATATGGGAAGTCAAAACCGGGAAGTGCCTAAAAACCTTGCCAGCCCATTCTGACCCAGTTTCAGCAGTGCACTTTAACCGTGATGGCTCCCTGATAGTGTCCAGCAGCTATGATGGCCTCTGCCGAATCTGGGATACAGCAACAGGACAGTGCTTGAAAACACTGGTTGATGATGACAATCCCCCTGTGTCTTTTGTGAAGTTCTCTCCCAATGGCAAATATACTCTAGCGGCAACGCTGGACAACACTCTTAAGCTTTGGGACTACAGCAAAGGCAAGTGCCTAAAGACCTACACAGGCCACAAGACCGAGAAGTACTGCATCTTTGCCAACTTCTCCGTTACTGGTGGAAAGTGGATCGTGTCTGGTTCAGAGGACAACCTGGTTTACATTTGGAACCTCCAAACAAAAGAGATTGTACAGAAGCTACAAGGGCATACAGATGTTGTGATCTCTACAGCTTGCCATCCAACGGAGAACATCATTGCCTCAGCAGCTCTAGAAAACGACAAAACAATTAAACTTTGGAAGAGTGACTGTTAAAATGCTTTCAGCATCACTTCAGAGACTGCTGGGGGGTGTCTGTGTTTGTGTTTTTTGAAGACCCATTTGCCAGGAAACAAAGCAACCTTTGAGAAGGTGATGTCTCCTAGTCTTGGATCAAATAACTTCTCTCTTTGGATTGTCTCCAAACTGGGCAAATATAGTGGGGGGTTGGGGGGACGCGGGTGGCGCTGTGGGTTAAACCACAGAGCCTAGGACTTGCCGATCAGAAGGTCGCGGTTCGAATCCCCACGACTGGGTGAGCTCCCGTTCCTCGGTCCCTGCTCCTGCCAACCTAGCAGTTCGAAAGCATGTCAATTGCAAGTAGATAAATAGGTACCGCTCTGGCGGGAAGGTAAACGGCGTTTCCGTGCACTGCTCTGGTTCGCCAGAAGTGGCTTAGTCCTGCTGGCCACCTGACCCGGAAGCTGTACGCCAGCTCCCTCGGCCAGTAAAGCAAGATGAGCGCCGCAACCCCAGAGTCGGCCACGACTGGACCTAATAAAAAGGTTCTGTTTTCTTTGCTGAATTGGTGTCTTTTCCTACTGGGAAGCCATTCACTATTCTCTCCTTGGAGAATAAGATGACATTCTCATTGCTTGGAGGGAACTCTGTCTCCTAACAGCAACCACCACCAAGTCAAAAACTTAAGAAAGAAAGAATCTGGATATGTTAACATTTTTAAAGAAAAAGAAAAAACGATCCAGGCAGGTAGGCCATAGTACATAAAACTTTAAATAGAAGAGCCATGGTGGCAATTTTTTTAACGTGACCAAACAAGTGTTCTTTTGCCTTGCACCTCTTCACATTTCCCATGCATCCAAGTTTCCAGAACCTGTGATTTCTTTCTTTGTCCTTCTGTGTAATGCACCCTGTTCTTCATGCTCTCCGGTAGATGCTACTTGACAGTAAAAGTCTTTTCACGCTTTTCACTCCACCCCCACCCCAAATTATCTGTTCAACCTCTGTCTTGCAAAGTCCTTGCTTGTGGCTTTTTGTTTGTTTTTACTTGAAAAAGTATATTCTGGCAAATGTCACAAATTCTGTACAGTTATTTCAATGTAAAAAACAAAACAAAAATACATATTTTATCTTGGAAACCTCATTGTATGAACTTGCATTTGCTAATGGTATGGCTTTATTCTATTCCCCCCCCCCTTCCACATTGGTATATCCCTTTTCTACTCTTTTGCGTTTATCAATATTTTACACATTCTTCCCTTTTCTCTGCGCTTATCAATATTTTATCATATGCACAATAAAAAAGTGGGATTCTTTTGTGAGGAAAAAAAGAAAAAAAAGAAAACCTGCATAAAAAGTTTTGTGGTTTTTTTTGAGGCAGGTAGGGAAGGATTATAGGGACATGGGTGGCGCTGTGGGTTAAACCACAGAGCCTAGGACTTGCTGATCAGAAGGTCAGCGGTTCGAATCCCCGTGACGGGGTGAGCTCCTGTTGCTTGGTCCCTGCTCCTGCCAACCTAGCAGTTCAAAAGCACATCAAAGTGCAAGTAGATAAATAGGTACCACTCCGGTGGGAAGGTAAACGGCGTTTCCGTGCGCTGCTCTGGTTTGCCAGAAGCGGCTTAGTCATGCTGGCCACATGACCCGGAAGCTGTACGCCGGCTCCCTCGGCCAATAAAGCGAGATGAGTGTCGCAACCCCAGAGTCGGTCACGACTGGACCTAATGGTCAGGGGTCCCTTTACCTTTACCTTAGGGAAGGATTATTTGCATATCCTGATCATGGTGAAACATGCAACACCCCTCCTTTCTGCCCGTCACTGCTTCTTCCAGTTTGCATCAAACCAAAGAAATACCCCAACCGAAGGCAATTTTTGACACCTGGAGGCTGCACAAAAATAACCAGATATGAGGAGGAAAAGTGATAAAGGTCCACTTTGTAGAGTTGACCAGCACACTTGTGGGAATGAGGGCCAGGGAACGAAAAAGCACAAAATTAAGCACAGGTGTGGAGGGATTATAAAGCTAGGAGCCAGCCTTCAAGAAAGCATGGTAACAACAGGCCAAGTTTTTCTATGGGTCGCTTTCCTTTTAAAAGAGTTGCCGGAGATACAAATAATTAATAATGTTTCTTTTAGTGGCAATATAAGCTAGAGGAACTGTCCTAAACACCAACCGAATCTGTGGGCATAGTCATATAAAAGTCTAGCAGCATAGAGGTAACTGCATGGATGTTTAGGACTAATGCTGTGACTCCTCTTGTCCTATTCCTTGAGGGTGGGTTTTTTATTTCTTTTTTTGTTGTTGTTTTCATTGTTCTATATTCTGGAAAGCAATAAAAGATCATTTAAAAGTCAGATCAAGTGTATTTTAATGTTTCTCCTGAAGGACAAAAGCCTAGCCTTATTGAATCGTGATTATGAACTGTATACACTAGATTAGTACTCTGAAACCATGAAATTTTCTGTGAAGATTTTCGCAGACAGAACCAGCTTTAAAGGTAAAGGTAAAGGGACCCCTGACCATTAGGTCCAGTCATGGCCGACTCTGGGGTTGCGGTGCTCATCTCGCTTTATCGGCCGAGGGAGCCGGCGTACAGCTTCCGGGTCATGTGGCCGCTTCTGGCGAACCAGAGCAGCACACAGAAACACCGTTTACCTTCCCACCAGAGGGGTACCTATTTATCTACTTGCACTTTGATGTGCTTTCAAACTGCTAGGTTGGCAGGAGCAGGGACCGAGCAATGTGAGCTCACGCCGTCACGGGGATTCAAACTGCCGACCTTCTGATCGGCAAGTCCTAGGCTCTGTGGTTTAACCCATATAGTGTTCTGTTAAATATCTGAGGTTTCAAGGGTGGGTTCACATGCATACTAGTGCAAGTAGTTAAATAGATACCGCTGCGGTGGGCAGCTAAATGGCGTTTTCTGTGCGCTCTGGATTCCATCACAGTCCTCCATGTACCAGAAGCTGCATAGTCATGATGGCCATGTAACCCGGAAAGCTGTCTGTGGACAAACACCAGCTCCCTCGGCCTGAAAGCGAGATGAGCGCCGCAACCCCATAGTTGCCTTTGACTGGACTTAACCATCCAGGGGTCCTTTACCTTTAACTCGCATGCTACAGTCAAACTGTTATGTATTCTGTTTCAGTTCCAGTTCAGGTTCTTTAACATTTTCTCAGCTCTCCAGTTTGGTCACAAGAGGGCAACTTAATTTTAAAATGCATGGTGTGGTGACTGTTTTCAACCCCTTTGAAACTGGTCCAGATACCTTGCACGAGCTGTTGCACTTGTAATGCAATAAATAGTGAAGGGAAAATGTTTATTTTTAAGCACGGAGTTAAAGACCTGCACAACATACTTCTAGTACAATAGAAATACAGTAGTTGTAACAAAAGCGGTGTAAGAACAATTAGAAAGGACACTGTCATTTATTAGTTATATGCTTACATGACAAATCCCACTTATTTTGTATTTGTATGCAAGATACAGTGAAACTGATGGGAATTAAAATAGATTAATAGCAAAATGAAAAGGAGGGCTGTGCAAGAAGCTACTCTTATGGGCACACTTTTCTTCCTTCCAGGGGGCAGGTTTTGAAAGCGAGACCTTTGACAGATTGAAAGAACAAAAAACCCATTATGAAATGATGCATAATGAAATGGGGAAAAAGAGTCCTTTCTGTTGGGGATAATTCAGACTGAAATTCCCATGTGTCAAGAACGGTTATTTATATATGCCACTACTGCGGCCCGTGTTTTGTCAGCCCCAAAATGGAAAACGAACAAGGTCCCATCTAAAGAATGGCAACTTAAATTGACAGAATATGTGCAGCTCGCAGACTTAATATATAGAATAAGAGAACAAGAAGAACATATGTTCTTCAAATGTCAAAGAGAAAAATAACTACCAAACTTTTAGAAGACATCTGAAGGCAGCCCTGTTTAGGGAAGCTTTTAATGTTTAATAGGTTATTGTATTTTAGTGTTTTGTTGGAAGCCGCCCAGAGTGGCAGGGGAAGCCCAGCCAGATGGGCAGGATATAAATAATAAATTATTATTATAATGATGTTTAGAGAAGATTGGAAAACCTTTATTGAATATATGGGAAATAACAGTGTACAGGTGAAAACGCTGGCAGCATTAAGATAAATTCAACAGTGTAATTAAGTTATATTGGATGTAATGTAATATTTAATGCTGTAATGTTTTTTAACACTTGATTGGGAGCCGCCTAGAGTGGCTGGGGAAACTCAGCCAGATGGGCGGGGTATAAATAATAAATAATAATAATTATAATGGAATACTGAATGGTATAGTTTTTGTAAAATACAGTGGTACCTTGGGTTACATATGCTTCAGGTTACAGACTCTGCTAACCCAGAAATAGTGCTTCAGGTTAAGAACTTTGCTTCAGGATGAGAACAGAAATCAGGCTCTGGCGGCACGGCAGCAGCAGGAGGCCCCATTAGCTAAAGTGGTGCTTCAGGTTAAGAACAGTTTCAGGTTAAGAACGGACCTCTGGAACGAATTACCGTATTTTTCGCTCTATAAGACGCACCAGACCACAAGACGCACCTAGTTTTTGGAGGAGGAAAACAAGAAAAAAAATATTCTGAATCTCAGAAGCCAGAACAACAAGAGGGATCGCCGCGCAGCGAAAGCAGCAAATCCCTCTTGCTGTTCTGGCTTCTGGGATAGCTGCGCAGCCTGCATTCGCTCCATAAGACGCACACACATTTCCCCTTACTTTTTAGGAGGGAAAAAGTGAGTCTTATAGAGCAAAAAATACGGTAAGTACTTAACCTGAGGTACCACTGTATGCAGGGATTTATGATATGTAAAATGAACCATGGAAAGTGAAGAAGGGAAGTCACTGATATCTTAAGGATGTAAAAATGAGTACTTTAAATTGTAAATCAGAAAATTTAAATATATGCATATATACACACACATATATATATGTGTGTGTGTGTGTGTGTGTATATACACATATACACACACAGAGACAGAGTGGAGAGGTTATGGGGAGCCATCGCTTGGAGCGCAGCCTCGGAGGCCTCTTTCCCAGCCCGCCTGGGCGTCCGCCTTCGTTCCCGCCTCCCGGGCGACTGCGGAGCCGCCGGCCAGCTTCGCCCCCTGGCTGGGCGGGCGTCGGGTTCCGCTTCCCAGGCCGCGCAGCGGCGGCAGCAGCTCCTCCTCCTCCTCCTGCTGCTCTTTTTGCCGGGCGCGCGCCTCCCAAGCCGGCTGCTTTATAAAGGATCCGCGGCGGGCACCCCGAGGGGTCCGGGGCAGGCGATGCGGGCGAGCGGGGGGCGAGGCGCAGCGGCTGCAGGTAAGGCGGCGAGGGGGGCGAGGCGCCGCGGCTGCAGCAACAGGCGCCCACGTGGCGCACCAGCCGGGCGCCCCTTTGGAGATCAGCTGTTTCGAGAGCCCAGGCCGGGCGCGCATTTTCCGCCCGTGCGTAATCCCTTGCGCCTCTGCGCCTCGCAAGGCCCCAGAACTTGCCTGGTGCCCTTGCTTTGGCAGCAGCAGGCGTGTCATTTCAGGGGATGCAACTTCAATTTTCTGCAAATTTCTCCGGGGACGGGTCTTAAAAAATGAGGTTTTGGGCGTGAGGAATTCCCATCTGCTGTTCTTTTGGCGGCTTGGCAAGTCCGCATTTGATGAAGACGCACATAAAGCGCTTTAGGAAAACCAAGGATATTAGTCTGACCTTCTGGCAATGCTAAACAATTATAATGTTAAATGATGATATTAAATGATTGCACTTGGCAATCATTTTTAACGACTTCTATGTCCAACCAGATACCTATGGAAAGTTGGGCATGAGAGTGATAGATAGGGGAGAACACTGAAAATTGGGTGTGTCATCTTACATCAGCAATAAGTGCTTTTCACTAGTTCAAATTCACCCATAGGTATGGTATCCTTTTGGTTTTGGTAGTTCATTGAGATTACAGTACAGTAGTAAGCTTCCCATCCCCTCTAAAGAGATTGCTGAGTTGTTTTTCTGTTGGAATGGCAGCAACTTTCGAAACTGGGAAAGAGGCTAGAAATCCATTTTTTGTGGCAGTAGAAGTGGTTTATTTGTCAATAATAAAAAACAATAACTAACTGATTAACCAAAGTGGTTAATTGACTACATGAGCTTCCCCTTTCCATCCAGACATAGGGCACTCCAGTCCGGGCACTGGACTGATGGTGTTGATGGGGATAAAGTTTTTTTTAAAAAAATATTGAATGCTTAAGGATTGTACAACAATCTCTTTTTTTAAAAAAAGCTGTTCCCCGCCTGTGGTGTTACTGGAAAGGATGTTCAAGTTTTGTTCTTTTGTTTTGCAGGCTCACTTTGGTAAGGGTTGAGAAGAGTTGATGCATGAAAATGTTCCCCATTGCACTTTTGCTCTTAATATGGCTTTGTCTGAATCATTTGATTTTGGCAATTCTTGCAGAACCAGCATGACTTACCTAGTACTTGTGTTTAAGTAGGTTGCATTAGGAATTAGAGGGATTGGGGGAAACACATGGGATTATAGGATAATGTTACTGCAGCACAGTTTAGTGTGTGCTAAATGCTTCCCTTTTATAGTGTGCTTTTTGTCTGTAATGTTCCTAAACTACCTAGGTTGTTTATTTAATAAAGGAACCATACACTTTCACAGCCTTCTCTTGGTCCCTGAATCTTAATGAATTTTAAACTATCATATCCATGCTTACAATAATTTGTATAAGTATGTACACACACTCATGACCGGCCTAGATGTATGGGGATGACAACTGGATAAAGTTTTGAGTGTGTACAGTGGTGCCTCGCAAGACGAAATTAATCCGTTCCGCGAGAGTCTTCGTCTAGCGGTTTTTTCGTCTTGCGAAGCAAGCCCATTGACGGATTAGCGCTATTAGCGCTATTAGCGGTTTAGCGGCTATTAAAGGCTTAAAGGCTTAGGGGATTAGCTGCTAAAAGGCTATTAAAGGCTATTAAAGGCTTAGCAGATTAGATAAAGGGGGAAAGCAAAAAAAAATTCTAGACTCGCAAGGTATTTTCGTCTTGCGAAGCAAGCCCATAGGGGAATTCGTCCTGCGAAGCAACTTCAAAACGGAAAACCCTTTCGTCTAGCGGTTTTTCCGTCTTGCGAGGCATTCGTCTTGCGGGGCACCACTGTACGTGTGACCCTAGTGGGTTGTTTATATTGGTAAGATTCTTACCCTCAGCAAGGTGGTGTTGTCCCCCTGCCTCCTGTTATGGAGGAATTTTGGCCCACAGTGTAATATGTCATGTGTTGTTGTTCACCTGAGGTTGTATTCACCTAATTTTAAGATCTGCTAAGGAACAAGTTTATTGTTATTATGTCCTGATGTGTAAAACTACAGAATTCAAAGAGGGTGTACTTTATTTTTCTCATAACTGTAAGTCTAAAATCTAAAACTATATCATACTCAAGTCTTGTTTTATGTTTGTTAATCCTTTCATTCTTTCATTTGATGCTGTTCAATGTGCAGGCACAATCATTTTCTTCTTTTCACCCTTTTAGAGGTACCCATCATATCTCCCTGTGGGCTGCAGCAAACTTGATGATTTAGAGCCACCACAAAACCAGTGGGAAACATGAAAACAAACCCTGTCATCCAAGCTGCCATTGACCTCACAGCAGGGGCTGTAGGTAAGTCTGAGGAAATCCTATTTTCGCAAGATCCTTTAGAAACTGATAGCCCTTCTCCAGGTGACAGCAATGCAGGGCCTTAAACGTGCTGAGGGAGAGAACATGTTGACTTCACCATGCATCACCAGCTTCCGTTGTGTTGCTTTCCTTCAGTGAAATCTTGGCTATTGCTGAAAGGTAAAAGTGTAAACATGTCTGTCTTAATAGTTTTCCAGCTGTGGCTCTGAATTCATTTAGTGTTAGCTTTCATGAACATTTCAAAATACGTCACAAATAAAAGTTGAGCAATAAAGGCAACCAGAGACAAGATAAATTTGTTTTCTGTGTTTCACGTTATTGAACCAATACGGGTTAGTACACCAGTCAGTTGACCTCCTATTAGTCTGCAGTCAAATATTCCAAGAGTACTCCTGTGTAAATAGCATCTTACTGGTTTCTTATTTCATCAGGGTGTGTTTTATTTTATATAAAAGTGTTTTGTTTTATATAAAAGTTTCTCCCACTGCCTGCCCACTGTAACTGCAGGCATCTCCAGTCGGGAACCCAGCTGAGGGCCAGACTGGGAGCTTCAAGACCCGGGTTCAAATCCTCACTAAGCCACGTAGCTTATTATGTGATGTTGAGTTACTGTCAGCCTAACCTCCTTCACAGTGCTGTGGTGAGGATAAAATAAATCACAGGTGTTTTTTTAAGGTAATAGCATTGTTTCACAAGAACAGCTGTTAATTTTTCTTTGAAAGTTAGCCTAAACATAAAACCTGCTGATGTTGCTTTTTTTGTTGTTGTATCTTCCCTCTCCTAGCAAAAAAAAGAGGCAACTGTTCTAGCAGTAAGTTGGGCACGGCTGCTTTTCACAATTGCTAGCTGCTCACGGCTCTCCAAGTTCAGAATGGCTGCCAAGAGCTGTGACTTGAGGCAGGGGCCTAGGAAGGTGGGCGGACCGTCCCAGGTGCCCTCACTGAGGCGGGTGACATTCGGTGTGCCCACAACTCCCAAGCTTACCCCGGGCTGTTCGGGTAAGGGGGGAGCTGCGCCGCTTTGCCGGCGGTATTTCCCCCTTCCCCCTTCATTTTGACAGCTTGGGGGAGGCTTGGGAGTCGCGGGCGGTGCGCCGAATGTCCGCCATGGGCGGCTCGCTCTGGCCCCATAGGCGGCTTGCTCCACACCCGGCAGCAGGGCACACGCTACGCTCCGGCCCCCTGAGGGCCCTCCACACCACGCCCCCCCCCTCAGAAGTGCACCTGGCCTGGGCAGCGTGGGCCTACGCTCCGCCATTGACTTCAGGACAAGCACTTATTTTTGGTTGGGTACATATATTTGCTCTGGGGAGCCTCCATGAGGCATGGATTTGTTTAGGGTGTGGGGATCAAGCTTTTTGTGTGGGCCGGCTTGGGGAAGCATGGTTTCATGGGCCAGGAGTGAAGCCAGCACTATTTTCTCCAAATTCAGCCACTCCGGGCCTTTGGCCTTAGGGAGACAGTGCCTCCACAATATAGGTCTCTATGCAGATGACACAACCTTGATGGCAGAAAGTGAGGAGGAATTAAAGAACCTTTTATTGAGGGTGAAAGAGGAGAGCGCAAAATATGGTCTGAAGCTCAACATCAAAAAAATGAAGATCATGGCCATTGGTCCCATCACCTCCTGGCAAATAGAAGGGGAAGAAATGGAGGCAGTGAGAGATTTTACCTTCTTGGGCTCCATGATCACTGCAGATGGTGACAGCAGCCACGAAATTAGAAGACGCCTGCTTCTTGGGAGAAAAGCTATGACAAACCTAGACCGCATCTTAAAAATCAGAGACATCACCTTGCCAACAAAGGTTCGTATAGTTAAAGCTATGATTTTCCCAGTAGTGATGTACGGAAGTGAGAGCTGGACCATAAAGAAGGCTGATCGCCGAAGAATGGATGCTTTTGAATTATGGTGCTGGAGGAGACTCTTGAGAGTCCCATGGACTGCAAGAAGATCAGACCTATCCATTCTGAAGGAAATCAGCCCTGAGTGCTCACTGGAAGGACAGATCCTGAAGCTGAGGCTCCGATACTTTGGCCACCTTATGAGAAGAGAAGACTCCCTGGAAAAGACCCTGATGTTGGGAAAGATGGAGGGCACAAGGAGAAGGGGATGACAAGAGGACGAGATGGTTGGACAGTGTTCTCGAAGCTACCAGCATGAGTTTGACCAAACTGCGGGAGGCAGTGGAAGACAGGAGTGCCTGGCGTGCTCTGGTCCATGGGGTCACGAAGAGTCGGACACGACTAAATGACTAAACAACAACAACAAGGCATTTTGCACCAATGTGTGTGCGCACTGCACACTGGGAGGGGGGGATGAGGTTTAGGAAAAAGTCAGGCTGTTGCTGCCCACTGTTTTGCAAACACTGTTCAGAAGAAGCATCGTATAGTATCAGGTTGTTATTATATTACATTTCTTACACATGTCCCATCGTTTTTCCAAGTTGCTCAGGGCCTCATAGTGAGGCTATCCCACCCCCTGACAACGCTGAAGTACAGTAGTTCAGAGAGTATGTGGCTATTTAACTACAATGGAACCTCTGTTCCCAAATACCTCCGTTGTACATTACAGTTCTCGAAAGCTGAAAACCCACAAGTAAATGCTTCTGTTTTCGAATGTTTTTCACAACCCGAACATGCGATGTGGCTTCCACTGAGTGCAAGAAGCTCTTGCAACCCATGGGAAGCCGTGCCTCGGTTTTCAAATGTTTCGGAAGCCGAACGGGCTTCCGGAACGGATTTTGTTCAAGAACCAAGGTACCACTGTTCTGTTGGACTCAAGTCATTCTGGCTCTTGATATTACAGCTTTGCAGCACGCACATTTGTACTGAAAGGAAATTAACTGGTAGTATTCTGTGGAATAAGGGACGCGGGTGGCACAGTGGGTTAAACCACAGAGCCTAGAACTTGCCAATCAGAAGGTCAGTGGTTTGAATCCCCGCGACGGGGTGAGCTCCCGTTGCTCGGTCCCAGCTCCTGCCAACCTAGCAGTTCAAAAGCACGTCAAAGTGCAAGTAGATAAATAGGTACCGCTCCAGCGGGAAGTTAAACGTGTTTCCGTGTGCTGCTCTGGTTCGCCAGAAGCGGCTTAGTCATGCTGGCCACATGACCCGGAAGCTGTACGCCGGCTCCCTCGGCCAATAAAGCGAGATGAGCGCCGCATCCCCAGAGTCGTCCGCGACTAGACCTAATGGTCAGGGGTCCTTTTACCTTTATTCTGTGGAATTAAGTAGTGCAGTGCCTATTCATTCTAGCAGTTGCTGTTTTTAAGCGTGCCACATCGCTTTTTCTCAGTTATAATTTTAGCTCTCTCAGAAACTCATTTCATTTTGCTTTATTTGCTTTGTTTCATTTTTTTAAAAAAACTGCCCTTCCTCTGTTAAGATTCCAGGATGGTTTACAAAATATAGTTGAAACAATATATTACTTAAGGAAACTTATTTAAAACCTTAATCCATATTTTAATAAGGGGCATTGGTGAGTGAAGAGACTAAATTTGTACCGTCGCAGGGAGACTTCTCATGTTTGCAAATGATTGTTGTTGTTTTTTGTGCAGGAGGCACTGCCTGTGTGATTACTGGCCAGCCATTCGATACCGCCAAGGTGAAAATGCAAACATTCCCTGCCATGTACCGAGGGCTTGTGGACTGTTTTGTGAAGACTTACAAGCAAGTGGGGTTTCGAGGCTTCTACAAGGGCACCACCCCTGCTCTGGTCGCTAACATTGCCGAAAACGCAGTGCTCTTCATGTGTTACGGCTTTTGTCAAAACATTGTGAGGAGAATCGTTGGACTAGACAGGAAAGCAGAGTTGAGGTTGGTGACCGACTTTCCTATTCCCTCATATACCATTCTTGTCACTAAAGATAAAGGGACCCCTGACCATTAGGTCCAGTCGTGGCCGACTCTGGGGTTGCTGCACTCATCTTGCTTTATTGGCCGAGGGAGCCGGCATACAGCTTCCGGGTCATGTGGCCAGCAGGACTAAGCCACTTCTGGTGAACCAGAGCAGTGAACGGAAACGCCGTTTACCTTCCCGCCGGAGCAGTACCTATTTATCTACTTGCACTTTGATGTGCTTTCAAACTGCTAGATTGGCAGGAGCAGGGACCGAGCAATGGGAGCTCACCCCGTTGTGGGGTTTCGAACCGCCGATCTTCTGATTGGCAAATCCTAGGCTCTGTGGTTTAACCCACAGCGCCACCCGCATCCCTACTTGTCACTAGGAGATGCTAAAAATAAGTATCAAAACAGGCAGGGCTAGGAGCACAGTCCTTTTACTAGCTGCACAATGTATGACTTGATTATTTTATTTTTTAAACTACAATGCATAAGGGAAAGGGGGCGGGAATCATATAATACATTAATATTTTATATAACAGAACATTTATGGAAAAACAAAAGCAACATCAGCATACACTATATGAAGAAATATATTAGCTGTATGTGATTCTGTTCTCAAACACGTTTAACAGAGAAAGGAAGATTAAGAGAGAGAGGACGTAAATGAAATTTTAAGATAATTGAGTTGTATCCAATGTTTGTCAGAGTGGACCCACTGAAACCAATGGAAATGACTAAATTCGGTCCATTAATTTTAGTGAATCTGTTTTGAGTCTTAGTTGGAATCACCCCATTGTAGCTTTATGGAATAAGTTGCATCTTGTGGCTGGGAAATTCCTTACAAGTTTGCTAGAGGAGTTTGATAGGAAAGGCGTCAACCAGTGATACTTTGGTTATACCATAACCTGCCTGACAGCTGGGATGGACTACTTGATTCAGTACATCTCTTCCTATCCTGATTCTGCACTGGAAGCCAGATGCCCTGATCCTTGTACTAACAGTGCCCCTGCTTCTGTGTGTGGGACCACTCTGTTGTTATAAGGTGCTCCTCTGCAGGGAGAACTGGAACTCTGCGTGGCCACCGCTGTGTTGCAAGTCAAAGCTTCTGACTCCCGTGTGCCAAACACAATTTGTCTTTCTTGCAGTGACCTTCAAAATGCTGCTGCTGGCTCCTTTGCTTCTGCCTTTGCCACCTTGGTCCTCTGTCCCACAGAACTTGTGAAGTGTCGCCTGCAAGCTATGCACGAAATGCAGTTATCTGGGAAGATCGTGCACGGACACAAGTAAGTATTGTTTAGAACAGGGGTCAGCAACCTAAGGCCCATGGGCCATAAGCAGCCCATGGGGGTCGTTTAACCGGCCTATAGACCCCCGCTGCCCGCTCGGTCGGTTGGCTCCCGTGTGCCACGCTAAACCAGCACAGAGCAGAGCAGGGACTACCTTCCGCAATGCTGGCCGGCTTCCCATTGGCTGCAGGAAGCTCCTGCAGCCAATGGGAAGCTGCACACACCTCCTCCGGAAATCTTAGCTGTCAACCGTCCCTTATTTGGCGGGACAGTCCCTTATCCCAGCGCCGTGTCCCGCTGCTGTCCCTTATTGATGATGTCCCTTAAATTTCCCGGGTTTCAAAGGAAGCAGCTCCTCTCCCTCCCTCCCTGCCGGCCAGGGAGGAGGGAGGCTCCAACTGTGTTGCTTGGCTGCGTTGCTCACCCAATAAGGAGTCTAAGAACGACTGGGGGGGGGGGACTTGCATGCCTTGTGCTGATCAAATCGGCCGCGTTGCCTGAGGACTCGCCTTTGCTCAGCGCTTCCCAGCGGAGAGGTGACACTGGTTTTCCTTGAGGCTTCGTTTGGCTGCTGGCTGGGCTTTCTGCCTTTGGCTCGGAGGGGCTCAGAAGTTGAACATGCCTGTGCTTGGAAAATCCCTTATTTTGGCTGCTGATCCCTTATTTTTGAGGCTGCTGGTCCCTTATTTTCAAATCTGTAAGTTGACAGCTATGCCGGAAATAGTGGCTGTGCGCGCACACACTCTGGCCCACTGTGGTGTCTGCGGGACTGTGAACCAGCCCAAGCCACAAAAACTTTGCCGACCCCTGGTTTAGAAGCTCCTATCCAGAACAATGCGTTGTGCTGTACTCAACAAAATCTATTAAGTGCACATGCCCCAAAGCCATTAACAGTAATACTTAACATTTCTGCACACTCCTTTTGAGCATTCAGACTGTTTCACATGCGTTGCCCTTACAACTATGTCAGTATTCTCATCACTCTCATGTTGCAGATGGGTAGGTTCCGGATAAGTGTGGCCACTTGCCTAGCAAGTTTGCGGGAGAGGCTAGATTAAACCAGAGACATACTGGTTTGTAGCTCTGTTTCTTAGCCAGCAGTCTATACCCGTTCTAACATCTAATCCTTTGTACTGACAAGATGTCCCCTGCTTGTGGAGATGGTGCCCTTCTTGTTGTTGCAAGCTGCTACTTCCGTTGGGCCTGACTCAAATACTCTTGCTGGTTCTTCCCCCTCTTTTAATATCCAGCCTTGCATATGCTTTGGCCCAATTCATCTCAGGCCTTGCACCTGCTTATCCCCACCCCTTCCAGTAGCACTTTTCCCTCAAGGTAGGAGCCTTTTTTCCCCTCCTGGGTTTTTTGCAAATATATGCGAGGGCATAACGTTGCTACAATAAAGGTTGCAACAACGCACAGAGCAGTCCTGGCTGAGCCAGATAGTCTAAAGGGGTGTTGTAAAACACAGAGGTCTTTTAATAGCAGTGGTAAAGGTAAAGGGACCCCTGACCATTAGGTCCAGTCGTGGACGACTCTGGGGTTGCGGCGCTCATCTCGCTTTATTGGCCGAGGGAGCCGGCGTACAGCTTCCGGGTCATGTGGCCAGCATGACTAAGCCGCTTCTGGCGAACCAGAGCAGCGCATGGAAACGCCGTTTACCTTCCCGCCAGAGCAGTACCTATCTATCCACCGGTACTTGCACTTTGACGTGCTTTCAAACTGCTAGGTTGGCAGGAGCAGGGACCAAGCAACGGGAGCTCACCCCGTCGTGGGGATTCGAACCGTCAACCTTCTGATCGGCAAGTCCTAGGCTCTGTGGTTTAACCCACAGCGCCACCCGCGTCCCTTGGACCTTGTTACAAGTCCCAATTTGGCTTGGATGTCGGTTTCCTCCAACCACACCCAACATCGTAGGTGGAGCTGGGTGTGGGGCAGGCGAGGTCATTGCTTTCAAGGAACCATTGGAGCTGAAACTGAGCTCCCAATTATCCTTTTGCAAGCTGGGCTCAACTGGGACAAGCTGCTCTCCATCTACGTACCGAAGCTGAGGAGAGGGGAGGAGACGCAGGGCTTCTTCCACCCGTCAAAAGTTGGCCCTTGGGTGGTGGGGGAGATAAGTTCGCCACCCACTTGATTTAAACCCTCCCTTTACCACTGCTGTGGGACGCGGGTGGCACTGTGGGTTAAACCACAGAGCCTAGGACTTGCCGATAAGAAGGTTGGCAGTTCGAATCCTCGCGACGGGGTGAGCTCCCGTTGCTCGGTCCCTGCTCCTGTCAACCTAGCAGTTCGAAAGCAGGAATGCAAGTAGATAAATAGGTACTGCTCCAGCGGGAAGGTAAACGGCGTTTCCGTGTGCTGCTCTGGTTCGCCAGAAGCGGCTGGCCACATTACCCGGAAGCTGTACGCCGGCTCCCTCGGCCAATAAAGCGAGATGAGCACTGCAACCCCAGAGTCGGCCACGACTGGACCTAATGTTCAGGGGTCCCTTTACCTTTACCTAACAAGGTCCATGGCCTGAGATTCTGCTGCCCTTGATGGCAAGCATGATCCTTTGGATAAAAGGCTGCCATGATTGCTGCCTGAAACAGAGTATGAATTGTTGCCGGCTCAGTCTTGGGGATGAGGCATCTTTGCTGTAGCTGAATTGCAGGCAAAGGCATGGCAGAGAAGTAAAGCTCAGAATTCCCCCCTGGCTGTTTGGCTTCCGCAATGGCAAGTGCTCAAGAATCTCCTGTATGGGAATGGAATTATTTTATATATACAGAGTTGTTGCCTGGCCTGCATAGGCCACATCCCACTCCATAAGCAGCAAAAGGCCCTGTGATAAGCTTGGGCAGTTGTGTGTGTATATATCCCTGCCCAAACCACATTTTTGGTCTCTGTGGAAGCCGCCCAGAGTGGCTGGGGAAACCCAGCCAGGTGGGCGGGGTACAAATAATAAATTATTATTATTATAAGAGATGGTGATTTCATAAAGATTTTATTCAAGGATCCCCATGCATCTATCCTAATCATGGCAACTTTCTCCCTTCAACAGGAGGCTGTGATTCACTTATTCCTGTAGAGCAGTGTTTTCCAAACTTGGTTCTCCAGCTGTTTTGAGACTACAACTCCCATCATCCCTAGCTAGCAGGATGATGGTCAGGGATGATGGGTGTTGTAGTCCAAAAACAGCTGGAGCCTCAAGTTTGGGAAGCCCTGCTGTAGAGCTTGGCCTCAGATGTATCTAGAGCTCAGACTGCGACCCTTGGCATATCTTGCAAGTGCTTTGGCAACTCCAGACGAAAATTTTCATCTGAGATATCCAGTGACTGGACATTTGCTTGTCTAAATCATACAAAACTACTGATGAAGCTGGACTTGATTCTTGAGGAACGGAAGCCTCCGATTTAATTTTCTGTGACTATTTCGTTATCTCACCATGTTCTAGGACAGGAGCTTGACGTTCCTAATTGTGCTTCTGCCAGCCTTGTGGGTACAAGGCCTTGAGCAAATGGCCCCCCTCTTTCAAAACATAATAATTCACGCAGTCAGTTTCCGTTTACGTAACTGTTCTGACAGTCTTGTTCCTCTCTTAGTACAGTTTGGTCAGTAGTGAAAGGTGTTCTGAAAAAGGACGGTCCCTTTGGATTCTACCGTGGTTGGTCCAGCACTTTGCTGCGCGAAATCCCAGGCTATTTTTTGTTCTTCGGAGGCTATGAACTGAGCCGAACGTTTTTTGCATTTGGAAGGCCAAAAGAGGAATTAGGTATGTTGTTTGACTTGTTAAGAGTGTTTAAATGAGTCTAAATAGTTCTGATAGAGCAACCTTCCATAGGGTTTTTTACAGTGTTTCTAATGTTGGGAATGAAACTTCTCCAATCCTTCCATAAACGAATGTTTATGAAGTGCATCGACTTGGTTCTGCAGTCAGCCGTGTTGTTTCAAAATACACTGATTGGCAATTGGACAATTTCTAATGAAACTGGATTACTGGAATATATTTTTACATGTAGCACTAGTGATGGGGTGTTAAGAGGATGCACATCCTACGTATATTATGGTTGTAGAGATGAATTCTACACCTGCTCTTTGACACTGCCAGAGTTTTGCATTTGGTCTCACCTGCCCCAAAGCAAGAGCATTTGAGAGAGGCAAGTGTTGTCCTCATTCCCTGCAATACAGCAGTCATCTCAACAGCTGGCTAGCAGCACACACAGCGGCTCAGCTGAGAGCAGGTCCCAAGAAAGGCCAAAGGGACAATGAAGTAGGAATGGAAAGACAGGTATCATACGATTGAAATTAACTCCCCATGTGTCCAATCTATATCTGCCTGCTGACCTTCCCTCGGAGATTTAATGCATCTTGTAGTGTTTGTACATGTTGTGGCCCTGTGTGTGTGTGTGTGGAATTTGTTTTTACACTACTAGAGTGAGGGAAACGGATGGATGTTTTGCTTCAGGTGCTGAGACGTCTTAGGCCACCTCTGCTTGGTTTTGTAGGTCCTGTGGCACTGATGATCAGCGGCGGTTTCGGTGGCATGTGTCTCTGGATTGCTGTCTATCCCATTGACTGCATCAAATCTAGAATTCAGGTTCTTTCCATGGCTGGAAAACAGGCAGGCTTCATGGTAACCTTCGCAAGTGTGCTCCGGAAAGAAGGTTAGAAAATGAAACCGCAACCAGGGCTATGGGACGGAGAATATCAAGGAATCTGTACTGACACAAATTGTGGACTATACCTAGAACTAAATGTCTTGTGTTCCATAGCCTTTATATATTTGTTTTTATTTATATATTATCTACTATTCTATTATCTCTGCCTCTAATTCCTGCTAAGGCAGGCATAGGCAAACTCGGCCCTCCAGATGTTTTGGGACTACAGCTCCCACCATCCCTGACCACTGGTCCTGTTAGCTAGGGGATGATGGGAGTTGTAGTCCCAAAACATCTGGAGGGCTGAGTTTGCCTGTGCCTGTGTTACGGCAATCCTCACCATAAATGAATCCCATTTTGGTATTAAGCAGTATGGGTTGCATGCAACTAACTTGTACTCAGAGCAGACCCAGTAAAATTAATGGCTACGACTAACTTGGGTCCATTAATTTCAATGGATTTACTCTGAATAGCAGTATGTAAGCCCTCTGGGATAGCATGAGACTTAATCTCAGGGTCATGGGTAGTTTATACTATTCTATATATAAAAATGCTGTAGTTGCACCTAAGATTTAAGAAACAGGAGGGAGACTGGTTCCAAGCAGCAGCTTTTGTTAACACTTTAACTCTTATTGACAGGTGTCTTTGCCTTGTATTCGGGACTGAAACCTACGATGATTCGAGCTTTCCCGGCCAATGGTGCATTGTTCCTTGCCTATGAATACAGTCGGAAACTGATGATGAACCAGTTTGATATGTAATATTTTTTATTGTAGACTTAAAATCATTGGAAACCTTTATAGGTCATGAGAGCTGCTGCAAGAACAAAAAAAAAATCAAGTTTTAAAGATTCTGGTTTTATTTTTTAAAGTATCATGTTTTAAATAAATATGTTGGGGTTTTTTCTAAACTTTGTGTGGTTACTTGCGTTCAGTGCCTAGACAACTGCAGATAATAAGATCTCTTAAGAGAGCTTGTATGGTCAACTAATGTAAGAGCTATACAAGCAATGCTGTGTTGGTTTTTTAAAAAAAGCATGTTAAAGTAACACATTTAATTCTGTCAGGTTATAGTAACTTCCATGCCTTAAGAGCAGAGAAACACCTGTGTAGACTTAATCTGTTGGGAAGCCAAACAACATTAAGAATTCTATACAACTGGCTTGGCCAATTTGCTTATGTGACTCACCAGCACTAAAAGGCAAGGTAAAAGTAAAAAGGTAAAGGACCCCTGGATGGTTAAGTCCAGTCAAAGGTGACTATGGGGCACTGTACTCTACTCGCTTTTCAGGCCGAGGGCGCCTGAGCAATGGGAGCTCACCCCATCACATGGATTCAAACTGCCGGCCTTCCGACTGGCAAGGCCAAGAGGCTCAGTGGTTTAGACCACAGTGCCACCCGCGTCCCCATAAACCGGCACTTAACAGTAGCTAATGCATGGATGCACAAGCTGCCCCATATATGCTACCACAATGTCACTGCTCTTATGTTGCTAGAGAAATCAAGAAAATGAACCCTGCAGTTAAGTGCAGTAGCCTATATTCACATCTGAGTTTTCTGTTTCGCTACAGTTTTGCAGAGCAGTTTTGCTCCATCTTTTGTGTGCACACTTCTCAGAATATCTTAAAGTAATATTGCCTTTTCCTTTAGGAAAAAAACAAAATAAGGACGAATTACTGGTGTGTAAAAGTGGCAGAGAAGGTTTATGTCTTTTTAAAACAGCAAATTTAATATGGCCTAAGCTGCTGTAAAGGGACGCGGGTGGCGCTGTGGTCTAAACCACTGAGCCTTGGACTTGCCGATCAGAAGGTCGGCAGTTTGAATCCCCGCGACGGGGTGAGCTCCCGTTGTTCAGTCCCAGCTCTTTCCCACCTAGCAGCTCGAAAGCACATCAAAGTGCAAGTAGATAAATAGGTACCACTCCGGCAGGAAGGTAAACGGCATTTCCGTGCACTGCTCTGGTTCGCCAGAAGCGGCTTAGTCATGCTGGCCACATGACCCGGAAGTTGTCTGCGGTCAAACGCCGGCTCCCTCGACCTATAGAGCGAGATGAGTACCGCAACCCCCGAGTTGTCCACGACTGGACCTAACGGTCAGGGGTCCCTTTACCCTTAAGCTGCTGTAAATGGTAGCCCACTTAGTACTGTCAAAAAAAACCCTAAAATTTGCTATCCTTCAGGTCAACTCTAATCCCACGTGAGGTCTAGAATTCAGGAGTCTAGTTGGCTCCATGAGCCTCTTCAAGGATTGAGCAGAACGTTCCAATTTGACTGCTATTGCAATGGGTTGGGTAGGATGACTGGGTTGTATTCTGCGCCATTAAATCAGGCATGAGGAACCTGCCGTCAAGCAATAGCTGCAGAGCCACAACACTAGTCACATTCATTATTGCTGGACTCGCGGGACTTGCAGTTCCAACGTAATCTAGCAGGCCACCATCTCTGCTTTAGAGGTAACCTGTAATAATAATAATAATATCAAACTGCTGAAGTTAAGTCCCTGAGCCAAACCTCTGTGCAAGTAGCTTACAACAAGGCCGAGCAACTTCCAATTCCAAATAACATGCCCAGGAAGGGAGTCCGCTGTGCAAGTGAAGTGGCCAGTATAACAATATAATGGCCGCTGTATCCTGAGCCTCGCAGTTCCAGGAACATCCACGCCACATCAACAGAAAAAGGGTACTAAAAGCATTCTTTTCACAATGCTGGGATATTTCATTCCCAGCTATGACTAAGCCCAGTGAGCACAGCCAATGGTTAGGAATTATGGGAGTTGAGAGTGCCAAAAATATCCAGTGAGTTGCAGGCTCCCCATCCCTCTTATAAATGCTCAGTTTGATTAAATGAAAATTGCTGCTAGGATTAAATGGGCGAATCTTAACATAGCTAGTCAGGTCTTAGTGACCGAAGCAACGTCTAATGGTCTCATTCAGAAGAAGACCATGCACTGTCCACATACCACAGAGTTTGTATTGAGATCAGCCACCTGAGAAGATGGGAAGGGGGTGGGTAGAGTTTGAAACACTGGAAACTGTTTTTCACATAGAGACACAAACAAGCTGACAAAATTAATTGTTTTAATCATTATAAGCAACACACACAAAATAGCTAGGCAAGCTCTGTGTTCAATACTCAGTTCTGCAATGTCCTATACAGACACAAATGAGATTTAGAAGGCAATACCACAGCGGTAGCAGAGCATCATGATCCTGGGAAGGAAATGGAATAGGAACTCGTGTTTTAAAACTTGCCACTGTTCACTTCTGGTTAGCATTCACCAAAGTGCAGCTCCACAGCAAAGTCTTCCCTGAAAGTCTTCCACATTCTTGGCTTGTGTAGGTTATCAATTTCATTTCTAGAAAGGTAAAGCCTGGGGAAAGTGGGGAGGGAAGTATTAAGTTTAACGAAGAGCATGTAAATCCATGTGCAGGGAATGGCACATGTTCAAGCATTTTCCTTCTGCGTTTGATCAACCTATGGTGGAGGAGCTTCCCACACCATTCAGAACCCTGGAGAACTTCACATGGAACCTATGGCACAAAAAAGGGGCTCCCCCTTGCATAAGTTACCATTCCCAACTCATGGGAGGTGATAGCACAGCTATCCTTGCCACCAACCCCTGGCATGTTGATCCAACACAGAAACAGAACACATGAAAAAGTCACACTGGAAATACAACACGAAGTAGTTACTGGCAGAACACGGGAGCATGTACCTCATCTGTAAATGCTGTCTTCATCTCCCATTTTTAACCACACAATCCATTTTTAGCACAAAAGCATAGCTGCCTCCCATTTGCTGGGGACTTGTCCTCAAGCTTGTGCTCAGTCATTCTAGCGTTGATGAGCTACAGTAGTAGTTGCAGCCATTTCTGTTCTGTCCTCCATTTCTCACCATCGTTTCCATTCCATTCCGTTATGCTACAGTTTATAGCTCACCTCACTCTCCCCACTGTGGCCAAAACCAATGTAATGAATTATGTGATCAGGGTCAATGAAAGCGACGCATCAGAAACCATGCAGAAAGTAACATTTGTGGACTAAGAACAACAATAGCAAATAGCACTTATATTCGCTTGCATGGTTTCTGTTCCTGACCTCGGATGAATGTGCAAGTTGTGGCCATTTCTTCTGTTTCTGATGTCCCTTGTTGCACCCCCAAAAAGAGAATGTACAGCTCATTCTGCTTTATGAGTTAATAGTGGCTTTTAATTTGTTGTCAAGCTAGTGAAATTCTGCTAGCATTCTGACTCAGTAGACTCCCTCTGTCCCTTCATATATTACATAACATAAAGGTAAAGGTAACCCTGACCATTAGGTCCAGTCGCGGACGACTCTGGGGTTGCGGCGCTCATCTCACTTTATTGGCCGAGGGAGCCGGTGTACAGTTTCCGGGTCATGTGGCCAGCATGACTAAGCCGCTTCTGGCGAACCAGAGCAGCGCAAGGAAACACCGTTTACCTTCCCACTGGAGCAGTACCTATTTATCTACTTGCACTTTGACGTGCTTTCGAACTGCTAGGTTGGCAGGAGCAGGGACCGAGTAACGGGAGCTCACCCCGTCGTGGGGATTCGAACTGCCGACCTTCTGATTGGCAAGTCCTAGGCTCCGTGGTTTAACCCACAGCGCCACCTGCATCCCTATTACATAACATGCTGACCTGCAATTGGGGTAGATAATGATTCCTTTCCAATACAGGGCGAGTCTAATTGCATGCACCTGGAGACAGATGAGCAGGTGTTCGTATTCCTGCTACTTAAAAGTAGCAAGATGGCTGCTTAATCTTTACCGTATTTTTCGTCCCATAAGACGCTCCGTCCCATAGGACGCACCTAGTTTTTTTGGGGGGAAATAAAGGAAATTATTTTCCCTGTATTTCCCCCCCAAAACCAGGTCAGGGAAACCGAACCGGTTCGAGGAACAGCGGGATGGCGGCGCTGCGCCTCCCTGCTCTCCCCCGAGCTTGTGGGGCTGGCCGATGTCTGCCCGGCGTTCGGGGCGCTCTGCTTCAGGGTGCCTGGCGCGCCGGGTGGCAGGCTGCTATCCGCAGCGTGGGGAGCCCTGCGGGAAACTCCTGCAGGGCTCCCCACACTGCGGATGTCTGTCCGGCGCGCGGGGCGCTCTGCTTCAGGGCGCCCCTTGCGCCGGGCGGCAGGCTGCTATCCGCAGCCTAGACAGCCCTGCGGGACCTCCCGCAGGGTTGCCTAGGCTGCGAATGCGTTCCCGAAGCCTGGAGAGCAAGAGGGGTCGGTGCGCACCGACCCCTCTCACTCTCCAAGCTTCAGCGAAAGCCTGCATTCGCCCCATAGGACGCACCCAGATTTCCCCTTCATTTTTGGAGGGGGAAAAGTGCGTCCTATAGGGCGAAAAATACGGTAATTTCTCCTACATCGTGTTTATCAGCAGCAATGCTTCAGTAGTGAGCAATGAGGCCTCCATCCCTGAAAGGAAATTGATTTCTCAGTTCTTCACTCAACCAACTTCCTTTATTGGAGACTCGCCCAACAGTGCATTTCAATGTAAGAAAAACCTTCAGAGACTTGAACTCATGCCCTCTTCCCCAACAAAGCAGAGACAGTATTTTTTAGCCTGTATCTTTCTGAAGAGCTAGGCTCAAGGCAAGTCCCCAGTAGCAAATGACAGGCTCTACTTTCTTCTGTGGGGTCATGTGAGGGGAAAGGGTTGGTTGTTTACCTTTTAAAAATATATCGCAGTCCCATGGAAGAAAGCAAAGCCTTTCTCTTGATAACGGAGACTTGTATTGGGCCCATTTCTTCACACAGATAAAAGTTTCTCACACCTGGTTCGCAAGCCAGCCAAAGTTTGAGGGCATCTTAGCTTTTTGTCACAGGCCTCTGATGTCGGTCATTACAGCTTACCTGTTGTCCTCTACAAAGGCTGTGTGGAACCAAAAGAAGAAAGCGCAGTCATCGTAGCCTTTTGGTATAGCCTGTATTTTGAAAGGCAAAAAGATGGAATGTTTAATACCTACTAACCTTTGTATAGTGCTTTCCCATGTTCAAAATGTGTCACGTGCATTACAATCACAACATATCCCAGAAGGCAGTTCTCTCTAAGCGCAGAGTACAGCCTAGAGCATGTTACCTAAGTTTTCATTGTGAGTTCATGCTACATACAATATTCGAACGAGGGAGACAGACATCACTCTGAGCCATTACACCAGCTGTTTAATTTAAGATTTAATGTCATTTATTATATTTGGTGCTTGTCATTGCATCTGCCAAATAACTCATCCTCTGATACCTATGACCGGGCCTTTTCTATGTCAAGCTAGTTTCCAATACAGTGGTACCTCAGGTTACATACGCTTCAGGTTACAGACTCCGCTAACCCAGAAATAGCGCTTCAGGTTAAGAACTTTGCTTCAGGATGAGAACAGAAATCGTGCTCTGGTGGCACGGCAGCAGCAGGAGGCCCCATTAGCTAAAGTGGTGCTTCAGGTTAAGAACGGACCTCTGGAACGAATTAAGTACTTAACCCAAGGTACCACTGTATTAGTTGTTTTGTTTCCACAATAAACTGGGAATAAATCAAATCTTCCCTTCAATAACACCTCCTTTATTTTCTGAAATATCACAAGTCACATTCCATTTCTCAAGGTGTTCTTGCATCTTTAGTTTCAACATAGTTTTCAGGATTTAGATTCCACTGGGTCAAAAGGCAGGTTATAAAAACCAACAATTCCCTATCCACTTTTATAATTCTGAATGTTAAAGCAGGATTTAAATATCTGAAATAAATAAAGGCCAGAAGGTGTGTTTAACGAAGCGAACCTTGTGTTTGAGATGGGTCAGCAATGGCTACAGAGGACACAACTGCTGTGTGACTGATATGCAAAAGATCCACAGTTCATTTACTTACAGATGAAGAAGATTCGAATCTGACTTTCACATCTTTGCTAACTACGGGACAGCATTCAAAAGCAATTACTACCCAGTCGTTTTCGCCATCGAAGAACAACTGAAAGTAGATGGGACATCTCATTCACGATGAAATATTCTTGTTACAAAATGCATGAACTTTTATCTACTGAATCAACTATAGCCTCCTACTGGGGCAGCATGGCAAGTAAGGTCCCAGCAGCCCCCTCTCCATTGACCCAACTTAATTTGCCCTCTGAAAACTAATTTGGTCTGGTAACTTTCCTTTGGCCCCATTAAAACATAAAATTCTTGGCTACTCCTCAAATCGCCTAGCAACACTCCCTCCTGTTAATCTATTACTACTTAGGAGAACACAGCTGGAAAGTAAGGTTCACAGGCATTGCTGTTGAGGGAAGAATTTAGAGCACAATATACTACCAAATTCTGTTTAGCTAGAAGATGGACACCTTTTCTTCCATCCATGCTTTTCTTTTAAAATGTAAGGTATTTTAGGGGGGGAAATTCCTGCCTACCGCATTTCATCCTGTGTGTGTTATTCCTGTGTGTCCCAATCTAACAAATATGCTGTACTTATGTAATATATATTAACTGGGGGCGGTGGAACCAATATGTGGTCATCCCCCCCCCCCCGTTTTGTTTAAAAGGCTGCCAGTCCTAACTCCAGTTCAGAAGAAGTGCTTAGCTTCTAGAAAATGTGCAAAATGTGTTAAATGATGCAGGAATGACAGAGTAGCTGGGTTGCCTGCCAATAATCTCATCCCGAAAGCACCTGTGACATCCATGCAATTTATTCAGAATGCGGCAGCTAGACTGATGACTGGGAGTGGCCACCGAGACCATATAACACCAGTCCTGAAAGACCTACATTGGCTCCCAGTACGTTTCCAAGCACAATTCAAAGTGTTGGTGCTGACCTTTAAAGTCCTAAATGGCCTCAGCCCAGTATACCTGAAGGAGCATCTCCACCCCCATCATTCAGCCTGGACACTGAGGTCCAGCTCTGAGGGCTTTCTGGCGGTTCACTCCCTGCAAGAAGCCAAGTTACAGGGAACCAGGCAGAGGGCCTTCTTGGTAGTGGCGCCCGCCCTGTGGAAAGCCCTCCCATCAGATGTCAAGGAAATAAACAACTATCTGACGTTTAGAAGACATCTGAAGGCAGCCCTGTTTAGGGAAGTTTTTAAAGTTTGAAGTTTTATTCTGTTTTTAACGTTCTGTTGAAAGCCACCCAGAGTGGCGGGGGAAACCCAACCTGATGGGCGGGGTAGATATAATAAATTATGATTATGATTCCACACAATTATAAGAACAGCAGGAATGCAAGGGCCATTTGTGAGAAACACTGCATTTTCCACAATTCTAGAATGCTTCACTTTTAGAATGCTCAAAACATTTGCTCTCCTTGCATCAAAAACATACCCCCAAAGCACGTCTAGCAAATTCACATTAATTATAGGGATTAAGAGATCCATCGCACAGAAAGAATCTTAAATATACCACCAGTTGCAAAAACTCTGGACAGGTAACAATTTATTACGCCAGCCACTCATGACAGACTTTTAAAACTAACCCGGGAGTCCCTTACCTGGCAGTTTTCTTGGGTTGCACAAACACAATGAAATACCACTTGCTTTTCCATTATTATCTTCACCCTCAAATCACTGCCATTGCCTTTCCCAACTCCTAAAAAAAAGTTTTTTTAAAAAAAGGTTAAATAGCGATAGCAGGACAATGATTAGGCTGAATTTCAAGGACTGATGCCGAATTGTCTACTGCAAACTCTTTAAAAAGTAAACTTGCATCACAACAGAGGAAAGGAGGACATTAAATGCCACTAGAAATCCTACAGCATTTTAGCAGCGCTTACCATGGATAGCGTAGAGCTTTATGCTTTTTATTTCAAGTGGTCTCGCTTTTGGGAGCTGCAGGTTGTACTTCCATTTCAAGGTTGCGTAATACTCAACGTACCTATTCTGCAAAGAAAATTTGAGCGCGCCTTGAGAAATAAGTTACAAACAAGCTATAGCATTTTCAAAGCTAAAAGCAAATCTCCCAACTCAACCCTGAAGTAAGAGCAACCTTTTGGCTGCAAGAGAAGGTGACCTTCAAACCCCATCACTGCAAGCCTTGCCTTACCCAAACACTCCCAAATCCTGGACTCATCATATGTTATAACGCAGGTGTTAAGTTGTGGGTGAACATATCAGACGACACAGCGATTCTTCAAACAGCTCTTGTTTATTCACAGGCCAGAACAGAACTGAACTGAAGGGTTCAGCCAGCCTGCTTATATAGAGCTCCAGAACAATGTAATTGTAACAACTTTCTGTAACTATCCAATCACTGAACGTCACTTTCGACCCCTTATTTGCATATGTGGACCTGAACTATCTACAGTATCCCCCTGCTGGCCCAGGGTGAGAACTTCAGTACATAACAACAGGGATCCCCAAACTAAGGCCCGTGGGCCGGATAAGGCCCGAGGGACTCGTTTATCTGGCTCACAGCGACCCCCGCCGCCCGCTCTTACCGGCGCTGCATGACTGCCCACTTCTGGGTCGGAGGAGCACCGGAAATAGCTTGTGCGCATGTGCGTTATTTGCGCATGCGCAAGCGTTATTTCCGGTGCACATCTGGGTCGGAGGCCCGTGCACATGCACACAAGCTATTTCCAGTGCTCCTCCAACCTGGAAGTGCACCGGAAATAGCATGTGTGCACGCGTATGGGCACGCGCTCCCCCGCCCTCTGGCCCGCCATGCAATTGCCACTGGAGACACCGGCCCAAAGCGCAGTAAGTTTGCTGACCCCTGTTATAACACCAAAGTGTTATAGGTTGTTCGCTGGACTGAAGGGACTCTAGGCGCCATCCAGAAATGCAGGGGTATGAGAAGGGTGGTGCAGGAAAAATGGTCAGTTATAGAGCTAAATCGTGACATTCTGCAAGTTGTGTTAATCCCTTGCTACGATACTGGTTCCAGTGTCTTTAACCGAGACGTCATTGTAGACTCTTACCTGTGATGGAGTTTCAACACCCTGAAACTTGGAGCTTGTGCTTTCATCGGTTCTTCTTTTACCAAAGTACTGTAAACTTTCCTAAAAAAAGGAAGATGATAACAGGTGTCACCATATCTTGTAGTGTTTTGTTTTAAACCAAGGAACTATAAAGTGTTATTTTAGAGACACAGGTTTGGAGGCCAAGTTTTCCCTCTGTTCAAGTTAGAGTGGGGTGGATTTTGCCAACTTCCTCTTTCATCTGCTCCCTTACGCCTTATCCCTACACCATTCCCACGGTTCCTCCAAAAGCAGGTTTTCAAGGGAGACAAGAGGCTGCAGAGTTAAAAGGAGCTGGGAAAGTCCACGTCTGGTGAACGTGAAGTTTGCTCCTGCGTACAGATTGGCTATGTACACATTAGTGGCTTATAACACAACATTCATCTCCAAAACCATTGGTTTTCTCTGATGGTATTGTTCTGTTTACAGGAAGATCTTCGATACATTAGAGTCATGGGGGAGATTCTTTTGTGTCAATTGCTTGTTCCTAATGAAGCTCCTCTCCCACCATCTTCTATGCTGTTCAACGAACAGTATTACCGGGCTGGTTATCCCTGCCTTGTCTCTTCCTGCGGAAATCCTCTTCGTTTCAGTTGTACACACCTGGGATTTCGCTGTGCACTGAGCAAGCCTACAGCTCCCAAACTGGAGCAAAGCTGGCTTGGGGAAAATCACATCAAAATGTGATACTTCAAAAGAAACGATGGAATGCCTGTAGTGTGTACATGGATTTTTAAAAAATAGGAGTGGGAATTCACTGGAACCAGAGTAAGCGGTAATGTATGCACAGCCATAGTATTCAAGCCATAAATCCCACGACACTCAGAGGGGGGGGGGGGAGAGGGCAAATTCACCACCTCCTTTTCCTCCTCTCCCAAAAGACACTGCTGGAATTTTTCCAGCAACAACCCTGGGGTTAAGTAACATGTTTACCAGTCAAATTTCATCATTTTTTCCCATCTGAGAGCTGCATTCCTTTCTGAGCAATCTTCCAGGAAGTCACATGACAGTGGTAGGCAAGGCAGAGGCAAAAGTAGGTGGAGGAATCGATGCAAATTTTACCTTTGTATAGCAGGCTAATTTCTACGTACACTACTCTCAAAAATCCAGGCAAGCAAGAAAGGCCTGAAGGCTGTATTCAGGACCTGGGCCTAGGGCACCCCAGCTCTGGACTCGATCAAACATTTCCCTTGGAAGTGACAGGAAAAATTCCACATGGTGGTAGCAGTGTTTGCATACTGCTTACTATGTGGTTCAGCCAAATTGCATTGAGGGATGAGCCTTCACTCTGTGCACTGGGCATTTCTGGTAGTATAAACAAGGCGCACGCCTCCTGCAACTGAGCTGAACCATGTATATAAAATTCAGGTTGTCATGCCACTTAAATGAATTGCCACCCAGGTGGAAGGCATTCTTCAGCATTCCCTGCACACAGAAAAAAGCCACTCTTTGGTCTTTGAGAGAATTAAAGCACACAAGTTCAAAGGGAGGGTTTAATGTGCGCCATCGCTTTACGTACCTTTGCACTTTCAAACAGGCTGTTCTCAATAAGCCAGATGCAAATCATCGTGCCAGTTCTACCTGCATTTTTAAAAAAGGGGCGGGGAATCAAGACTTCAGAGGAAAGCCACCAGGGTTGGATTCAAGTTGTACTCAAGAAGGGAACCACTAGCGCATTCAGATTATGCTACATAAGAGATAGCTCAGTCAGTAGAGCGTGAGACTCTTGAACTCACGACCCCAAGATTGAAGCCCACATTGGGCAAAAGATCCCTGTGTTGCAGGGAGCTGGACTAGACGATTCTTGCGGTCCCTTCCAACTCTATAATTCTATCATGTGAATTACAAAGAACGGTTGGGGGAGCTGGGGATGTTTAGCCTGGCAAAGAGGAGACTGAGAGGAGATGATAGCCATCTTCAAATATCTAAAGGGCTGTGGCGTGGAAGATGGAGCAAGCTTGTTTTCTTCTACTCTAGAGGGTAGGGCCTGTACCAATGGATTTAAGTTACAGTGGTACCTCAGGTTAAGTACTTAATTCGTTCCGGAGGTCCGTACTTAACCTGAAACTGTTCTTAAGCTGAAGCACCACTTTAGCTAATGGGGCCTCCTGCTGCTGCCGCGCCACTGGAGCACGATTTCTGTTCTCATCCTGAAGCAAAGTTCTTAACCTGAAGCACTATTTCTGGGTTAGCGGAGTCTGTAACCTGAAGCGTATGTAACCCGAGGTACCACTGTACATGATTAACTTAATTAAGTTGCAGTTTTTATTCAAGAGTTCCAACTTTTGAAGTCTTCCAACCCACCTTCCTTTAAAATAGCAGATTTTAAGTAGCAAAATATAACCAACTCTGAGTTCCTCAATCCAAAATTTTGAAGAGGGACCAAGAGCTGTGATGGACCAGGTAATTATTTGGACTGTAGCTCAGTGGAAGAACACTGTCATCTCCAAAACGGGCTGGGAACTTGCCAGAAACCCTAGAAATTCACTTCACAGTCATATACTGAACTAGTTGAACCAACAAGCCTGACCTGGCAATAAGGCAGTTTCTCACCTCATTCTGCCTCAACTACCTATTTCAGAAAAATAACGGTGATCATTTAATACTGGAACACCAGAAGCTTTTGTAAACTAGAAACAGAAAACAAAACACCTTAAAAAAAAAGTTCAACCTCCTTCAGCTCCATGTCAATGTTTCCACTAAAAAGGACTTACTTACCCTTGCCTCCTTTGCAATGTATTGCTATGACATTGTTTTCATCTTGTAACATCCATTCCATCACGCTACGCGTGAATTGGACCATCTCCCTTAAGGGCAGAAAGAGGAATCTCACTTAATTTTTCTTTTCTGAGATGTTCTGGGGGGGACCAGGGACCTAACACCAAATCATTTTATCAGAGCAGTAATAAGCCCTTAGCAGCTTGGGATCAGTTTACCTGAAAGGTTGGCTTGTGTATGCGCCCGACCCCTTTTGGTCTGTGGAACTTGTAATATTACAAGTGCCAAACAACATTCACAAGCAGACTGATCTTTTGTGGTGGCAGCTCCAGTGCTTTGGAACTTCCTAGTAAAGGTAAAGGGACCCCTGACCATTAGGTCCAGTTGTGGCTGACTCTGGGGTTGCAGCGGTCATCTCACTTTATTGGCCGAGGGAGCCGGCGTACAGCTTCCGGGTCATGTGGCCAGCATGACTAAGCCACCTCAGGCAAACCAGAGCAGTGCACGGAAACGCCATTTACCTTCCCGCCGGAGAGGTACCTATTTATCTACTTGCACTTTGGCATGCTTTCGAACTGCTAGGTTGGCAGGATCAGGGACCAAGCAACGGGAGCTCACCCCGTCGTGGGGATTCGAACCGCCGACCTTCTGATCAGCAAGCCCTAGGCCGTGTGGTTTAATCCACAGCGCCACCCGCGTCCCTTTGGAACTTCCTAGGCCCTCACTGAAACTTTTAAGAAGTTGACTAAAAAACATTATTCCAGCAAGCCAACTCAGACAATAATTTAGTTATGCATACTTGTCTTGAATTTGTTTTCTGTGCATTATTGATAATTTTATAGTAATTTTTGGACATTGCTTAGAGATTTTTGAAAGTGATCTATACATAAATGAAAAACATCAACCAAGTTAAATCTCATCTGGCTTGGAAATGTCTTGTTTCAATGCCATTTACAAAAAAAACCATTGGCACCGTGCTTTTTAATTTTCTCTGAACTGGTTTCTCATGGACTAGAGCCATTTGCGTTCTTCAGCTGCCCTGATGGGTCTTTTTATTTAATTTTTCTCTCCTTAAATGCATACAGAAGCACCTTGAAATTATACTTACTCCAGAGTGGGAACATTATGGTCATCAATAAATATTCTCTCCACCCTGTAATGGAATATCTTTGGGTCATAGCCTTGTTCACCTGCAGGGGAGGGGGAGGGTATATAATTTTTTTTTATTTTTAAAAAATTATTCAGTGTTTGATTGTAAATAGAACCACTAAGCAATTTACCAAAAAAAAGCCAATAGAAGACCAAGCTAAAACCAGGTATTAAAAAATAATAATCAAAATACAATTAAAATCAGCTAAGCTAAAAACAGATTAAAAACTCACGTCAGCTTCTACATGTCTGGATATTGAGCATTTAAATCAACCCCAAACAGCAGCTTTTTGTTCAACTGAATGCCTTGAGTGGGGTTAGAAAAACAAAACCACACCTGTCAAAAATATATTGTTTCCCTCCCCTCAAGTGATGGGGGAGAAGGCACAGCCCCATTTCGCAGATACAAAGTGGTTATTTCGAATTTACAGCTTCCATAGCATTACGGTGTTCACAACTCCACTGTATCAAATTGGAAATGTTGTGTGTTCTGTCTCACAATCCTAAGCATAGTGGTTCATGGGGATGTTTCTTGTTAAATTTTCTTTATGTTTTTCATTAAATATCTACATAAGCAAACACAACCAAAACTTCTGGGGATCACTGTTACAGGTGAAGTCACCCAGGGAGGGAGGGATGAGTCTGTGAAATGTGGTTATAATAATAATAATAATATAATAATAATTTATTATTTATACCCCACCCATCTGGATGAGTTTCCCCAGCCACTCTGGGCGGCTCCCAATCAAGTGTTAAAAACAGTACAGCGTTAAATATTAAAAACTTTCCTAAACAGGGCTGCCTTCAGATGTCTTCTGAATGTCAGGTAGTTGTTTATTGCCTTGACATCTGGTGGGAGGGCGTTCCACAGGGCGGGTGCCACTACCGAGAAGGCCCTCTGCCTGGTTCCCTGTAACCTCACTTCTCGCAATGAGGGAACCGCCAGAAGGCCCTCGGCGCTGGACCTCAGTGTCCGGGCAGAACGGTGGGGGTGGAGACGCTCCTTCAGGTATTCTGGGCCTTTGAGGCCATTTAAGGCTTTCAAGGTCAGCACCAACACTTTGAATTGTGCTCAGAAACGTCCTGGGAGCCAATGCAGGTCTTTCAGGACAGGTGTTATGTTGTCTCAGCGGCCACTCCCAGTCAATAGTCTAGCTGCCGCATTCTGGATTAGTTGCAGTTTCTGGGTCACCTCCTTTGCAAGTTTTATTCTATGCATAACTAAATTAAAAACGGTTTAAATAGGAGATGCTTACTGCAAAGGTTGTAGACTTTGTAGTGGCCTTCATGTTTCGTATCCAAAAACCTTGCAACTTCCTATAAAAGCAGGAGGAGATATTCAAAGGACGCCAGAAGCATTAGGACCCAATGATGAGGCAATGCATTTGTGAAACCCATTTCAGAATTCAGAGAAGCCAATTCAAGCAAAATTGAGATCTCCCCATGTGCAAAGAGGTCTTCGGTGCCAACATATTGCTGTAGATGTGGTTGGATTCCAGCAATGTGTTAGGCTTAGCCTCAGCGGGGAGATTAAATACACATTAAGAACCAATGAAAGCAGAGGAAGTCAATGTGGTGCATTCCTAATCTTGTTGGACACCCATAAGCCACTGCCAACATGGTCAATATTCAGAGATGTAGCCCAAACATCCTATGGACAGCACCATGTTGAGGAAGACTGGCTTAGGTAGACATCTAGGCAAAATTTAAGTCTACTGTCACCTCTACACCATACATTTAATGCATGTTCAAAGCACTCAACACTTTCCCCAAAGAATGCTGGGAACTGCAACAGTTTACCCCTCAAAGAGCCACAATTCCCAGCACCCTTCACTACAGTTCCCAGGATTATTTGTGGGAAGCCATGTGTGTGTTAAAATGGATGGTGTGGATGCGACCAGACTTTTGAGTTGCTTAAAAAGGTAGTGTGGAGAAGAAAATGTTTAACGCCTGCAGCTTATTGGCTGATAATTCTAAGACATAGCACACCCATTTTTGAAGGCCCAAAACAAATCCTAACTCTGACCCTCTGATCATAGAGAAAAAATCAAGAACAATGTCAGGGAAGACACACAATGCCAACAGCCTGGCATTAGATCTGGCAAGGAAAGGAAGGAAAACAAATCGCCACCAATTAAGCAAATATTTTAGTTGTTTATCTAGTTTCTAAGTCAATTACAGCAATCAAGATGTAAGTAAATTATCATTTTATCAACCCCTCAATGCAGGAACTTGAAGAAAGGGCGTAATTTCTCTTAAATTACAAGTGTGGAATAAAAAACCAAAAACCGTATCAATTAAAAAAGCAACATGCCATATTTATACAGTGAGAACTATTTGCACAGACTTTCAGAATTTATGCTACCTTTATAGGATTCCTGTACCAAGACTGCTTCCCAGAAGATGGAAAGGACATTGCTATAACACGAGCTGAGAGATAGAAACACACACACATAAAGGCTGTAATAAGTCTACTGAGACAGCAACACATTTGCTGGTTCATAACTTGCAGTATTTCAGTTCAAAAGTATTTGTTTTCACAGAGATCAGTCTTCTGACAGCTCAGGCGTTCATCCTCATGTACCACTAGACTTTTACAAGACAAACTAAGAAGCTTCTTCTATGCTATCTCAATTTCCCCCTTTAAATCCAACTTTAAAACAGCGTAAACCCATGGGCCATTTGTGAACACAGGCTGCGTGTATACACAGTCGTGTTAAGAATTTTATCCAACTCTTGTGCTGGGGCTTTCGGTCAGAGAGAAGTAGGTTCAAGTTCCCATTCAGTTATGAGGCTAACTGGTTAGCTTTGCTGAGCAGATCACTGTATCTCAGACCAGCTTCCCTCGTAGGGTTCTTATAACACAAAAATAGGATTCCTACCCAGCTGCCTTAAGCCCCTTAGACAACAGAGAGGCACACAGATGGAATTATATACATTTAAACAGGTTTAAGATTCTTCACTGATGGAGAAAGACAAGTTCTGGTATGCCTTTTCAGTGTTGGCTCCTTGTACATGGAACTCCCTCCCTCTTTGCCCATGGCCCAGCAGAGTGGAGTCGGAACCCACAGCCTGCACACACAAGACCTAGACATTAGGGTAAGCAGACTACCATGTGACAGCAGTGAATGCTTTGTTTCCCTCCTGTTGGACCAGCACTCTAGCCTCTGCCAGGACCACTGGTCCACAGCACCATTTCACATTTAAGCAAAGTCTCTACTGTAGGTGTTAGCGCCGCAAGTCTGTCTTGTCATTTAGATTAGCAATCAAGAGCTACCATACTTTTCGCTCCATAAGACGCACCTGACCATAAGGCGCACCTAGTTTTTAGAGGGGGAATGCCAGGAAAAAATGTTCTTTAAAGGGAGCGCTGAGCAGAGCCTTCCGTCTGCGTTTGCTCCATAAGATGCACACACATTTCCCCTTACTTTTTAGGAGGGGGGAAAGTGCATCTTATGGAGCGAAAAATACAGTAATTCCAAGATGCAAAAGAGGAGAGGTGTGAGCGCAACTCGTATGACCACAAGGTCAAAGCCTGTTCCATTGGCAGAGTGGCAAAAGCAGCGTTTACGTGCCTCTGAGTGCCTTGGCTGTATGTGGTTAGACTTTAACTGCCCAGGACCATCTGCCTAGGCACTTATTCACTTCCTTCAGAGAAGCGATAACCAAGCAAAGAGCACGCATTGCCATGTCTCCCCAGTTAGTAGCTGCCCCAGAAGCAAGGCCAGGAGAGGACAAGAGCAAAGGACGCAGTGGCAGACACGCACACACACTTAGTTTTCTTCCACAATTCTTGGCTGCCCGGATCTCTCTAAGCTCCCATGAGAAAAGTTCATAATGATCAACTTCTTCCCTTTCACCAAGTTACTATACACACCAGTGACATACGTGAGGTCCAGATCAAAGCCATCTTTTGTGTAACGCCTTTTGTTTTCTGATACCTGCCAGCAACACACATAGAAGAAAATTAAAGAGGGAAGTTGGGAAACAAATAGGCTAGTTTAGTCTGACAGATGTCACTATTTCCAAGGCTGCCCATAACGGCTTAAAAAAAAAAAATTAGAACAGCAGCCAAAGTCTTAAATATAAGGCGAGAAATCTGAATATCTGCACTCCGAATCATGCGAGTATGACTGATCTTGATTGTTCTACATTTTTAAAGCATTTCTATACTGCCTATTAATTAGAGTCCTTCAAGTCAACTTAAAATAGAAATACAACAATTAGATATTTTAATGTTGATATTGATTTGTTTATGTAAAACATATTGGGGATGTCTACTAAAGTGCAATACAAACTCTTGGACAGTGGTACCCCTGTTTGCGAACAGGATCCGTTCCGGAGCCCTGTTTGCAACATGAGCAGAACGCAACCCGCGTCTGCGCGTGCGAGTGTCATGATTCGTCACTTCTGCACATGCACGTGATGTCAGTTTGAGCGTCTGCTCATGCGCAAGCAGCGAAACCCGGAAGTAACCCTTTCCAGTACTTCCGGGTCGCTGCAGAGTGCAACCCGAAAATGCTCAACCTGAAGCAAACACAACACGAGGTATGACTGTAATATAAAAAAGTCAAACAGAAACAGGAGCAGAAAGGCAAGCAGCCAAGATAACTACATGTGCCTCCCCCCAGGGGGAAAGACCTTGTGTCTCGCTCCCATAGTTGACAAGGCCCCATGTTGCTTACTATCCTCCTTGTGAGCTTTTCCAGTCGTTCCTTCTCCGATGCCAGTCGAAATATTCGTATCAGAATTATAACTCTCAGGATACGAAAAATAATAACCGCTCTGGTGAAAAGGGAGATAAAAAAGTGGTCAGCATAACAATATGAAAAGCTCGCAAGAGGAGACATGTTTATGTCTGTCTACAATGCACAGCATAGCTCCAGCTTCAAGTGTCTTTCTAGATGGAGGTGTTCGTAGCCATGCCAGGTCAGTGTGCAGTCCTTGCAAACTGCACAGAGTTATCAGTATGCTAAGCCTCTGTGACCAGATCTTATCATAAATAAAGAGCACCTGATGTTGTTTAAAAAGGTAAAGGGACCCCTGACCATTAGGTCCAGTCGTGACCGACTCTGGGGTTGTGGCGCTCATCTCGCTTTATTGGCCGAGGGCGCCGGCGTACAGCTTCCAGGTCATGTGGCCAGCATGACTAAGCCGCTTCTGGCGAACCAGAGCAGCGCACGGAAACACCGTTTACCTTCCCATTGGAGTGGTACCTATTTATCTACTTGCACTCTGATGTGCTTTCGAACTGCTAGGTTGGCAGGAGCTGGGACCGAACAACAGGAGCTCACCCCGTCGCAGGGATTCGAACCGCCGACCTTCTGATCAGCAAGTCCTAGGTTCTGTGGTTTAACCCACAGCGCCACCCACGTCCCTACCTGATGTTTAGGTGCAAATAAATAATCCACACCATATACTGAAAGCACTTTAAGGGTGCTGAGTGCTGTTCAAAAAGCTAGAATATTGACAAGATATCAGTGGCTAGATAACCAATTAAAAAGCACAGTACACTAAATCTAACCAAATGAGGACAATATGATGGACAAGGGAAAGAGAAAAGCAACTGAAATACAGGGACTGTTTTGTGGTTATTTTTTAAAGCTTTTATGGTTTAAAACATCATGATATACCATTAAACAAAAAAGAACCACTCTTACACTGTAAAATGCCCTGTGATCCCCTGGTGAAGGGAGGTATTATAAATTTAATGAAACAAATAAATTGCATGATGAGGTTTTGAACACAAATAAGAGACAGAAACGAAGCTGGAGAGGCCCAAAGGTTGGATGTGATCACAAGGTGCCTGTTAGAGGGCAATGTTTTTAAATTTATATTTATTTGTTAAATTTATGTACCGCCCTTCACCAAAAGATCTGATTACATTAGCAGCCCCACTCAACATCCAGCACTTTTAAAAGCCAAATTATCCACATGCTTGTTTGCATTTTGTCTTCACCACCAAAGAAGAAAAACAGACATCTTTGAAAGGAAGGAGGGAGGAGGGAGAGAGAGAAGGAAGAAGATTCTGCACTCTCCTTGCCTTGGAATGAGGCTTATTCCGCTGAAGTCAGAGACGGCGTACACAAAATCGATCAGCAGCGTGACCCCAACAATGATAGCATCCAGAATATTTAGCTTGGATTCAAAGTACTTTTCGAAGCTGAAATGAAAGAGAGATTTGCAAAAGACAACTAGCAACAATGATTTAGCAGCAACTGCTCACTTTGACAAGTACAGTGGTACCTCAGGTTACATACACTTCAGGTTACAGACTCCGCTAACCCAGAAATAGTGCTTCTTTGCTTCAGGATGATAACAGAAATCGTGGTCCGGCGGCGCGGCAGAAGCAGGAGGCCCTATTAGCTAAAGTGGTGCTTCAGGTTAAGAACAGTTTCAGGTTAAGTACGGACCTCCAGAACAAATTAAGTACTTAACCTGAGGTACCACTGTACCTTGTAGACCACCTAGGATTATTCAACATTTAGCATATGTAGGGGCTTAAGAAGTCAATTTTGCAAGGAAACTTTGGTTCAAGTATCGTGCTGCGGCGTATAAACCACGGTTAGTCCTGGAAAGCCCTGTTCAGCGGAGGCCACCCGCAGGGGTTAGCAACAGGGCACCCATGGGACCAGTGTGCCCTCCAGAACCTCCTATGGCAACTGCATAAGGTCTCTGCGATTTTCCCCTTGAAGGCACAACGCACACAAGACTGTTCGGTCTTCCTGTTCCCATTTGCACCGGTTCAGCCTCTGCTACACTGAACACACTCAGTGGCCTTGCCTTTTCCTGCTTTTCTAGATGTGACGGCCATTTTATGTTGTGCCATGCGGCCATTTTGTGAGTGCCATGCACAGCAAATTCCAAACGTGCCCCCTATCCCAGAAAGGTTGGGCTAAAGTAAGGTCTGCTCATTCCCAGAACTGGGCCTGTACACAAGAGTTACGAGAGAATGCCAATATGAGCCATATGAGACTGAACGAGCCATAACACGGGTGCGCATCATATTGGGGGTAGGGCACCAAAACGAATAGCTCAACTATGCACACTAACAGCCAACTCAGATACTGCGTTCTGACAGTGCAGGATTTTGGCCGGTGCGGGTGGTTCCTTTGCACAGTGCGCTGAGCTGAGGGGATGCAAAATTGAGCAGGCCCATAATTTGGGGGCACAAAATATTGGCCTCGCACAGGGCACTGTATTACAAAGGATTAACAAAGTCCACCCTGGCATAGACAAAATGAGGCTAAGAAACAAGAGAAGGAATCTGTAAGCTTTGGGAAGGGAGGTTTCCAGAAGTGCAAAAATTCTTAAAGGGAAAAAAACCTAAGGGGGCAAACCCCCACTCTCTGAAAAGAAAAAAAAACAACACCCCAGTACCCATGACCAATTAATTAGGAATGAGCATGCTCAGTGGCTACAGAATATTGACTGCTGGGGAAGAATAAAATGGGGGGAGGGGACTGAATCAGGTGTGTGTGTGTGTGTGTGTATAGAACATAATATCCTGAAAAAAGGTGGTGGGATTCTGAACAGTTGCAGTCAGCACAACAGGCTTCACTTGCTCTTCCCGTTTCCTAAAGAACACTTTTTAAGCTTTTCTCCCTATTCCAGATGCAGTAAGAATACTGCTGCAAAGGGGTTTTATGGGGAACTTTCAGACCTCTCTGCTAGCCCCCTGAATGCAAGGTCAATGCCTTATTCGATGAAAACTTATGCAGTTAAAAACACAAGAGTTTCACAGCAGCACAGCTTTACAATGGTTCCTGCTCTTACCCTTCAATGGACACTCGCAGGAGGACATCAAAGAGGAAGAAGAATGCTATGGCCAGAGAGATATTTCCAATCATGACATCAAGAGAGTGGTATTTGTGAGCAATCATTAGAGACAGAATCACAAGTGAGATGTCCACAAAAATAAGCACAATTCCAAAAAGCCTAAAACAAGCGAAGGGAATGGGGAAGAAAAGGAGAAAGACGGTCACTTCAAGGGAAGAATCATGCAAATGGAAATAAAAATAAGTTTCCTTCATTGTAGTGCAAATATTACTCCTGGAAAAGGGATAGACAAATGTGCTTTTATGAAGACCTATTTAACACAATAAAGAACTGGGCAATCTTTGTCCACCAATTCAGCTTTGGTCTGTAGAGGAGTCCACGTGTTCAGCAGGCAGAAAGGTGTGGCAACCAATTTGCAGCTGTATTGCAGAGCAAAGCAACTTACTAATGCAAGTATCTTGGCTGATCTCAGGTTTCCAGAAAACTGATATCCCGTTATGTGTCGTACAACCAGGAAGCAGACTTGTGTGCAATACAGATTTGGGCAAATGTTACTCAGATGGAAACATCCATATTGCAAGCGTTTGATGTGCTTAGAAATTATGCTTAAGCCACCGAAAGTTGGTTGGCTGGGAAAACGAATGAATCAAAGTTGCTTTCCTTAAATGAGAGCAATTTTCATGTTCGCAATTCTGTAAGTAGAAAGCTGTAAGGTATCAGTTTGCCAATCTACAACTGCCTTCCCATGCTTCACTGATGTTCATGTTGTGGTAATACTTACCTGAATCCAAAAGACATCACAAACTGGGAGACTTTTTTCTTTATTAGGCTGGTTCAGGGGGAGAAAGGGAAATTATTATTATTATGATGATGATGATGATGATGATGATGATGATGATGACTATGATCAGAGTTTCAAAGATATAGTAACTGAACAAATCAAGCCTACCAAACAAAAAGGTATTTCACCTGAAATATTTCGATCCTGCCCTTCATTGTAAAACAATGCCAATAAAACATAAATCATATACATAAAGAAGCATATAAAACAAGGCACATAAATCACAAGCAAATGTTTAATTGCAACAAAAAAGCCCTTCTCAAGTCCGTAAGTAGTGGCAGCTATTTTTATAGCGGTTAAAGTTAGCAATTTCTGTCATTCAGCTATATGATTGTGGCAATATGGACACCTGTATACCTACTGCATTCAAAGCTTTTCATTTTTAAAAACATTGCTTTTCCAGGGCTCCTGGTTCTAGGCTGCGATCCCATTACTGGCTTAAACTGCAACTAGGTCGTTCCTTTTCTCAATTTGGATCAAAGCTGGCTCGGGGAAAACACATCAGAATGCAGCATATTTCTCAAGGACAGATATGGATTGTGACCAACGTCACAAACCACAGGGGTGCAAACTGGACGCCATGCGGTCATTGGGCAGAAATAAAGGTAGAAACTGTTATGTACTGAAGTTCTCACCCTGGGCCAGCAGGGGTTACTGTAGATAGTTTTCACTCAGGTCCACATATGCAAATAAGGGAATGAAAGTGACGTTCAGTGATTGGATAGTTACAGAAAATGATTACTGTTGCGTTCTAGTGGAGCTCTATAGTGGAGCTGGCTGAACCCTTCAGTTCGGTTCTGTTCCAACTTACAAATAAAGAGCAGCTTTGGAGAAATCGCTGCGTCGTCTGCTATGTCTACCCACTATTTAACAGAAACCTCTGCTATATAGGATACTGTTAAGTTTCGTGAGGACCACAGTCGGAGCTGGCAAAACGAATACTGTCATTTCAGCAAGCTCAATTTAAAAAAGCAGAGAGAAGGCGATGAAGAGGTAATCCATCACTCCTACTTGTCTGGCACATTTTCTCAAAGTTCAACTCACTCTGTAGAAGAGTCTGATTCAGCTTCCTCTTTATCAGCACCATCGTCAAGATCCATTTCAATCTCCCTGATCCGACTTCTGCCACGGAATTAATTGGGGAAGCAGATATATTAACAGAATTCCTTCTTGCGACAAGAAATAAGAGCTAAAGTGATGGGGGTTAACAAGCAGTCAACAAGCTCACCTCCTCTCTGAAAGTTAACGGATTTCAGCAGTGAGCTTGTACCAGCCTGCGGTGAAAGCTTAATGGAAAGCAGTTGTGTCAGATTCTCAATTTTACTGAGTGAAAGGCTACCACCACTTTACACCCATCTCTTTTCTCACAAGACTTCAAGCACTGGAGGCAGCAGATCAAGGTCAGGGATAGCAAGAGACACGCGCAGAGAGGGCATTTTGTGGAGACCAGCCTTCTGCCCTCAGTGTTCGAAATTCGCCAGGCGCATTTTGTACCTGGCTATCGGCCACTTGCGACCAAGTGAAGATATCTGGGCATCAGGATGGTGCCGGACATCACCACCATCTGAAGGTGTCTGCCTGGGGATCCCTTGACTGTTTTCGCACACTAAAAAGGTAAAGGTAAAGGGACCCCTGACCATTAGGTCTAGTCATGACCGACTCTGGGGTTGCGGCGCTCATCTCGCTTTACTGGCCGAGGGAGCCGGCGTACAGCTTCCGGGTCATGTGGCCAGCATGACTAAGCCACTTCTGGCGAACCAGAGCAGCACACGGAAACACCGTTTACCTTCCTGCCGGAGCGGTACCTATTTATCTACTTGCACTTTGACGTGCTTTCGAACTGCTAGGTTGGCAGGAGCTGGGACCGAGCAACGGGAGCTCACTCTGTCGCGGGGATTCGAACCGCCAACCTTCTGATCAGCAAGTCCTAGGCTCTGTGGTTTAACCCACAGCGCCACCCGCGTCCCTTTTTCGCACACTAGTACCACATTATGTAGAATTCTCAGTTATATTTTATCTGCACCATCAGAATAAATTTCAGGAACCAAGACGTCATTTCTGTGCAGCCTGAGCAAGAGCAGCAAACGACTTTGTAGTTAATTGTTGTCGCTTGCCCTTCACTTACCCCACTTCACTGACCTGCTCACAGCTGTGAAGAATATCCCTACATTATGAATGGTCCATGTCCCCATTAAGAAAAAGAGGTAGGAATAGGCCAACATATATGTGGACTGCACCTGGGTCAAGCAGGTTTTCCTCTTCAACTTTTCCAAGTTCTTAACCTAGCTCAAGGTCGTCATCTAAATTAGCCAGATGTTTGATTGAGAATCAATCAGTCAGTTCATCATTTGAAAAAGAAGACTTTAGAGCTGCCTTGTCCAGAAATTTTGGTGACTGCAAACTTGGTTTAAGGAGCCATTTGGCAACTAGCTTATATATCTGAGTTTCTAACACTGGTTGACCTGCCCAGGTGCCCACTTATGTGCAAGGTAAAGGTAAAGGGACCCCTGACCATTAGGTCCAGTCGTGACCAACTCTGGGGTTGCGGCGCTCATCTTGCTTTATTGGCCGAGGGAGCCGGTGTACAGCTTCCAGGTCATGTGGCCAGCATGACTAAGCCGCCTCTGGCGAACCAGGGCAGCGCACGGAAACGCCGTTTACCTTCCCACCGGAGTGGTACCTATTTATCTACTTGCACTTTGACGTGCTTTTGAACTGCTAGGTTGGCAGGAGCAGGGACCGAACAACGGGAGCTCACCCCGTCGCGGGGATTCGAACCACCGACTTTCTGATCGGCAAGTCCTAGGCTCTGTGGTTTAACCCACAGCGCCACCCGCGTCCTGTGTGCAAGGCAGGCAAGTGTTATCACAAATGGAATAGTATGCAAAGCCAAGTAAATTGCCAGCATACACGAGTTTCCCTTCCCCTCAAGATTCATCAAAACAGAAGGTTCTGAGAGTTTTCAGGTGGTTCTTGGTACAAGATAGCTTTTGTCAGCCAAAGGAAGGCTGATGTTCTTTATCTTCCCCACCTGGTGATTCAAGATGGGGAAGTTCTGCTGTTTGGGTCTCTGGCTGCACATTTTCCCTTAGCATGGTAAGCACCAGAGTTAAGAGGTTGGACAGACAGACATTTAGGATACCGGCATGCAGTTCACGTCAGTCACCTTAAGAGCAATAGCAATGCCCCCCAAATTAGGGTTGTTGGAAGAAGACTTAGGCTGCAATCCTGAAAGGGATTACTCAGGGGGCTTATTTTAAATATGGAGAAGTAAGGACAGTGCTGTTAGAGCACCAAGAGGGAAAAAATAAGGTGAACAGCAGAAAAGACTTAAGTGGACAGATTTAAGAGGTGTGATTTATAAACTTCATGAACCACATAAAAGGGTTGAAGGATCTATTTGTGTTCTCGCACTATGGCATGGAGTCACTAGACACACTTACAGCAGGTTCAGGGTCTTAACCCAGGATTTTCTGGTTTCTGCACAGAAAATACACTCACTTCTACTGACCAGCAATCCCTTCCCATTATATCCCATTCAGGATAACTCACACTTGAGTGTCATGGGCCACCACATGTTGTCCATCTCTTTCGGTTTCCATTTTTCTCTTGTGGTTTTCGGAGCAAAACAAAACAGATGGTTTCCCTGTTGGGGCAAAATAGGATACCCCAGAAGTTGGCTTTATATACACCAGGCTGCAACCCTAACCCCATTTAGGTAAAGGTAAATGGACCCCTGAGGGTTAAGTCCAGTCGCGAACGACTCTGGGGTTGCAGCGCTCATCTTGCTTTACTGGCCAAGGGAGCCGGCGTTTGTCCGCAGACAGTTTTTCCGGGTCATGTGGCCAGCATGACTAAGCTGCTTCTGGCAAACCAGAGCAGCGCACGGAAACACCATTTACCTTCCCGCCGGAGCGGTACCTATTTATCTACTTGCACTTTGACGTGCTTTAGAACTGCTAGGTGGGCAGGAGCAGGGACCGAAAGACGGGAGCTCACCCCGTCGCGGGGATTCGAACCGCCGATTTTCCGATCGGCAAGCCCAAGCAGCACAGTGGTTCAGACCACAGTGCCTGGGGGTTAAGTCTTACTTATTTTTAAAATCAGATCAAAGCTGGTTGGGGGTGGGGTGGAATTCATCAAAATGCAATATTTCTCAAGAAGCTACAGAACAGATGTGGATTGCAGCTAATGTTGTGCAGTGTACGAGGCTTCACAAACCAGTGGTGGAAGCATAGAGGACACAGAGTAAACAGGAGTGTACACACAGCCTGAACTGCACTACACTTTGCTCCACAGAGCCTCATTCTGCAGAAAAACAGGATTCACACAACACATTATGAATTGGATCAAAGAGCTTCGTATACATTTGCTCACCAACTCGCACATCACCCCTGCAAAGCAGGTCAAACTCATGACCACCACAATGCAAGCAATGAGGCTGAGACCCAGGAAGCAGTGGTTTGCTTAATGTCAGCCAAGCCTCCTGACCTGGTCAGTCTGTGCCTTGGCTGCATCGCTTCAAGCAATGGGGGCGGGGGGGGGGGAATGCTCTGGGGATTTAATAAGCCTCCATACAAAAAGGATTCTCTGCATATAGAAAACTAGAATGTCAGAGTTCCAGCCTAGATTCCTCCCTGATACAAGTATGTAAGGGAGAAGGGTTTAAGTTTAGATTATGCACTAGAAGGGTTCAAGCACTAGATATCTGGGAGGAGTGGGGTTCATACAGAAAGGTATTCATGTTTCATTCAAGCAATTCCCAACCTGTGGCACAAAGAGTACAAGAACACTTCTGTCAACAAATGTTGGAAAGAATAAGAGAGTCCCTTGCGGCTAAATCCTGCTCAAGTTTACTCGGAAATAGGGTTGGGAAAGAAACACAGCAGCCCTTTGAAATTCACACTTCTCCCTATTTTGTGTTGCAGTTCTCCAACCAACAAACCAGTACAGAAATGTGTGCTTAGACGGCATTTGTACTTTTCGCCGCATAACTTTCCAGGAGGGCTAGATACTTACTCCCTGCCCCCTTTGTTTAAATGAAAGCTTTGGGGCACCTGTGAAAGCCTTTGTGGGCACTATGACACCAGGTTGGCAACCCCTAAACCACTGGGTAGCTCTGAACCATGAGTAACATTGTGTAATTGTATTCAAAAGCCAGCAGTGGGAGCACACTGGGAGCAGAGTAAATGGTAATGTGTTCTCAGCCTAGGTATGCACAGGACCTGAAGCCTTAAGTTTTGTCCAAACCAATAAAAGGAGACTGCACTGTTACAGCAAGACACCTGATCTGCATTCAGTAGTCTTGAGAACATCTCCCAGTGTGTGAAGACTGCATTTTCCGTACAACAATTTCTGTCTTCTTGTGCTTGCAGAACCAGAGCCAAACCACAGGAGATGTATGCATAAAAGAGTTAACTTCAAAGTTTGCAGACTCACAAAATATATTTTGGGGGAAAGAAAGCCCCAAACATAACAACTCAATGGCACAGAATATTAGCTGGCTGAGTTGGGAGGAGTAACAGACAACTGGTTGAGAGAGGCAGATACATGCAAATGTGCATATATGGTTTTTTATTTAAAATAATAATAACCACCTCATTCACCTCGCAGGTCACTTCCTGGATCTCACCCAGAGATGGAAGACAGGAGAAAGCCAAAGGAAAAATAACAAGCTGTAGTTGGGAGCAAGTGAGTCCATATACCCCACCCCCAAAAATATAAGGGCAAATTTGGGGTTGTTGGGGAGGGGTAGAGAAACTTGGTAAGTCCGAATTGGAAGAGGACCTGCTGATGCAACAGAAAATCCTAATACACTATTTTTTTAAAAAACCAACCTGCTAAAGCAAATTACAAAGCAAAAGCAGTCTACTATCCCCAAATTGCTGGATGGGGCTGTTGCTGGAAGAGAGTAGCTTACAGCAGCCCTGCAATGTAGTGGACACTGAATACTGCAGGTCAGGCTCCAAGTGTTTTACAACCTTTGGAAAGTATTGCAGCCTGGGCATGTCTAAAGCTGAAAGAGTACCTTACAACAACCACTACTTCTCTCCCCACACTGCAGGTTAGGCTTACATTTTCAAGAATCCCTGCAGTATAGGGAACTGTCTTATCCCTATAACAGGTAGGCAGGATGTGCTAAGAGAATTAGCTAACATGAACTGGGTCTTCAACTGGTGGGTGTGGGACCACTACTAGGTCACAGCCCGATCCAAGGTGGGTTGCAACAGCGTACAAATATTTGATTTGTTGTTGTTGTTCTTTTAAAAAAATGAGTCTTCAACTGCACACTTGGGTTAAATGTGGGTCCCGTGTCTAACTGAAGACTGCTGGCTTTTGCAACAATCTTACAGCGCCTTTCACTCTTAATATTTCAGACCAGAGGCTATGCTCACCGCCTTTCCAACCTCCTCTCTTGCTAAACAAAGCACCGAATTGCACCAGAGAAGCTTGCGATGTTTGCACTGACTTGCATACAGGTGGCTGTAGTAGTTCATAGTGTTCAAACCCTTTTAGGGGAGTTTCAGCCCCCCCCCTTAATGACAATGGCGATAGATTTTGCACTTGAACACAGACCCAAGACTCCTCTTTCCATGCCAACGTTGGCTTTTGTCAAGGCTCCCCTAAAACACACCCAGGACAAAGGAAAAACTGCAACCTTTGGGGGCGTCATTCTTCTACCCATGCCCCTGTGAGAATCAGCCCTTTCTTCGTACATCCTCCCCCTTCAAGAAATCATTTCCTTGGGACTTTCGGCCCATCTCCACCCCTATTACTCCTTGCCCTCGCGAAGGGATCATTTTCACAAGGGGTTTTTTTGGGGGGGGGAGCTGTCCGTGCTTCCAAACGCCTGAAAGTCACGACAGGGGCTTCTCCCCCCACCTGGTCAATTCTGCCTCTGCATAGTTAACGCAGGTTTGGTTTGCTTTCCCATCCCACCCCCCACCCCCGGTCGAAGCAGAGCAATAAGTCATTTACCTCAGCAGGGGACAAGCTCAGCTCCAAAAATGAAACCCTTCCAAGGGGAAGGGGGGGGTCGAAACTCGTGACAAGCAGGTAGGTGGTTGGGAGAGGGAGGGAGAAGGAAATGGGACCGGGGGGAGGGAAGCGAGAGAAAAAGCTTTCCCCGTTTTTACGCACGCCTGAAAAGCTGCCAGAGCGCGTGCGGCGAGGAGACTAAAGGAGTCCTATTGTGGGTCGAGTGACCTAGAACTGGGAGAAAAGAAAGCGCGGGGGAACAAAAGCCCCTCTTTCAGCCGCCGGGGAGAAATCCCTCGGATCTCCTCCAACCGCACGGGCGCAAAACCAAGGCGCAAAAAGCGCCGCGCGTTTGGAGAGGCCACTTTTGCGCGCCGCCTCACCTCTCGCCTCCCGCGAGTCTCTCCGGCGCAGCGCTAAAGGCTCCCTGCCCGTCGCCTCAGGGCTAAAGGAAACCCGCCGAGCGGCCGGCGGCGGCGGGGAGAGCCGGGCGTTGCCAAGCGCAGCTTCATGCCGGCCTGGCGGAGACTACACCTGATCCAGATTCGCGCCTGATTTACGGGGCCGGGGCGGCGGCGCGGCCGGTCAGCCGGCGGGGGGCGCAGTCAACCGCGCCGGGTTCCAGCCTGCCTGGCCCTGGAACGCCGTTGCCAGGGCCACCGAGAGGCCACCATTATCCCGGGGCAGCTGCTGCTGCTGCCCCTTGGCGCGCGATAAGGCCGCGTCCGCATTGCCAAAGGGCCAGCGCTCTGGAAGGGGCCTCCTGGTCGCCTGGAGCAAAACCTGCGGCCTTGTAGGGCAGGCTTTCTCAAACTTGGGTCTCCAGCTGTTGTTGGACTACGACTCCCATCATCGCTAGCTAGCAGGGCCAGCGGTCAGGGATGATGGGAACTGGAGTCCAAAAAACAGCTGGAAACCCACTTTTGGGGAAAACCCTGGTTTTTGGGGGGAAACCCTGGTTGTCTGCAGTTGCCATTGTTTTTTTGCACACGCCACTTCAGTCTCCAAGCGATGCCAGATTCCCGGGGTTCCAGGTGTGCTTATCCAGCGTCTGTTTCCTTTTGGAAAAGAGGCACGGTTAAGACAAGACTGGAGTGTCTTTATGATAGATGGTTTGCACATACAGTGGTACCTCGGGTTACAGACACTTCAGGTTACAGACTCCGCTAACCCAGAAATAGTACCTCGGGTTAAGAACTTTGCTTCAGGATGAGAACAGAAATTGTGTGGCGGCAGCGGGAGGCCCCATTAGCTAAAGCGGTACCTCAGGTTAAGAACGGACCTCCGGAACGAATTAAGTTCTCAACCTGAGGTACCACTGTATACACAACCCAGACGTTTGAGGTATTGCGATCCTGAGCTGCTTAAGGCTTTATAGGTCAAAACCAGCACTTTGAATTGGGCCTGGAAACCTGATTGGCAGCCAGAGCAGTTGGGCTAGGTTCATTGTAATACTGAATGCTCAAGCCGTCTTGTCTCAGCCAGCCTCCACCTGCCTTCCTTTTTACTTACGTACTTACTGCCTGACAGCTTCCTCCTCTTTAGTCTCAGTTGTTATGTACTGATGTTTTCACCCTGGGCCAGCAGGGGGATACTGTAGATAGTTATGCAAATGAAGGATCGAAAGTGACGTTCAGTGATTGGATAGTTTTAGAAAGTTGCAACAGTTACGTTGTTCTGGAGCTCTATATAAGCAGGCTGACTGAGCTCCTCAGTTCAGTTCTGTTCTGGCCTTGGAATAAACAAGAGCTGTTTGAAGAATCGCTGTGTCGTCTGATATGTTTGCCCACAACTTAACATCGGTGTCGCCCCTTTTAAAACTCAGCAGGCATGGCAAAACCAGAATTGGTGGAACCAGGGGTGAAATTAGGCTTTCTTTTACCTGGACCAAAGACCCAGTTTGGCACACACCCCATGCATATTTGCGTAAACACACACACACAGGCTGGGAGCCTCAGTTACTACTGTGTAGGAAAACTGACCTTCCAAGTGTCCCTATTTTCCAGGGACAGTCTTGGATTTACAGAAGCTGTCCTGGTTTCCTTTTCCTTGGGATGTCCCTATTTTCATCGGAGAAAGGTTGGAAGGTATGGAAAGATGCTCTTAAGTACTCAATCATTTGTGTTTGTCCCGTCCCCCCCAATTTCTCCAATCAGATTTTGGGTGTGCATTATCAGCGGCTTCGTGTATTAGCCACGATAAGTCAAATGATATTAGCATTTCCCTATTTGCTTTGAAGCAGTTCTCTCTGTCATTTCCTTTTTTTAATTTTTAATTTTTTAAAAAAATTTATTATTAAAATAATTCAACATTAATACATACATGTTACGAATATACAAACATACATTTCATACAATCCTTAAAAATATTCATACATGCCCACACTCAGTCCCACAGATACTTTGTTTTCCCATCACCATCCCTCACCCCTCACCCCACCCTTGTGTTAGACTTCCAAACTACTCAATTGCAATTTCTTTCCACTTCTATTACTTTCTTTCACATACTTTTAAACCAATTTTCTGCTTCTTTTTTCTGTTACACATTGTTATCCATCTTATTTAGTATTTCAGTATTTATAACGGAACTTGTTTATTCTAATAGGAGTTCTGATTTTTCAATATAATTTTGCAAGTATCCTTTAAACACCTTCCAGTCCTTGTCTATCTTCTCTTTTGAGATCCTTCCAATTTCTCCCATTGTTTTGGATATATTGTAATACTCCAATAATTTGGCAAGCCACTCTGTTTTTGTCGGTATAATACCACTTTTCCAATTTTTCGCAATCAATAGCCTTGCGGCTACTGTTGCGTATAAATATAATGTCTTCTTCCTTTAGATTTCCTGGTACTATTCCCAGTAGAAAACCTTCTGATGTTTTCCTAAATGAATATCTGAACATTTTTTCATTTCATTGTATATTGTTTCCCAAAATTGTTTGATGTTTAAACAATTCCACCATATATGTGTCATAGTACCTTTTTCAGTTTTGCAACGTTGCAACTCTCTGTCATTTTCACAGTAAGGGTTCTCTCAAGAAATCTGTTCCTCTGTGCCATATCAGTATTTTAAATTACTTTTTTGTTGTCGTCATCAAAGAAATAATCTTCCTTCCTAACATTTCAACTCAAGGATTCAGAAAATAAGAGTGGTTTGGATTCTTAAAGTACTTTACAGTCAGCAGAGGGAGCTCCAAGTGTTCCTTTGTAGGTCTTTCAAGACATTTGGGGTTGTTTTTTTAGGGATAGATTTTTCTGCAGTTACATTTTTAAAGTTGCCATCTCTACTGAGGCTTAGAAAGCAAAATTCTTGCCATGCAGACCCAGACTCTCGGGTGCTTTGATGCATCCGACTATAACAAATGAGGTAAGTTTATATTTTTCACTTAAAGCCTTCTGCTGCATTTTATACACACACACACACCCCTGCAACAATTCAGTGTTAGTTTTAGCTCTTTAATGATTGCATTCTTTAGACATTAATGGAAGTAATGGGGGAAACGCAAACCTGTACATTAAACAAGCTTTCCTGAATTTTTTTCCTGAATTTTTGTTGTTGTCACTACAGTGGTACCTCGGGTTAAGTACTTAATTCGTTCTTGAGGTCCGTTCTTAACCTGAAACTGTTCTTAACCTGAAGCACCACTTTAGCTAATGGGGTCTCCCGCTGCTGCCGCGCCACCGGAGCACGATTTCTGTTCTCATCCTGCAGCAAAGTTCTTAACCCAAGGTACTATTTCTGAGTTAGCAGAGTCTGTAACCTGAAGCATATGTAACCTGAGGTACCACTGTATTAGGAAACCGGGGTGCAAGTTCTCCTAAAACTGCTAGCTCGTTTGCAAAGCTAAGTATGGCCTGGTCCGGTTTCAAGTTGGATGGGGTACTGTGTGTTGAAATTCCAGCATTCCAGGGGGTTTGACTAGATGACCCTTGGGGTCCCCTTCCAACTCTACAATTCTCAGATTCAACATGTATCCCTTTTGCAGCTATCCCTGAGGACCAAACTATACAGTCGGCAGCAGACCCAGCTCTGGCAGCTCTTGATTTCTACTGAAGAGAGCTAAAGCAGTGACTGGCGAGAAGGACGTAATCTGTAGCAGAGAAGCAGCAGACAGGTATTTTACCTTTCCATCATCTGTTAATTCTCCCATCGCAGCCCCCTCCCTCCCACAACTTTCTTCCCAGCCAAGATTTGTTGCCTTAAATCTTGTTAAGCTTCACGTAGAAGTCAAACACTTGTTAAATGTGGCTCCCTCTATTAGGGTCCTGCACTGACATTATTTATGAGCCCCTTCAGACGAGTAGGTTTCCCCCCGCTCCCGACATATTTTTGGAACATGAAATTGACACTATGTTAGTGATTTAGTGGTGGATTTATACAGAAGCAACCATGCACCATTCTGCTTTATTCATTGTTCTGTGACGCTTCCCCTGTGCTTTCCCATTCTTCCTATAGTGCAGGGGTAGGCAAACTAAGGTCCAGGGGCTGGATGCGGCCCAATTGCCTTCTAAATCTGGCCCGCGGACAGTCCAGGAATCAGCGTGTTTTTACAGAAGTAGAATGTGTCCTTTTATTTAAAATGCATCTCTGGGTTATTTGTGGGGCCTGCCTGGTGTTTTTACATGAGTAGAATGTGTCCTTTTATTTAAAATGCATCTCTGGGTTATTTGTGGGGCATAGGAATTCGTTCATTCGCGCCCCACCCCAAAATATATAGTCCGGCCCACCACATGGTCTGAGGGATGGTGGACCGGCCCACAGCTGAAAAAAGGTTGCTATAGTGCAACAAAAGCATGTGTGGTGTAGATTCAGGTAGATAGTCTGATGCAGTCGAAATATATATTAAAAATTTTAAAATGTCCAGTGGCACCTTAGAGACCAACTAGGTTTGTTCTTGGTATAAGCTTTCGTGTGCATGCGTACTTCTTCAGATACACTGAAACAGAAGTCACCAGACCCTTATATAAGAGGGTGTGGGGTGTGTGGAATATCTATGGTACGAAAAGTTACAGGATTTCTGCAGGAAGCTATGGGACATGTACCAATGAGGAATGGAGCTGTGTTGCTAGCCCAATGGTTTGCAAGCACAAGCAGTATTAAAAGCAGACCATCACAACAAGTCCTCATGAATGCACAACAAAAAGGACATCTGGAGGGGCCAGTGCTTTATTTATTTAAGGCAGGCATAGGCCAACTCGGCCCTCCAGATGTTTTTGGACTACAACTCCCATCATCCCTAGCTAGCAGGACCAGTGATAAGGGATGATGGGAGTTGTAGTCCAAAAACATCTGGAGGGCCGAATATGCCTATGCCTGATTTAGGGCGTTTATGCCCTTCCCCTTTAGCAAAAAAGGGCTCTCAGAGCAAATTACAAACATCCCTGCCCTTACAATGGGAGGGAGGAAGAAAAAGACACAAAACGCTCTTGCACCAGAGCCCTTTCGAGATCTGTACTTTGAGAAATCTTCTTCACTGCTTTGAGAATTTGCTTCTGTCAGGAGGTGAGGCAAATGTCTCCCCTGTATCCTATTAGGGCATGGAGAAAATCCGCTTTTCATCTCAGCATTAAGCAATATGGCAATGACTAATGAGGTGCTGGAGGAGACTCTTGAGAGTCCCATGGACTGCAAGAAGATCAAACCTCTCCATTCTTAAGGAAATCAGCCCTGAGTGCTCACTGGAAGGACAGATCCTGAAGCTGAGACTCCAATACTTTGGCCACCTCATGAGAAGAGAAGACTCCCTGGAAAAGACCCTGATGTTGGGAAAGATGGAGGGCACAAGGAGAAGGGGACGACAGAGGACAAGATGGTGGGACAGTGTTCTCGAAGCTACCAGCATGAGTTTGACCAAACTGCAGGAGGCAGTGGAAGACAGGAGTGCCTGGCGTGCTCTGGTCCATGGGGTCACGAAGAGTCAGACGCGACTAAACGACTAAACAACAAGTTATGGTGCTAGTGCTGGAGGAGACTCTTGAGAGTCCTATGGACTGCAAGAAGATCAAACCGATCCATTCTTAAGGAAATCAGCCCTGAGTGCTCACTAGAAGGACAGATCCTGAAGCTGAGGCTCCAGTACTTTGGCCACATCAGGAGAAGAGAAGACTCCCTGGAAAAGACCCTGATGTTGGGAAAGATGGAGGGCACAAGGAGAAGGGGACGACAGAGGACGAGATGGTGGGACAGTGTTCTCGAAGCTACCAGCATGAGTTTGACCAAACTGCGGGAGGCACTGGAAGACAGGAGTGCCTGGCGTGCTCTGGTCCAGGGGGTCACAAAGAGTCGGACACAAGTAAACGACTAAACAACAACGAGGTGCTTGGAGTCTTAAGTCCATATCTAGGGTTGCCAACTTTTTTGCTGCTGGGCTTCTCTCTGTGCCCTTTTTGTGTGCCAAGCAGGAATTCAACAGAGGTTAGGCTTCTCATTGCCCGTGATAGGAAAGGGTGCTAGGTTTCTGCCTGTACATTTAGCTGCTAGAGGCAAGGAAGCTATGCCAGTGAAAGAAGCGGCAATCTAGCTTTCCCAAATGGTAGGGAAAGTGGTTTTTGAGCTCCCTCTCAAGGATATAAAAAGGTGGGGTTCCCCTTAGATGGCCAGCAGAGGGGTGTGGCTTATGCCCCCCAATATTTATTTGTGAGTCTCAAGTCAGTTTACATAAAAACAACAAAAAGTAGCTTAAAAACAGGAGGGAAAAATGACTAAACTAAATATAAGTTTAAGAAACAATACGGAATAAACACTGGAGGCAGAGACATTTTCACCCAGATGGAAAAGCTTGTTTTAAAAAAGCCTTTAAATTGTTTCTGAAAAAGTACAAATAGTAGTTGTCTCTCAACAGAGGTGCTGTTTCAGAATATAGATAGGTCTGTACGTGTACATGCTTTTTGCCACTGATGTTTTAGCTATCTAATTGTGGCCGAAAAACAGCCACGTTGAATACCAGACCTGCTTCGTGTCAAGAGGAATATTTTTTCCACACTGAACTCGACCTTGATTCTGTAATATTTATTAAAAACATTTGTCAGGTGATAAAAGTAAATAACCAGGAATTACTGTCAGGCCTTACCAAAAGTCAGGTGCCTGGCAGTCAGATTCCGGGAGTCGGAGGAACTGGCTATCAGTCTAAGAGGACCAGAAGTGAGTGTGTGGTCCAAAATACCCAAGGTTCAAGATCCAAGGCGGAAGTAAACATGAGGGAGGGAGGATGAAATATAATCTGAGTCGAGAGTGGATTTCATGCTCTTTATTCAGCTCATAGTGGTGAGGAGGAATGGAAGTTCCCCCAGAATGTCTGCCTTATACACCGTACATTATTTACACAATGGGCCCCACATGGTTGGCTAATTCCGGGATTCTCCTGAAGGCCAATGAGGTTGCGGATTCCCTTCCACCTGGAGCTGGATTGGGTGGCTCCTGTGGACCAATCAGACTGCTGCATTCTGGATCCTATTGTTCTAGGACCAATCGGACTGCTGCATTCTGAATCCTATTGTTCTAGGACCAATCAGACTGCTGCCTTTTGGATCCTATTCCACTCAGTACATAACAAAGGTGTCAGAGTAAGAATACTGGGATCTCTAGTTTGATATCTTCCGCATGCATCCATCAGAATTACTTAGTCTAGGACTCTGGTTTAAGTCAATCAGGATGCTCCATATCTAAAACATCTGTAATAATTGTTTACAAAGGAAGATTATATGTTCCCCCTGGACACCTTCTGTTATTGCCAAACTCCTCTAATCTCTAAATTAAGATATATTCCCTAAATCCAAATTGGTTTAATTTACCTCTTGCTTGATTTCCTTTTTATGTTATTTTAATTCATTGAAAACTACCATCTGATGTTTTGTTCTTAAACTCATACCAGATAGCAGGCTACTCCTTGCATATTTTACTATTTCCAACCTTCTAGACCTATTTTTTTTAGCGGAATCCAGAGAAGAGTGTCCTTTTAACTTCACACTCGGTTCTGAGGTCAGTGAAATTGCTGTTTTTCTTAAGCTTTTAACCCCCTGAGCTGATGAGGCATGGGTGTAGCCAGGATTTTTGTAAGCGGGGAGGGACAGCCAAAGTTGTTGAGCTTGGGGGGGGGCAGACTTCGGGGGGGAGAGAATCTCAGTTAATTGAGTACTTTAAATGCTTTTTTCTAATTTTTGTTGATCTTGGGGAGCGGCAACTGCCAGGCTGCCCCCCCTCAGGTATGCCCATGTGACTAGGACTTTTGATTAAAACTTTTTAATGGGGGGGGGCATATTTTATTAACCCACATTGCAGCCAGAGGAATGAGTGTGAATGCTAGAAGTTTTGTCCTGAACTAATACAAATTAGCCATTATTATAAAATAGTTGGGAAGGAACTAGCAATAGACTGAGGCTTGCCTATTCCTAGAAGAGGGAGTGTATTTGGCAGATGCTCAGTCCAGGGTTTCCAGAATCTCAGGGGCCCTTTCAAAAAGAACAAAATGTTCTTAGTTTGTTGTGACAACTGTGTTTTTTTCTTTACAACAGAAAGAACTTCCTTCACTCTCTCCTTGTTGCCTTCACTTTCACCTCCGTCCTTGTAGGGCTAGTTCCCACTTTACTTTTGCTGTACACCTAAAAATGTAGTGTGCATAGGACGCACACATTTGCAATCAAGTGTTAGATACCGTATTTTTTGCTCTATAGGACGCACCAGACCACAAGACGCACCTAATTTTTGGAGGAGGAAAACAAGAAAAAACATATTCTGAATCTCAGAAGCCAGAAGAGCAAGAGGGATCGCTGCGCAGTGAAAGCAGCAATCCCTCTTGCTGTTCTGGCTTCTAGGATAGCTGTGCAGCCTGCATTCGCTCCATAAGATGCACACACATATCCCCTTACTTTTTAGGAGGAAAAAAGTGAGTCTTATGGAGCAAAAAATACGGTACTTAGAATTTGCAGCCTAAGTGAATTAAGTCTAAACAGAAGCAGGTCGTATTGAATTCAATTGGGCTTAGTCCCAGGTAGGGATGCAATTATTTGTTAATTTTGGTTTCTCAGGGGGTTTTTTTGTTTTGTTTTTTTGGCAGTCTTAAATTAAACTTTCCACATTTTGCAGCCGTTTACTTTTTTAAACAAAGAAAAATCCTCATGAAAACCATTTGCATTTTTGTCAGTTTTGAACAGTATACACTTTTTACTTAACATACTCCTTTTTGCAAGCAATTTCCCATAATATAATGCATTTCTTAACTGTTATTTTCACTAATACCTCTATTATACCTGTTTTTTGTAAACATTGCTTTGGGAATTCCAACACAAAATTTGGGCAGGTGTGCATTTTGAAGGATAGCTGTGTTTCAGTTCGCATATTGCTTCAGAAAAAAAGTATACAGTGGTAGCTCGGGTTAGATACGCTTCAGGTTACAGACTCCACTAACCCAGAAATAGTACCTCGGGTTAAGAACTTTGCTTCAGGATGAGAACAGAAATTGCACTGCGGCAGCAGGCGGCCCCATTAGCTAAAGTGGTGCTTCAGGTTAAGAACAGTTTCAGGTTAAGAACGGACATCTGGAACGAATTAAGTACTTAACCCGAGGTACCACTGTAATGGCAATAGGGAAGGAATAGACGACACATGATTGTCATAGCATAAAACAAGATGCCATTTTCTCCTCCAGCTCTATAAAATGAATGCGATGATGATTCGTTGGCTGCTGCTGCTGCTGCTACTCCTGAAACCCTTTTGTTCTCCTGCACCTCGCCTTCTGGTATGTTTATTTTTTTACTTATTAGAATGTTGATATTGCACCTTCCAGGACAAAATCCATTGCAAGGCAGCATCCAGAAAAAGTCGTACAAAACTTGTCGGGTCAACACTTTTAAAATCTACAAAGGAGTGGTAAAACACAGCAGCGAACGAAGATAAGGCCAAAATCAAAGCAAATCCTAAATAAACACTGTGAACTTGCCACTCTTCATGACAACATTTACAGCTGTTGGGTTCATATCTTTTTTTTTTCTGGCTCTGGCTAGTTCACCAGCTACAGCCACTCCTGGACGTGAATAGCCTGGCCACAGTTATCCACACCTGTGTTAACCTCATGACTGCAGTACGGCAGTGCTATCTGTGCAGGGATACCCTTGAAGACAGTGTAGAAGCTGCAGATGGTGTAAAATACAGCTGCCAGGCTTTTAATTTTAAGGCAAGATCGTATATGGCAGATCCTTGGAGAGTGACACTGGCTGCCTGTTTGTTCAAGGTGTTGCTACTGGTATAAACCCAGCACCCTGGACCCTGTGTTCTCCCTATAAGGAGGACAACCCTGAGAAATCCCCACCACCACCACCACCCTGAGAAATATACGGGGAAAACTATAGAACACAACAAGCAGGGGCAGATTTAGGTTTGATGAGGCCCTAAGCTACTGAAGGTAACGGGGCCCTTTTTATGTCCAGCTGTCCTTTGTCAACAACAAATTGTCGCTGTTTTTTGTGTTGAATATATGCCATATGGTAATTTATGGACCTAATAGGTATCTAAAGCCGTTTGCACATGTTGCCATGTAACCAGTCCATGCAGAATGTAGGCACCCTATATATAGAAATGAGCAAACGAATGATATTTTAGGGAGCAGGCTAGCAGGTGGGGCCCATGACTTGCATCATAGGCGCCTACAGAACACAAAACACTGTTCCTGTATGTAGGTTTTATTTGTTTTGTTTTTTATATTTTTGAAATATACATCGCTTTTTCCCCTTTAAATTTTTTGGGGGCCCCCAAGAAAGTGGGGCCCTCAGCTATAACTTGTTTAGCTTATACGTAAATCCGGCACTGACAACAACCAATACCTTCCAACTCACCCTGACTGCAGTTGCATAAAAAGGTAAAGGTAAAGGGACCCCTGACCATTAGGTCCAATCGTGACCGGCTCTGGGGTTGCGGCGCTCATCTCGCTTTATTGGCCAAGGGAGCCGGCGTTCAGCTTCCGGGTCATGTGGCCAGCATGACTAAGCCGCTTCTGGTGAACCAGAGCAGCACACGGAAACGCCATTTACCTTCCCGCCAGAGCGGTACCTATTTATCTACTTGCACTTTGACGTGCTTTCGAACTGCTAGGTTGGCAGCAGCAGGGACCAGTCAACGGGAGCTCACCGTTGCGGGGATTTGAACCGCTGACCTTCTGATCAGCAAGTCCTAGGCTCTGTGGTTTAACCCACAGCGCCACCCGCGTCCTGCAGTTGCATAAAAGGGAATGGCAATTTCCTTCTCACTTTCAGGAAAGGGATGACTGCCTGGTAGAAAACGGCAAACTACAGCAGAAGCTAAAAACACTCCAAGATTTATCCCAGCTATATGCACTGCAACTGAAAGACCTCCTGGGGAACAACTACCACAGACAAAAGAGCAAGGTTTTCTCTGCCATGAGGACCACACAGCTGGACATGCTTTTGCCCTTGACGAGTGGAAGTCTCTTAGTCCATAACCAAGGTAGATAAAATTTGTGGCAAGGTCTGTTCTTCTGAAAGGCTTGCGTGTTTTCTTTAATCTTTGAGATAGACATGCTCTTTATGGCCAGTCCCCTTCTTGCGTTTGCATGTTTTCAGTCCTAAATTTGTTGCCATCCTACCTCTCCATCTTGCATTGCTTTGCTTAGATTGTGCAATGGTATTTAACAGCGGAAAGACGGAGAGTGGATACTACCGAATTAAGCCTAGAGCAGACAGAGAACCTTTCCTTGCCTTCTGTGACATGTCAGACGGAGGAGGGTGGACTGTGATCCAACGGCGCAGAAACGGAAAAGAGAATTTCTACAGGTGCGTCGCTGAGTGCAGTTAACAGCACACGTAATGGTTTCCTTTTTTAATAATTTTTATTAAATTTTCTGTTTTACAATTTAAAATACTCATTTAAACATCCTTAAAATATCAATGACTTCCCTTCTTCTCTTTCCATGGTACATTTTGCATATCATAAATCCCTGCATATTTTACAAAAACTAAACCATTCAGTATTCCATTATTGCATCCATCAAAATTTATTTACACGGTTGAATTTATCTTAAAGCTGCCAACGTTTTCAGGTCACACAGTTGTTTCCCATATATTCCAATCTATGTTCTTCTTGTTCTCTTATTTTATGTTAAGTCTGCAAGCTGGGCGTATTCTGTCAACCTAAATTGCCATTCTTCTTTGGTTGGGACCTCGCTCATTTTCCATTTTGGGGCTAACAAAACACGGGCCACAGTAGTAGCATACATAAATAACATTTTTTTTTACACCTGGGAATTTCAGTCTGAATTATCCCCAACAAAAAGGACTATGTGGTGTTTTTTTGGAAAAGTACTTTTAAACATTTTTTTCAATTTATTGTGGATTATTTCCCAATACTCTTTTACGCTTTTACAAGTCCACCACGTGTGAAAGAACGTTCCATCCACCTCTTTGCATTTCCAGCACTTATCTGTCACGTAACGGTTTCCTTATTGCTGAGAATAGGGGAGACCATGACCTACAAAATTGGATGGTGCGCCATATTAGGTCATACAGGCAGTGTCATACAGTTAGGTCATACAGGAAGTAACAACTTCATGGTGAGTGCCAGCACCTATTTTTCTAGCAAAAAAAGCACTGCATACAGGTATGTGCAAATGTTCTGAGTTGAACCAAAGTCAATTTGTTGCCTCTTAATGCCTTGTAACACTTTGGAAAAGAACATTAGATAGCCAACCTGGAACCCTTCCAGATACAGCTGAATAGCCAACCATGACATGTGTGTCTCTCCTCCTTGCAGAAATTGGGACGATTACAAAGAAGGGTTTGGACAGTTTCAGAGCAAGGGTGATGAGTATTGGCTGGGTAATGATAAAATACATGATCTACTACTTGAAGGTAAGGATCCTCGTTCTGTCTAGATGAATCTTTATGAAGTTAATTTTAACCCTAATAAGCTAACTTCCCCTACCAGCCGTTGAAGAGAGGAAGATCTTCCAATCTCTTCACTGCTTTCTTCCATCTTGATAGAGCCCAAAATATTGCATTTGAGCTAGATGTGATGCTAGAGGTATGTTTAGTGTCTCTTGTTGGCTTTAAAACAAACAAAACAAAAAAGTTTTAGTGCAGCCATGTGGGCTCCAATTTTATTTTGAAGCATGGGATGGGGCAAGAGGGGTTATTAACGCCTTCTCCTTGGACTGTTTTCCTGATTACGGTGCACCCAACACACATACACTGTTTTTCTCTCTGCATATAATTTGGTTACAGTGATTTGACATGCGTATAGTCTGAAGGCACCAATAAACCCTTGCATTTCATTTGCAATACTGTGTGTTGGACCCAAGGGAGTTCATCATGACACTGTTTATGTTGCAGGAGAAAAATCATTGAAAATTGACCTGATGGACTGGAATGGGAAGAGACGATACGCAATTTATGATAATTTCCAGATCAAGAATGAGAGTGTGAGTCACTGGAGCATAAAATACATTTATCATGTGGACAGTAAGCCCGCAACTTATGTGGGGTTTACAATCTAGGGATCAAACCTAAAGCCAAAATTGCATATAGTCAAAACATATTGGGTTCAATGGCTGGTGGGATTGCCAGAGTCTTTTCCCCCCAGTATGCCTGGCCCCTTCCCGCCCCATTTTGAAATTTATTTTATTTGTGAAGTGCGTAGAGCTAAATGCTCACAAGTTAAATGCACGTAAGTTGCTGGCGAGCAGGATAGAGGCTGGGGGAGAATATGCACATTTAAGTTAAAGATCTTGTGGATATAAGAACCAGAAGATTTTAAGACAGCATCACTCAGTTTGGGCTGCAAATCAGGGAGCTTGTACACATATGAAAACTAAAAGCAAGAGTCTTATTTATTAAGTCAACATCTATCATGTCCCCCCCCCATCCATCTATTGCATGTATTTACAAGTCTCCTGTTACCAGTCAACAAACATGATATCCAGCAACCACAATCTGTGCACAACTGGAAAAAAGGAAAATGTCGTGTGTGCAGAGCACGTAACACCCGAAAATTAATCCATTACACCTTGATGTGCATTATATCATGAAGGCATTAACTGTGTAAAAGTTGTGCAGAAAACATCTGCCCATTTTAGAGATTGGAACGTTAACACTTAAGAAATTAGAGGTGTAAAAAGGTTGTTTGTTTAAAAAGAAAAGCTGGAGCGATTATAACGCAGTCGCCTCTTTTTCTCCGAATCCCAGATGGAGGGGACAAACAACAGATAAGTTCTTTGAGACTTTCATGATGAAAAGATGAACAATTCTGCTGACTGGCAGTTTGGGTTAACTGGCTACCTATACCTGACACCTAATAACATTTGTTTCTGCGGCAGAATAATTACCAGATGGGCTTTGGCACCTTTTCTGGGACTGCTGGGGACGCTTTGTCCGGAGGGAGCAACTTTGAGAGCCAGTGGTCTGCGTCGCTCAATGGGATGCCGTTCTCAGCTCCTGACAGGGACAATGACAGGTTCCTAACAGGGAGCTGTGCAGAAGAGAACAAATGTGGCTGGTGGTTTAACAGGTGAGTTGAGGGATGACTTAGCTAGCCCTGAAAACCCAAATGAAGACCTGCCACATCTAAGCAGTTCTTCCTCTCTTGTGCATCTGCTCTGGATCTCCTCGGTCTGTCAGAGTCAGAGATAAATATGTGTATTACTAATTCTGGCAAGCCAGTACTGAGTTATATCAGGTTCAAATCGCCAACTCAGCTATGAAATCATCCCTTTTCAGCCTAACCTACCTCACAGGGTTGTTTGTGAGAGTGTAATAGGTGGGGAAGACCCATGTATACCAACTTGAGCTTCTAGGAGGAAAGGCAATGAATAAATCCACACAAACCTTTACAGATGTCAACATCTTTAGAAAAAATGACTGCTACTTAAAGGGATGCAAGTGTCAACAAATGTTATTCATGTACATGAGAATTATACTTTCATCCAGTGCTTTTCTTCTAAAAAAATGTTTAGGGGCACTCTCATTTTCCTACTTATATTGAAATACTGCCCCTCAACGAGGCCAAACTTAGATTCACAAAAGGTTTAGGGGCGTGCGTACCCCCAGGAAAAAAAGCACTGCTTTCACCCTTCATTAAAACGGTGTATGTGTGAACATGGCATTTGCTTCTCCTCCACTGAGCTGAGCTGACCCTGAGTGGGTTACTTTTCCACCTTGCCCTCACCCAACTTTTTAGACTTTTAAATCACAGAATTGCAGATTTGTAGAGTTCGAAGGGACCATGAGTGCTATCCAGTTCAACTCCCGGCAATGCATGAATCTCATGGGAAATGCAGCATGCTTTAACTAAATATCAATTAATAAACAGATACAGCAATTGCCATCAGTCTGTGACTTCCGCTTTGAACTTTTCACTATTTCCCCTGCCAACTTGAACATAGATGTTTCCCTTAACTGGTAGAATGCCAGTGTTGTATGGCGGTTAAGAGTGTTGGGCTAGGACCAGGGAGGTCAGGATTAAAATCCCCACTCACTCAGCCATGAAGATCATGGGATGACCTTGGACCAGTCACCATCTCTCAAACGTAATTTACCGTATTTTTCGCTCTATAAGACGCACCCGACCATAAGACGCACCTAGTTTTAGAGGAGGAGAACAAGAAAAAAATATTCTCTCCCTCTCTGCTTAGCGCCTCTCCAGCAAAGTGGGAGGAGAAATGGAAGGGGCTCTGTTTCTCCTCCCGCTTCGCTGAAGGGGCGCTGCGCAGAGAGGGAAAGCTGTGCAGCGCCTCTCCAGTGAAGCAAAGCCGGGAGACCAAGAGGGATCGGTGCACACCGATCCCTCTTGCTTTCCTGGCTTCAGCGAAAGCAACGCAAAGCCTCCGGCGCACAGGAGGAGGAGCGCTCAGGCGGCTTTGGGCGGCTATCCCTGAAGCCAGGAGAGCAAGAGGGATGGGTGCGCACGGATCCCTCTTGCTCTCTTGGCTTCAGTGAAAGCTGCGCAGCCTGCATTTGCTCCATAAGACGCACACACACTTCCCCTTACTTTTTAGGAGGGGAAAAGTGCGTCGTATAGAGCGAAAAATACGGTACCTTACAAAGCTGGTGTGAGGACAAAATGGAGATGGGAGACCATGTGTGCTGCTTTCAGATCCTTGGAGGAAAGGAGGCATATACACGCCATGATAAAAAAAAATGGGAAGAGCATTTGGTCAAGAAAATGCAAGCAGAGCCAGCACAAATATAAAAACAAAGCACATTTTATATAGTTCTTACAATGGGAGGAAATTGTGGATTTTACGTAAGAGGACAAGTTGAGTGGGGACTTCTAACATGTCAACGAAGTATTTAAAGTACATCATAAATTTAACTGGGTCTTAGCTTAGAAGAGCAGAAGGTATTATCTTAATTTCAGATTTCCATAATAAAGTCTTGTTAGCTTTATGCATTGGGGCCATTCTCTTGCACTTGATTAACAACCTCTCCTCCCCCCCCTTTCCACTTCCGCAAGATGCCATGCAGCAAATCTCAACGGGCAATATCACAGAAATGGGAAATACTCTGGCCCCTTGGACAACGGAGTGGTTTGGTCAACATGGCGGGGGCTGTGGTATTCCCTGAAACACACATCCATGAAAATCAGACCTACGTCCTTTGTGGATGGAGAGAGTGGAGATGGAGAAGCCGACTAACACGCCCCAACTATGCACCTGAGGAAAAGAAAAATATGACGGATTTGAGGGGTTTATATATACTGTCTTCAGCCTGTCAGCTTATTCACAACAATAACTAGGCAGAGGGCCTTCTCGGTAGTGGCACCTTCCCTGTCGAACACCTTCCCTTCAGATGTCAAAGAAATAAACAACTATCTGACTTTTAGAAGACATCTGAAGGCAGCCCTGTTTAGGGAAAATTTTAATGTTGATGTTTTGTCGTGTTTTTACTATTTTGCTGGGGGCTGTCCAGAGTGGCTGGGGAAACCCAGCCAGATGGGTGGGATATAAATAATAAAATTATTGTTGTTGTTATAACAAGTGACAGGAGCTGGAACTGGGCCACATCTGCTGTTCTTCCAGCAAATAAGCCATGCTCGAAGGTGTGGTTTTCATGTTACATTTCCCCATGTTTAGAAATAAATACAGACTGAGGTGGATTGCTGAGAGCTGGGAGGTATGGGTCAATCTGGCCTAGGAAGGAAGGCTTCACTCCAGGAAAAAGGAGCCCTCTCACCTTGTTTTGAAAAGACTGGCAAGCAGGTGAGATGTCTAGGTAGGGAGCCTGTTAGGGAAAACAACTGGATTCTGCAAGCCCTTTCTTTTACTTTCCATATTCATGTTTTTTCCTCTGTAACTCAAAACATTTGCAATATTCTGATTTACTGCAAAGAATGAACCATTTTGTGATACAAAACAGAAAAGGGGTAGGGGGATAAAAGTTCAAACTTGCAAGAATGTAAGTTAATTTTTTGTTCACTGTATAAAGCCCACCAGAACATTTCCAGTGTATGGGAGAAGCTGCAGTTTTGTTATAATGGTAAAACCTTGTTCTTGTGTTGGCAGTAACTAGGCATAGCCTAGCCTGCTATCCTTCTCTGGTTATAGGATGCACATCCTGTTCATCTATATTGTATTTGAGCCCACCTCTTAATTTGCCTTTTGTCTCCGATTTATTTCTCAAGGCGAAGGGAGGGGAGTGGTGAGCCTTGACTGAGCCTAATAAAGCAGAAGACTTGCTATACTCCACATTTTCACATATACTTCTTTTTTTAAAATTGAGTAAATGAAAACGTGCTTTTACAATTCTAATAAAAGCCTATGAGGCCACTGAGGGCTGAGTATAGTCTTGGGGCTAGCTGTCTCAGGCTTCTGCTAAAATGCAAAGACACAGCGAAAACAATTCCCAGTAAATGTGAAAGTGATTAACTGCTTTGCAGAAATTTTTGGATGAAATGAAGGCGGAAAGATGTCACTGTAACAAAAGACAGCCTGTCACATACAATGCAACAAAAATAAAACGCTGCTTTATTTCCATCCTTGTCTAAAATTTGTATTAAAGCGTTAAAACCTTTTTGCTTCCGTGTATATTGTTAGGGCTCTCAGAAGGGAAAAACTTGTAAGACAATCAGTCATTACGACACAAGATGCGAAAGCAAGCCCAAAATTGTAAACCGGGTAGAACTGATGGAGCGGTAGCTTCTTTGGGTATGGAAATGATTCACCTCCTGAGAACCATGTTTTTAAAGGCCATTATTCCCTGAAGCAGAAGATCACTTTGTTATTAGTCATGGAAATTATGACAGGCACCTGCAAGATCTGAAAGCCTATCAGACAGGTATAGCTGCCATGATGTAGTGCAGGGGTCAGCAAACTTTTTCAGCAGGGGGCCGGTCCACTGTCCCTCAGACCTTGTGGGGGGGCCAGACTATATTTTTGGGGGGGGGGAATGAACAAATTCCTATGCCCCACAAATAACCCAGAGATGCATTTTAAATAAAAGCACACATTCTACTCATGTAAAAACACCAGGAATGCCCCACAAATAACCCAGAGATGCATTTTACATAAAAGGACACATTCTACTCATGTAAAAACACGCTGATTCCTGACCATCCGCGGGCCGGATTTAGAAGGCGAATGGGCTGGATCTGGCCCCCAGGCCTTAGTTTGCCTACCCATGATATAGTGGTTTATGTGGACCAGATCTCGCTAACCTCATGCCCTCCAGAAGTTTTGTAGTAATGGGAACTTAGGTAGGATGAGGGGTGATCTAGGCAATGATAAACTAGATGAACCTATGGACTGACTGGCAGCTTCCTAAAGAGAGTCAAGTCTCATCTGATGGGCTTCAGAATACTATGATGCAGGGATGTCACCTTGCCAATGCCATGCATAGACCCTTCTGTGATGATTAACATATGAGAGAGTGCTGGAGATGAAATACTTAAACAGGTTGCCCAGTCAGGACCCGGGGGGTGGAGTCAATGGGACTATAAAACCAGTTCTGGAAGGAGTTTGTTGGGAGTTGTTGGTGGGTAGCTGGTTGGTTTAGTGGGTAGGCTGGTGGGGAAAGGCAGTTGGAGAAGCAGTTGGTAATAGAGAGACAGTTAGGGCAGTTGGTTCTTGAGTGTGGGGAGGTCGAAGAGACAGAGAGAGGAAAATAAGACTAAGAAAGTAAAGAGCAACAACGTTGGGAATGCCGTTAAAGTTTGTTTGTGTCTGAAATAAAATACACTCTTCTTTATTAATTGAAAAGCTGACTGAGACTGAAGTGATTTTACCAGGGAGGACCTGGTTGGTGGCAGCGGATTAGTGGTGTACAGGTCAATAGTCCGTGCGACAACCGTACGAACGCCACACCTTCCCAGTCAACTAACAAGGTCTGTGGACAAATGAGAGGATGGATTCACAAGACGGTAGCTGCTACAATCATGAAGGAGGGGCTGGGTCAACTACTATTGGCAGCACAATTATTCTAGAAAAAGAGGTGCCGGAACTCACCATGAACACCTCCCTCGTTCTCTTAGAATGGCAATGGCACCCACCTGACAGGTGCCGGAACTGAGTTCTGGCAAGTTCCGGCTGGAAAAAAGCCCTGACTACTGGTATTCTCACAAGTCAGTCCTGTGAACAGCTGTGTCAGGGAAAAGCAGCATGGAGAATCAGATCCTAAGTTTTGTTTTTGAGAAGGCTCTGAGGTACTTTGAACATGGAAGTCGAACTATGACTGAGTCACGGAGGTTTGCAGTGCAGAATAATTTAGTGGAAGCTTATTTATATATGTGAAGGCATCATTTCCTGCTTGCTGCTCTGAAGTGGTTGAGGAAGCAGGGGGAGAAATGCGAAACGAAGCAACAGCTGGGCCTCATCCCCCCACTATGAGATGGAATTTGACCAGTGGTGCTTTTAGAAAGCCCATTTGTTTTATTTTTGGCCACCATTCATATCAGCCCACAGGTTCTGTCTTGCTACAAAATGGCGGCAAGGCACTCAGAGCACCAAATGGTCAATGCTTAAGGTATTTATTCCACCACCTTCATCGGACGCAAAATACCCAGGCAGGTCAGTCATTTGCTGTTCCAATTCAGCCAGGCCAAAGGAAGTGTTGTCATAGAAGTGGTATTCAGGGTCAGATGGGAAGCTCTGGCACTTACTCCTTCTGTACTGCGTAGGACTCAGAGTACCTCCTCTTTGGTGCATATCTTTGAGAGCCACCACAGCATATTCGTTCTTCCAAGCATCCACACGGCCCAGGGAAGGCCCTCTTACGTTTCTCTTCTGCTCTGATCTATCAACGCACAGTTCCTGGGCCACTGGTTGGCGTCTGGTGACCAAGTCTATTTTCTTCCCTGGGGGCTCCCATTTATGGGGGTTGTGTGTTCCATAGGCCATTGATTCAGTGGTTAAAGGAGTACTATAATACAGCTCAAACTCTTCAATGCTCTCACTGGTGCTTTTAGATTTAGGCCGGTGCTCTCCTTCCGGGACACGACTCCACGTTCTGGCTCTGCCATGGTAGAGGTGGGTCTGGCACGGTGTCAGGGTGGACATGCTTCTCTTCCGGAACGGCTTGGCTTTTCTGGTTTCGTGAAAGCTGGCTGTTCTTCTGAACTGCGAACTTCTTGGACAAACTCTCTCTGATGGCTCTCCTTTATTCTCGAGGTATCTAGGGTGAGCTCTTCTAATGAGGGACTGACAAGGGCTCAAGGTAAGAGTGGCCTGAGGCAGCGTAAAATCCGCCCTAGAACAGTGCCTGTCTCCTAAGGATATGGGGTGGCCAGGGGGCTGCTCCAGAAAAGGAGACTTGATTCTGAATTTGCTTCCAGCTGCTGCCTCCTGGTTCTCTGTGCTCACAGAGCTGTTGAGCACCGTGTCTGTCAAAGGGTTCTGAGAAACGCGATAGACCTTGGTTGTTTCGGTGAGACCTCTCTTCTTCATTTCCTTCAGCTGCTGTTGTGCAAGGCGGTAGCTGAAAATGGGGGGGATTATTTTCTGAGCTGTGGACTCAAAGCTTTCGCTAGCAGAAGCTCCTCCCCCTCCTCCTTCCGAAGCAAAATAAAGACTTCTCCTGGCGCTCAAGGGCATATCTGGAGGTTCACCAGAAAGCGAACAAGCAGCTTCTCCCTCAGAAAAACTCTCTCGCTGCTGTCTCTCATCTTGGCAGATGTTCTCCTCGTCGGAGTTCTTCCGGAAGCTGGGCGAGTGGGTGGGGTCGCAGCGCACAGGGGTGTTGCACTTCTGGGTCCTGCAAACCTTCCTCCATAGGGCGATCAGGACAGTAGCAAAGATGATGGATAAACACAAAGATATGCCAGTGACGGTTACTAGATTATTACTGGCTTTCTGGCTGTCTTCAGAAGGGTACAGTGGTGTGATGGGTACAGGTTTAGTGGCTGAAATGAAAAAGGTAACTTGCTGAACAGATGTCAATTTACAAGGTATTTCCCCAAATACAAAACCCATGAAACAAAGGGCAAGAAACTGTTCTCCATCATTGCCTAGAGTCAGTCAGGGTCTCTAATGGAAAAGACTGCCACTTCTAGAGCAGCAAATTGCAGGAGGGCAGGCCAGGGCTCCTGTAAATGCTACATATAGATCCAATATTCTTATCACAAATGCCTTGATATTGGATCTATATGATCCGATACTCATACTTTCATTGGCTGAGATGTTGCCTATCATCTTGGTTGCTGCAGCTTGAGTTCATGTCTAGCCTTGATACCTTCCTCCCTTACTACTGCTTGGATTCAGCTCTGCCCAAACTCTGCTCAAACCCAACATCTCCCAGCCTACTTTATTCATTTATTTGTTCACTCAGTTTGTTAACTGCCCTTGTTAACTGGTTAGTATCCAGGGCAGCGTACAAAAATGAATTTCAATGCAGAAGTTCAACAAAAGCACTTCAGACCTTAATCAATACTTTAAACAGCAACCTGGCCATCACCTTAATGCAACCCAAAAAACAGAACTACACACATGAAGCAGTCCCAGAAGATAAAGATTTACTGCTATATTGCTGAACAGATAGCAATGCTCATCACATTCCTAGGAAAAAGGTTCCTTGAACCTTCATGTTCTGTCTTTTGATCTGAGGAAGCCGCTGGACACAGTCCTTAAGAGTTTGGGGTAGAGGTAGCTTTAGGGTGGTGTGACCAGGGCAGTCGTGCTGGGTGCCCCATTGAAGGGAGCACCAAAACAATGCTTCAGAATAGCGTGCGAGAGGTGCGGGGGATGAATTTTAGTGTTGCACAAGGCGCCTCTGAAATTTGAGAGCCAAGAGTCTGCCAGGCTTTGGAGGCAAGGCACCATCAGGATACTGATGGCACTCCGCTCTATTTCTCCATAACATCTGAATCAAGTGTGTGTGTGCAGTCCTTAGCCTGGTTCCTGGATACAATGGTGGGATGGAGCCTGAATTCTGGCAAGACAGAAGTGCTGTGGGTGAGTGGTTCCTGTTTTCAGGAAATGGGTCAACTGCCTGCTCTGGATGGGGTTGCCCTTTGCCCAAATCACTGGAGGCCCAGGTAGCCTCAATGAGTAAAGGTAAAGCTAAAGGGACCCCTGACCATTAGGTCCAGTCGCGGACGACTCAGGGGTTGTGGCACTCATCTCGCTTTATTGGCCGAGGGAGCCGGCGTACAGCTTCCGGGTCATGTGGCCAGCATGGCTAAGCCGCTTCTGGCGAACCAGAGCAGCGCACAGAAACGCCGTTTACCTTCCCGCCGGAACAATACCTATTTATCTACTTGCATGTCATGCTTTCGAACTGCTAGGTGGGCAGGAGAGCCTCAATGGGTACAGACACCTTTTACTAGCTGCACCCAGTATGGCAGTGTGGCGTTTGCCCTCCTAGGTGTGTGACATCGTACTGGGTTTATAAGGAAAGGGTTACCTAATTGTAAAATGACTAACCAATAGGAACCCAAGGGGCGGAGTTAATTGTGTATAAGGTTTAAGCACAGAGGGTTTTTGGAGGAGTAGGGAGTTAGGGTGGTTGAGAAGACGGTCTGGAGTTAGAAGAGACAGAGAGGATAAGTCTGTGGGTTGGGCTAGTCTGATGTGAGAGAGGGAGAGAATTTGTTAAGAGGAGTCAGTCAAACAGTTGAGATAATCAGTCAGAAGGTATTAGGAAGGTATAGGCCCGTTAAAGAAACCAAAGTTAAGATACTGCAGGAATATTATCTGAGAAACCATAAACTTGTTAAGGCTTATAAAATAAACTTGTTTATATGGTTCACTTTTAACAACTGTCTGGACTCAGTGTTTTACCCGACAGTAACGGGTTGGTGGCAGCGGGGAAGCGAGCACAGTGGTGGCACAGGGATCAATAGACCGTTAAACGTCCGGGGACCCTGTGTGATCCCCACAGGCAGTTACAGCCCTTTCTGGACATGGAAAACTTAACCACAGTAGTTCAGGCATCGGCATTCTGCAGATGTGTATGTCATTCTTACATGACACCTTCACGTTGCGTGTCTGCCTATAAAACGTTTTAGCTCTACCCTTGGGTCTTCTTCCTTCACTTCTGCCTGTCCTGAGGTTTCACAAAGACAATCGTCCCCACACAAAACACACTGGGATGGACATAGCTTGTATTCACTGCCACGAAGAGGTGAGGAGAATAATAATATTATTGCCGTCTTATTTATTGCTATCCTGCCCTTTCCCCAGACTCACTGTGAGTGAGAATGCAATCTCAACATAAAGACTACGTACTGGAGCACTCCTCCAAGGAGCAGAGAGACGTTTCTTGCTGTCTCCCAGCGCAGCCTTGCTTTATAGGGAACGGGAAAGATGCGAGACATTCTCGATAGCGCTGTCGGGTGCCGTCCCCACAAGTCACACTACAGGGGCTCCAGGCCTGCCAAAGTCCCCAGGATCCTGTGAATACACAAACTCTGCATTACTGGAGGGATACCTTCCATTAGAGAGACAGAAAATTGCTAGCCTTGAAAACGGGTACATTCAAATCTGACCCTCAGCCTTCTCTTAGTAGGCTGATCCAGTTACGAGATATTAGTAGGCAAATCCAGCCTTTCAATCTCTTGCTGGGAGGAAGTTGTCCTGTATGCAAACAGGACTGTAAAATGGGTGCTGGATACAGAAGGAAGCAGGGAAAGCAAAGGACCTCGGTGATTCGCCACGATGCAGATAGCAGCCTTACACCAGGGATGGAGAACCTGCGGCTTTTCAGATGTTGTTGGACTACAACACCCATCATGCCTGCCCAATTTGCCATGCTTGCAGGGGCTGATGGAAGTCGTAGTTTAACAACATCTGAAAGGCCATGCAGGTCCTTCATTGCCACTGTACCCAAACTAACTATGGGTGGTCACCTGAAGGGCAACACTTTCCAGGCTGAGCGGCCTTTTCTGAAAGTGTCTCTTTGCGGTGAGCTGATCATTCCACCTATCAAATATCACAGGCCTGGTTGCCAGGGGTAACAGCAATGCCTCTTCCGACATCTACCCTACGCACAGTGTGGAAGACAGATGCGGTCAGCCATGTACTGGCAAGTTCCTAACTTTCATAAGCAAATGAGACCAAAACACAATAAACAGAACTATTATTGAACACAATACCTCTCAGAAAGTAGAGTGCTCATGACGCACCAGGCACTCTGAGCAACAAACATATTGTGGCCCAACCCTCTGGAGAAGTAAGTTTTTGCCTTCGACCCCAGCTGCAGACGGTTTTCAGTTTCCAGCGTGTGTCGCAATAGTCCTGGCTTGAAGATGTGAGGGCGTGACTGACACTGGGAACATCTAAATTGGATAGAAGTCTCCACCTTGTGGGGAAACGAAGCATTCCGGTTGCAATTTGCCTTTCGGTCCAAGGACTAGTTTAGTTCTTCACTTACTGATTACAGCATCAAGTGACAACATCTAAGTAGCAGCAGAGCAGTGACCTGGAAGCTGGCCACTGTTCGGTCTGTATTATGGGATGCCCTTCTGAACTCTGCCATACATAAAGCTGCAAACATCAGTTGCTTCGGACGTCTTGTCCGAGCACATCTCACTTTTTGCTTTCAGCCATTTCTTGTTGACTTTTTTTTTTTACGCCCATAGGCCTATGCAGTTGTCTAAAATGTCCCTGAATTAGCCAGTCATTTTAATGATTGATATGCATTGCTTTTAAATGTTTTTTATGCTGTTGTACACTGCCCTGGAGTTTTGCAAGAGGATAGACTATAAACACTTGTAACACATAACATCAGACCCTTTTCATTTGTCTGGATTCTGGTTTCTATATGCCCTTGTACTACTCCTTTACAGGTTTTGCGCTGCTTTTTTTTTTTAATTCCCTTGTTTATGTTTTTCATGCAGATTTCAGAAATATTAAGTGGTATATAAACGCTTTAAAATAAATGAACAAATACATACATACATACATACATACATACAGGTGGGCCATAGCTCAGTCCTGAGCCTAAGTTTTGTGTGTATTCCAGGTTCAATCCTTGGCATTTCATGTTAGCAACAAAATACCAAGCAGCAGAGTGATCTCTTCCTGAGATCTTGGTAAGTCACTGCCAGTCAGAACAGACTGGATGCAAGGCAGATCTCTAATAACTGCGCAAGGATTACTGCTAGTACAATGGGATCTTCCCTGTCCCCCTCTGCATGTGCACCAAAGCTATTCCCAAATCTGAGCTGGAAGGTTGGGAGATATCAGGGGGAGAATGTTTTGTTGCACAAGAGAGATCCTTGCGCTTATGGAACAAGCAACTTAGATCACAGTTGAATACAACCCTTGGTTCCTAAATTACATAAGCAAATGAGACCACAACACCACAGGTAGAAACTATTATCATCCAATGTCAACTCAAACACAGTACTTCTCAGGTAGGGAAATTCACTCATTAAGCTTGCACACATCAAGTGTTAAGAAATTTCGAGTATGTACGTGTGGGAACGAGACCCAAAGTCAGATGGTGTCTCATCACTAGGTCAAAAGAGCTGCAGGTCAACACTGCTTCAGCCTCATCTGGACTGAGTTTCATTTGGCCCATGTGCCACATTAGCACCGTGCTAAGATGCTACATAAGGGACACAGGTGGTGCTGTGGGTTAAACCACAGAGCCTAGGACTTGCTGATCAGAAGGTCGGCGGTTCGAATTCCCGCAACGGGGTAAGCTCCCGTTGCTCGGTCCCTGCTCCTGCCAACCTAGCAGTTCGAAAGCATGTCAAAGTGCAAGTAGATAAATAGGTACCACTCCGGCGGGAAGGTAAACGGCATTTCCGTGTGCTGCTCTGGTTCGCCAGAAGCGGCTTAGTCATGCTGGCCACATGACCCGGAAGCTGTACACCGGCTCCCTCGGCCAATAAAGCGAGATGAGCGCCGCAACCCCAGAGTCGGCTACGATAGGACCTAATGGTCAGGGGTCCCTTTACCTTTAAGATGCTACATAATAAAGATGCAGAGGAGAAAAATATGGAGGTCACAGCTGCGTTGAGGTCACCTGCACATCTGCAAATGACTCCACCCAGACAAGATGGAACCTCTGAATCAGGGATGGGGAATCTGTGGTGCTCCAGTTGTTGTTGTCCTCCAACATCCCAGGCAGCGTGGTCAATTGTCAGGTATGGTGGGCATTGTGGTCCAACAACATCTGGAGGGCCACTGGTAACCCCACACAGACCACACAGCCTAAAAGAACCACAGCCACCAGGCTCCATTCTCTGGGACCGATGGGTGCAAGCCGAACTGATGGGTGTAGACTCATAAACACACCTGTTGTGTTCCTCAGTAACACAGAGTCCTTCTTAGTTATGCAACTGAAAGGTCTGAGATGCTGGCCAGTGAAAAGCCTGTTTAGGGAAGCTTTTAATGTTTGATGCATTACTGTATTTTAATATTTTGTTGGAAGCTGCCCAGAGTGGTTGGGGAAGCCCAGCCAGATGGGCTGGGTATAAATAATAAATTGTTGTTGTTGTTGTTTCCCCCCTTCCCCGCTCAAGAAAGCTGTACCTACAGCTTCTTCTTCCTGCTCAACTCATGGCCCCATCGCCCACCAGAACATTCATTTTCCTAAGCAGCAAATGAGAGCCGAAGGCAGGTGGCTGATGGGACCAAAGAGAAAACAGGTGTGGAAAAGGTGACCTCGCTTTAACAGGAGAAAATAAACAGGTGGATCTTTTTCTGACATGGAGATTAAAAATGGGGGGGGCAATTGAGGAACCTGTGAAGCTCCAGATGTTTTTGGATTCCAACCCTCGCCAGCCTCAGACAGCATGGTCGGGGGGCAGGGTGGGGGGAAGGGAATGGGAACTGAAGTCCCAACATCTGGGAGGACCACACATTCCTCATCCCTGTTTTAACAAGGAATTGTAGAATTGGAAGGGACCACAAGAGTCATCTAGTCCAACTCCCTGCAATGCAAGGAATCTGCATGCCACGCTGCTAAGAAGCACAGGGAAAAGATGAATATGAAAAGATGGCACTCCTAGACTGCACCCACTGCTAATGAATTAGGTGGATTCTCCCGGTGGTGACGTGTCCTGTGCCTGAAGCTTCAAGGGATCTTGCCGTGCCCTTTTCAAAAGGAAGAGAAGCTAGGGATTAGGCAACAGGCAGCTACATAATCAGCGTCAGGAATGGTTTCTGGAGCAATTGTGCCAGCAGACTGCCCTGCCCTTCTGAAAGGAGGCTTGAACAAGCCTGCAGCAAGCCACACCTTTCCCAGCTAACACTCCATCAGCTGGTTGGAACTGACATTTCCCTCAAAGTGCAACCTCTGAATTGATAGCAACTGAAGCACAGAAACATGGTAAAGCAGTGCCCCCCACAGCCTGCGTTCGGGCTCTGTAGTCAATCTTATAGGGACGCGGGTGGCACCGTGGGTTAAACCACAGAGCCTAGGACTTGCCGATCAGAAGGTCGGCGGTTCGAATCCCCGTGACGGGGTGAGCTGCCGTTGCTCGGTCCCTGCTCCTGCCAACCTAGCAGTTCAAAAGCACGTCCAAGTGCAATTAGATAAATAGGTACCACTCCGGCGGGAAGGTAAACGGCATTTCCGTGCGCTGCTCTGGTTTGCCAGAAGCGGCTTAGTTATGCTGGCCACATGACCCGGAAGCTGTATGCCGGCTCCCTTGGCCAGTAAAGCAAGATGAGCGCCGCAACCCCAGAGTCAGTCACGACTGGACCTAATGGTCAGGGGTCCCTTTACCTTTACAAGTGGAATAAGAGCACAGGCAATTCCCTTAGGCAAATGTGATCAAGCATCTTCACAGCTGCCCCCTTATTACCAATCGCCTGGGTTACACATTATTAGATGCAAAGAGCCTTGGTGTTCATTTCCTCCCAAGAACTCTGCAGGGCGAGCTAAGCTGACAACCAGATGTGCTTCAGACTTTACACTGCAAGTGCCCTACTCGCGGTTTGCTGCTATAAATTGTAAAGGGGATGTGCATGTCTCCAAACACACTATGAGCACACACCAAGCAGTCTTCTGACATAGGAACAGAGGAAGCTGCTGTACACAGAGTCAGGCCACTGGTCCGTAGAGCTCAATATTGTTCACACCGTCCGGCAGCAGCTCTAAGAAGGTAATCACAGAATCACAGAGTTGGAATCATCTAGTCCAACCCCCTGCAGTGCAAGAATATCCAGCTGTCCCTTAACGGGAATCGAACCTGCAACCTTGGCGTTATCAGCGCCTGAGCTATGGAGTCTTTCGCAGCTCTACCCTGGAGATGCCAGAGATTGAACCTGGGACCTTCTGCATGTGACCAGCGATGCTCTACCACTAAGTTACACCTTTCCCCCAAGCCCTTTTCTCTAAGGTTTGGGGACTGCCTTTCTGAGCTGATGCTCACAGTGTCTTGCCCGAGGCTATCTAGAATCCCTTTTGGCAAAGCAGGGAGAGGGCCTTCTTGGTTGTGGCGCCCTCCCATTGGAACACGGCCCTCCATCAGGTGTCAAGGAAACAAACAACTATCTGACTTTTAGAAGACATCTGAAGGCAGCGCAGTTTAGGGAAGTTTTTAAGGATTTATGTTTTTAGATATGTTGTAAGCCGCTCAGAGTGCCAGGGAAACCCAGCCAGATGGGCGGGGTATAAATAATAAAATTCTTATTCTTATTCTTATCAGAATGAGACATGGCATTTTAGAAAATGAGCAAAAAGTTGAGATTAAACCAGTGGCCCAACCCCTCTCCACTACAAGAGGGGTTTCCCATAAGGTATTACAAACCTCTTCACTGTCATCGCCTCCCATCCTTGTCACCTGCCCGCCTTTGTCTGGACTCCCTGCTGCTCGCCTAGTTAAGGGGCAGTGAAAGGGCTTTATCATCGTGTTTTATGGGGGTCCTATCCTGTGCTCACAGCTCTGCATTGGGGGTGGGTCACGCTGCAAATGCAATCATATTCCAGGCTCTACGATGCACAGATGCACGGCATGCAATCACAAAGACATCTCATAATCCTTTGGGTTTTCAAATGGAGGCTTTCTCAAAAGGTAATACAGACCAACATTCCTTTGGATTAGCGCACATTCCCTCGCTCTCGGTGGGGCATTGTCTCTGGGCAAAAGGCTAAATTCAAAGCAGTATTTGTTTGCGCCCTCGTCGAACAATGTGCAGTTGAATTCTATCTGGCCGTCCTTTGGATTCATGACACTCTCCTGCAGCCTTAACGCCCTCTGACCAGAAGGCCCAAGGTCTTTGAACACAGCAACGTTCCCACCAGCAGAAGTGCAGGGAGGAGGAATGACAGAAACCACAACCGAAGACTCACATGTCACTTCTCCTGCCACGACCAGCTTGTACCCAAATCTGCGCACGAGATCAATAGGCCCTTCTGAAGCAATGACTGACTTGGTCTCTGCCGATTTCAGGAATAGAGTCATGTAGGCTTCTTGGCCAACCAAGCGACAGTCAAGCGTTACCCACTGGGACCTGGCGAGAGAAAGCTCTTTGCTAGTTCTCAGTCCCACAGTCTCATTCGAGATCTGTTTTCCTAGTTCATAGAAGCGGCTGGTCAGTATAACATCCAGAGAAACCACCGTCTTATTCACCGGACACAAATATTCGTCGGTAAACAGCCTGAGCTGAAGGGAAGACTCAACCGCTTCAGAAGTCCTCCTCAAATCAAAGTGGAATACAGGCCAGACGACACTCAGTGGGGTCTTCTCTCCATTCCACTGGTTCTCCATTCTGAACCAGTAGTTCCCGGCACTCTTAAAATGGAAGCACTCAAAGACAACAATAACTTGGTCCTGGTTTTGCAGGAGCTGTTTTCTGGTGACAGTTTGATTGGTGCTGGCATCTATGAGCAGGATGGAACCATTTTTCAATGTCACATTGCTGTCATAATAATTCTGGAAGCTAACCGACACAGTGCCATTGCTCAAGGCTACGTGAGTTGCTTGCTCCAAGAGGAGATACTCCACTGCTCCAAGAACTGAAAAGAAGGTATTTGACAAGGTCAATAGTTGAATAGAAAGAATCAACGCAAGGAGAAGGGGAGGAGATAGGGAGATTTAAGAGGTGTTTTTTTTTGAGGTGTGTAACCTTCACACTCTGCACTAACAAGCAGCTCCCAAAAACATTCTCAGTTTCAACCTCCTGGTGGTCAGTTACTCAGCAACAGGCAGATGCAGCTGGTTATAAGGGGCTTTAGAAGCCTAAATTTGCCCAATTCATTACATGCATGGCTCCAAGTTACTACCAAATCCACAGCAGAGATGACTCTGCACCCATAATGCTGTAAGTTGACAGCTATGCATTTGGAAAGCTGGAAAGGCCTGAGGAACCTGGAGCATCTCCACTGTAATAAAGGACCCTGAAGTCTGTGGGTGATGAGCTCACCTGTCTACTTCCTTCCGAACTATTTAACCAACGGGGCAGGAAGAGAAGAATGCTTGGTGAGCAATTTCCCCACCCGCCACCGCCTTTGAGCTCTACAAGCCATTGCCATTTCTGCCTTCACCTTGACCCACTAATGCTTCATTTACATTGCATATTAGTTAAGATAAAAATGAAAGGGGAGGTGGCGTCTGAAGCAGAATTCTAGAAAATACCACCCAAGTTGAAAAAACGGAATAATATGCTGCAGCACTCTTTTTGAAGGCTTCTTTTGTGACAGAGCTTATGAATATTTCATTTAGCCTTCGCATCACAGAGAAAAAGAGAAGGGATTTAGACGCGAAAATTAAAACCGACAAAAGCCAGAAGCGAAGGATTCGGCCTCCCACAAGGCAGGACCCTCTATTATCTATTCCCTGTGGTGTCTCACAGAGATCTATCCTGTCCTCTGGCCTGTTCAAAATGTATAGGAGTCCAATAGGTGAAATCTGAGCTTTTGCAGCTGGCTTGATTCTGGCGGGGTGTGTATGTCCAGATACAAATATTCCTTTGCTGGGGGGGCAGAGCAGGGAATTGATGCTGATTTACACATCAGCACCGTATCTGGCTATTTGCCTGATATCACATGCTCATATAGCAAATGTGAAAGCAGGAACTGGGATCTGCAACAAACTTTTGATTGATCGCTGAGGGTTGAGTTGCTTCGAATACCTGTTTTGTTAATTTGCAGTGTGGACCAAAGCTGCTTCTGGGGACCCTCCAGGCTTACGGGCCCTGGAACTTAAACTGCATTAGTTTCGTAGTAGTTCCACCCCTGCTGGTGGGTGTCACCAGGGTCACCTCTGAGTCTTCCCTGCTGTGGCAGCGATGAGAAGATGCCAACGAATTCCAGTAAGCTTCCTGAATGAAGCCTGGGGACCTCACCTGCCCATCGTGGCGAATTCTAGGAAGATTGGGGCAGAGGGCTAATTCTTGAACGATAAGCATCCTACTGCAGCAGACCCATCAACTCTAGGGACCGTGGTGTTACCTGAACACCCAAGAGCTAATTTTCATGATGAGATAATGGCTGGGCCCCAGAAGGACAAAGCCCCACCCCCAAAAAGCCAGCATCCAACTGCACGGCAGCCATTTCTAAGAAGATATTTCAATTGCTGGGAGCTAAACAAATGTGTAGGGACACAGGTGGCGCTGTGGGTTAAACCACAGAGCCTAGGACTTGCCAATCAGAAGGTCGGCGGTTCGAATTCCTGTGACGGGGTGAGCTCCCATTGCTCCATCCCTGCTCCTGCCAACCTAGCAGTTCGAAAGCACTTCAAAGTGCAAGTAGATAAATAGGTACTGCTCTGGCGGGAAGGGAAACGGCGTTTCCGTGCGCTGCTCTGGTTCGCCAGAAGCGGCTTAGTCATGCTGGCCACATGACCCGGAAGCTGTACGCCGGCTCCCTCGGCCAAAAAAGCAAGATGAGCACCGCAACCCCAGAGTCAGTCACGACTGGACCTAAGGTGTCCCTTTACCTTTACCTTTAAACAAATGTGTAACTAATAATGAGTGCCAGAGTTTGGGTCCCGCCCCCCAATCCTTTCTCCCCTTTAGTGTCATGCCTTTCAGAATGTAAGCCTGAGGAGTGGGGCAGTTATTACTGATATCCGCAAGCTGCTCTGGGAGCCTTTTCCAGCTGAAGAGTGCATCAAAAATGCTATAAATAAGCATCAGTACATTATTTCCAGCCACGTAATGTGTATTTCTCAGCAATACCTCTTAATGCCGTCTCTGGTGTACTCTATTTTGGGTACATTTTTTAAAAACTGCGCAAAACAAAATTAGAGGGGGAAAGGTTGAAGGAGCTATTGTCTGGAAATGCTTAGCTTGGAGAAAAGGAAGGTCGTGTGAGAATCTTCAGTCACTGAAAAGAAAAGGAACAGCTTCTACTATGAAGGGGGCGGGAAGAAGGGAAGGTGTGTTAGAACTTGGAAGAAAAGATAGTGACTGATGTCAGCTGATGGACGAGGTTTGGGGGAATTGGTCCTTAGACTAGAGATTTTCCACCCGTGAAATAAAGCGTTGGCTGGAGCAAGAGCTGACTTTCCAGCAATACTGCTAGAGAAAAACACAGCTATAGTCCTTTCCATTTTTTTCTAAGAAACTTTAGAAGGCTGTGCATAGTATTCTTTACAGGGGCAAACAGATACGTGATTATAACACTTTATTTCCATTTCTTTCTTTCTTCTTCTTTTCACATCAAGCCACCCATTTATAAGAGATTCCAAAATAACCATAGTCAATTGTCTCCAATGGCTTGCACCGAATACTTACCATAATCACAGAGCACGACTAGCAGTAGATTTGAAAAATCTTTCAACATCTGTTTCATTCTGATCAGAAGGGCTCCCTGTTCCTTTTATTCCTCATGTCCTGTTCCAGGTCCAATGTCTGTTCTGTCTTTGCAACTACAGTAAAAAAACAAAAACCCAGAGGATTTTTCTGACCAGCCTTTTAAGATTTGCCTCAAAGAGCAACACTCTGAAATTTATTTTGACAAATGCTTTTTCTTCTGCTCATTGGATACACGCAACAGCTATTTCACCATGCTCTTGACTTCACCGAGTTACAATAATAGATGGTATCTCAAGTTTAAGTACTTGGATTATAAATGCGCGCTAAAGTGGATATACACACAGAGTTGCCGCTTTTAGCAGCCTAGAATAACTTCACACAAACAGGCAATCAGGAAGAGAGACTCTTGTCACATAGAAGCCGGACTTTTCTTTGCTCCGATCTGTGGAAGCACAGAGAAGTAACTCTAACGTTTTAGCAGCTGAGAAACCAATTTAAATCGGTTGTGTGAGGCAACTGACACATCGTAAAGACACATAATCCTGCGCATGAACACTGCCCAGACGGTATCTATTATACCGATAGCCTGCTACTTCCATTGGTGCAAGAGCAAATAGCCAGACTGAACTGATTGTTTTTAAAGAGGGCGCAAGATTGCATGGATGTCTGGGTGGTTGATACAGCTCTGTATTTCTGGACCTCAGGCTGCAATCCTACGCATGGAAACCAGTCTCACTGAACACGGCAGGGCTTCCTTTCAAGTCAACATGCATAGGCTTGCCACATGCAACTCATGGGTGTCTCATAATAAGACTGCCAACATAGTCTTAACGCTTTTATTGGTGACAGGAGTGTAAAGCGTTAGAAACTCAGATATGTAAGCTGATTGCCAAATGGCTGGCACCTTAAACCTAGGTTACGGTCGCCACAACAGAATGCCTCTGTGCTCCCCCCCCCCCCTGAAATTTATTATTGCTATTATTATTCATTTCATTTCTATACAGTGGTACCTCGGGTTAAGTACTTAATTCGTTCCAGAGGTCCGTTCTTAACCTGAAACTGTTCTTAACCTGAAGCACCACTTTAGCTAATGGGGCCTCCTGCTGCTGCTGCCGCGCCGCCGGAGCCTGATTTCTGTTCTTATCCTGAAGCGAAGTTCTAAACCTGAAACACTATTTCTGGGTTAGTGGAGTGTGTAACCTGAAGCGTATGTAACCTGAAGCGTATGTAACCCGAGGTACCACTGTACTGCTTTATATTTTAAAGGGGAAAAAATTCAAAGTAGTTTAAAGGTAAAGGGTAAAGGGACCCCTGACCATTAGGTCCAGTCGTGACCGACTCTGGGGTTGTGGCACTCATCTCGCTTTATTGGCCGAGGGAGCCGGCGCACAGCTTCCGGGTCATGTGGCCAGCATGAGTAAGCCGCTTCTGGCGAACCAGAGCAGTGCATGGAAACGCCGTTTACCTTCCCGCCGGAGAGGTACCTATTTATCTACTTGCACTTTGACGTGCTTTTGAACTGCTAGGTTGGCAGGAGCAGGGACGGAGCAACAGGAGCTCACCCCGTCACGGGGATTCGATCCGCCGACTTTCTGATCGGCAAGTCCTAGCCTCTGTGGTTTAACCCACAGCACCACCCGCACCCCCAAAGCAGTTTAGAACACTTTAAAACATCAAATAAAACAATCCAGAACAAAACAAATTCAAGCTTTAAATATTTCAGATCTTTCCCTAAGTGACATTTTGCTTTCCACATATTTATTTACCTACTTATATTGCTGCCCTGTAGCAGAAGAACTCTAGAGAGCCAAGGGGGTGTATTGGTTAGAATGCTGGACCAGGACCTGGGAGATCAGGGTTCAAATCCCCACTCAGTCATGAAGCTCACTGGGTGAAAAGTTGGGATATAAATGCAATAAATGAGCTCTTCTGCTTAAGAAAGCTGGAGGGGCTATCCAGATGAAGACATCAGCCGCCCACCTGGATCACAACTGAACCCGTGCCAGTCGCAAAACATACTGGTGCCTAGCTACTTTTGAACACTGGGAGTGTAATGTTGTTGCAGCTTCAATCGAACACCACATTGACCTGGCTTCCATATTGATTCTAAGCCAAGTGATGACTAAGTTTGTGTCCAAATTCATGGTGTCATGGGTCCCTTGGTTCTGTGAGGTTCTGCCATAGTTTGGCAGACCCATATGTTAGAGGATGGAAGAAGAGAAGTGGACTGAGAGGGGGGGCTTGAAGGCTGGTGTCCTGGGAGAGAAGTCTTCTCCTTGTGACTCAAGGTGTTGGAGACAGGGAAGCAGATCTGCTGTTGCTCTCCATCACCCCTCCTTCAGAGCACAAGGTGTCATTGGGGAAGGGGGAGGACTTCAATAATCCAACAGAAGGCCAAGTGGAAAAAGGGGAGCCAGAGACGCTGGAATCAGTAAAGCAGGACGCAGTCTTGTTGCCAAGAACCAAGCACCACCTGCGTAAGAGGGAGCAGATGCACCTGCCCAGGTGGGACACACACCTGACCCTGTGGCAGTCCCGTGAGTGAGCTCACTCCTGCCTCATCTTCAAAAACTTGGCAGGAGGGCTATGACAACCATTGGGACATCTTGGTTGCTTCAGTTCGGTCCTGCATCCCTTGCCTTGCTTGTGTACCTTGGAATCCTGACTTCTGGACCTTGTGCTTAGTGCTGAGCCTGTTATTGCTATAACCTGAATAAAGTTCTCTTCCTTACTCTCGAGTAAGAGCCACTGTCATTGTGTTTTGGGATGGGACCACGATGCACAGAATGAAGATGGCGACCACCTCATTCCTCCCCTGGTCCTGCTGCTGTCTCGCTAACCAGAGCTAAGCCACGGTTTGGTTTAGTTTTATGTGTGAACCTGTTTTGCTTGGCTATACTTCATGGTTTGTCTGAAACATGACAAACCATGTTTGCACTGGTTTGCACCTAACGCTAAAGGCAAACCATGGAGTATAGCAGCAATAGGACTGCAGGAGGAGTGAAGGGACTAATGTTTTCATTTCTTGCACTCTCACTCACTTGTGCTTAGCATTGCATGCAAACTGTGCCAGAGTGCGACACAGCACTGGTGTCAGCTTTTGGCACACCCTGGCCTACAATAGGAAGTGTTAGGGTCAAGATATGAAAAACCGATAGTGAGACATTTCCCTGTGAACCATGATCTTTCCTTTTGCACAGAAGCATGGGTAGCACAGAATATTCACAGATATTCACAGAATATTCTCTGTGAGGATTAGAGAAAAGTGCTAGAGAAGTGTAAGCTACTGTTGTATTTTTAGCATGCCACAAAACCACACCAAGATCATCTTAACCCTCTCAAGTGAACATGCTTCTTTTAGGATTAAAGAGTCGAATTATTTCAATATGGAAAATTAATGCACATAAATGCACAAACAGCAGTCAATCCCAACAGCAAATCTAAACCTGGAATTCTGCTAGCCGTGGTTACAGCATAAACTCCCAGAGACCAACAAGATTTGTACTGGTGGTACTCAGGAAAAGTGAGGCCCACCCATTGTTTTAAAAGGGAAGTATGAGCGACACAGAAGGAAGGAAAACAATCCACAAATGGCTCATGCCTCTCTGACTGCACTGGGAAAAACCAGATACTGCTGCTATTGTAGTGAGTATCTGTCCACAGGACGAAATTATACTGAAAACCGCAAGCCATCCGTAAATGAAATTTACAGGCGCACAGCCAAGATCTTACTGCATGATTCACACAAACAATTAAAAATGATATTGGCACATTAAGAAATACAATAAATAGGTGCCTCCACCTTTGTGGTAATCCTTGTGCAAGGATATTTGCCTACAAGACTGGCCAAATACTTGTAAGTGACTGTGCATTGGTCAAGGCAGTGAGCCCAATTCACCTTTGGAAAGACGAAAGTTGTTCCTCATATACAAATTCAAACACACGCAGGTGTGGACTGCTGTGTTCACATTCCAGCCTTACAGTGCAGCGAAGGAGTCAACTTCTAGGGGCTCCAGCCCCTACAATAAAAATATGAGGGGCATTCCCATTCAAATGGTGTGTGTGCACTGCGTCATTTGATCGATTATGTGGGGCAGGACTTACCTGGGCCCCAATAATATTTTATTCAAGTTGGCAATCCTAGAGTGCAGAGAAGATTTTCCCTCAGTGCGTTTCACAGCATATACATCAGGTGGTATTGAGTAGAATGGGATGCCTTTACCTTATGCAAAAGGTGTGCACACCTTGGCTAGAGATGAATTAGGAATCGCTTAAAGACTCCTATCAGTTGGTTTGAGGAACAACACTTTAAAAAGCAGTATCTTATAACAGGATGCATATGCTTTTTGGATAACTTTGTGTGAATGCGGATTGAAAACTCAACACTGGAAGCACAATGAGTGCGTAGTAAACAGAAGTGTGAACACAGTATAATTGCAATGGAGAAAGCAAGGACTAAAAATAATAATGGTGGAATGTGGACAAGCCCAAAGTGTAGGCACACAGCTCTGAAAAATAAGGAGCTAAGCTCTGCACTCCACAAAGTGGCTTGGATAATCCCAGAACTCACCTATGTGACTGGAAGATACAACCATTTGCTCTCAGGTACATAAATGAGAGCTAATATGACAACTCATTCCAGATCACTTAAAACAGAGTTATGATGGAATGGAGGTGGAAGCTAACTGCAGTGCAAGGAGGTGTATGTTTTTTGGAAAACGAGTAGACAAGAGGAAAAAAAACCCAGTCATGTTAAATGGCAAATTAAAATACCTCAAAACAAACTTAAGCACAGGCTAACTGCTCTATACTGCAAAGGCAGGTATAATAAAAGCAGGTGCATAAAACACAGTCACAAAACCATAAAGCAGTCAACAGCAATAAAAATAACATTAACAGTGCAATCCTGCACATGTTTCTTCAGCTCCACTGTTTTAATAAGCTCCCTGTATTAGGCACTGTAGAAGTTGATTACTCCTCATAGCCCTTTAAGGAGCAACTGCTAGGAGCACATTTAAAGATAAAATCGAGGGTATT